CTGCCGCCAGTGACGGCGTCGCGTGAAAGAAGTGATGGATGGCATGGATATTATGGATGGGCAGATGGATGGCGGGCGTCATGGCGGAGGGACGGACCACTGGCAGCGCGTGGCGGGAGCATGCATGCGATTTCCGCGCCCATGCCCATGTCCCGGACGCCCGCTCATCCGCTTGCCTGCCTGCAAGAAGCGAAAGGAATTAGTCGCGCAAAACGTCGGTCGCATCGCGGAGGAACCGCGTGCATGGTATGATTCAAAGCAGTGATAACCGTCACAGAGCTCAACAGTGCGGCCCTCAAGATCCATGCCGCGACGCGCCGTGTTTTGGGGATGCGGCGTCTCGGCCATCCCATCCATCCACACGGATGTGCAGGCCGGGCGGCTCAACGGGGCCATGACGATGTCGAGCAGGAATAACTCTGCCGTAATCAGGTGAGGTCAAGTGCGCTGCGTGCCGTAACTACGTAGGTAGGTAAGGCACAAACAAACGCACGCTGGGCGAGCTGCTGTGGATGCCGGCCTTCCATTAATAGTGGCGCGGCTGGGGCCCAGCACACCTCCAGCGCTGGGTAGCGTGTCAACCATCACTGTGCATCGCATCGGGTGGTGACAGCAGCAGCCCGCCCAGCAGCTTCGCCCGCCCACCCGTGTGCTAGGTTCCGTCCTCCCTCCAGCCCAGCCCGGTCCGGCTGCAGCAGCAGCAAGTACCCTCCCGGGCCTCCTCCTCGTTCGGAGCTCCTGCCACGCCACCTGCCTTGCCATACATATTTTTCCTCCCCCTCCCTCCATCCTCTTCCTCCCTCTTCCTCTCTCCTTCCTTCTCTTCCCATACCCTCCAAGCATCTCACGAGAACCTCAGCTTTGCTTCCTCATCCCACTACACAGGTACGTCCTTGACCCCGCCGCTGCCATGGGCAAGCCCTACAGCACCGTCTGAGCACCAGCTACCCCGCCACCGCTGCTGGGCCAGCTTGCCCGCCGCCTTCCGTTGCTACCGCTGACGTTTGCCGCCCCCTACCAGAAACCACCTCCCCAAGCACAAGCAAAATGGCTCCCATCAAGGTTGGCATCAACGGATTCGGCCGCATTGGCCGTATCGTCTTCCGCAACGCCGTCGAGCACCCCGAGATCGAGATCGTTGCCGTCAACGACCCCTTCATCGAGACCAAATACGCTGTGAGTTTTCCCCCCTCTCGTGGCGCCACCGTCATGGCTGCCCCTCCCCCTCCATGCCACCCGACGCGCCTGCAAGCTGCCCCTCCTTTGCGCTGCTGCTGTTGATTGCGACGCCCCAACCGTTGTCTCAACAACAATGGATCGTCACCCCGCCGTCATTTTTCACTTTGGCCCGCGCCGAGCGTCGAATGAAGGCATTCAATTGAGCAATGGTCGGGGCGCCCGCAGTCCCGGGGCATGCGATGCGCTTCAATTCAGGATGCAATGCAAGGGCCGCAGTCTCGCGAAAGATTTGTGGCGGGGGCGTTGGCGTGGAAATGACCCCTGGGTTGTTCCGCCTCAGTACCCCGCCACAGGCACTCGCGAACCCTGCAGTGCCCCTCACTCATGGCATCTCCGGTCACAACTTCTTGTGAGCAAGCAGCTGACATTTTCCATCCACAGGCGTACATGCTCAAGTATGACTCCTCCCACGGTGTCTTCAAGGGCGACGTCTCCGTCGACGGCCAGGACCTCAGCGTCAACGGCAAGAAGGTCAAGTTCTACACTGAGCGCGACCCCGCCAACATCCCCTGGAAGGAGACTGGTGCCGAGTACATCGTCGAGTCCACCGGTGTCTTCACCACCACCGACAAGGCCAAGGCTCACCTGAACGGCGGCGCCAAGAAGGTCATCATCTCCGCTCCCTCTGCCGACGCTCCCATGTACGTCATGGGCGTCAACGAGAAGACCTACGACGGCAAGGCCGATGTCATCTCCAACGCCTCTTGCACTACCAACTGCCTGGCTCCCCTCGCCAAGGTCATCCACGACAAGTTCACCATCGTCGAGGGTCTCATGACCACCGTCCACTCCTACACTGCCACCCAGAAGACCGTCGACGGCCCCTCGGCCAAGGACTGGCGCGGTGGCCGTGGCGCTGCCCAGAACATCATCCCCAGCAGCACCGGTGCCGCCAAGGCTGTCGGCAAGGTCATCCCCGACCTCAACGGCAAGCTCACCGGCATGTCCATGCGTGTCCCCACCGCCAACGTCTCCGTTGTCGACCTGACTGCCCGCATCCAGAAGGGCGCCTCGTACGACCAGATCAAGGAGGCCATCAAGGAGGCCGCCAACGGCCCCCTCAAGGGCATCCTCGCCTACACCGAGGACGACGTCGTCTCCAGCGACATGAACGGCAACACCGCCTCTTCCATCTTCGATGCCAAGGCCGGTATCTCCCTGAACGACAACTTCGTCAAGCTCGTCTCCTGGTACGACAACGAGTGGGGCTACTCCCGCCGTGTCCTCGACCTCCTGGCCTACGTCGCCAAGGTCGATGCCAGCAAGTAAATATCACTGTCACGGAACACCGCGTGGTCGGGCAGTTGATATGGGCATGAGGATGCACGCCGAAATTTGAGGCACGGTCGAATGTTGCTGTGTTCAGTCTCGACTAAAAAAATGAAGCGACCAAAAAAGGGCTTCGCAAAAACCCCCAACATACCAAGGAAATCCTCAAGGGGTGGAATTCGGAAGCAGGTTCCGGCGCTGTGTTAGTGTAACGCTGAGGAATAGACTCATCCTTCCCATCCGCCACCATGCATCGTCGTCTTGTGCTACGTCCTCGACCTGTGACATGTGGCTCTGTGTTCCACGCGTCCGTCACGCGATGTCTCGTTGAAAGCACCTGCGGAAGGCCCGGGGTGGCACCACATATAGTGATTTTTCTGCAGGCTTCCGCGAGGGCGGGTCACGCTTATCTCTGCAGAATCAAGTACAGTATGGCAGTGCTGGCCCAACTCAGCCCAAGGGATGAAGTCGAGTTATGACAAGGTAGGAAGGTTGACTGAAACCGGCAACGACTGGTTGCCACTTTTATGAATAAACAAGTTGACTTGAACTGTGCTTGAGCAGGGCGCAGCGTCATTCATTTGTTTGTTTGTATTGCAAGACATTAGATGGTTCCCTGTCTACCCGCCCAAACTGAGGGGGGAGAAAGAAGAATACAACAACCAAACAACCAAAACCCGAGCACGAACCAGCTGGGAGCATCATCCATACAAAACGGCGCGTAAAACGTATATACTTGGGTATCAGACACGGTTTTCCACCACCAACCAACAGGATAAGAGGACATGGGCGACATGATTGACCGTATACAAAAAGGTGAAGGAATTCCCCCACTCATGCCAGTCAAGACTCAAGACGGCGGTTCACAAAACGTTCAAACCCACTCCTCGTCGGTGCAGCGGCAGCTATGGTTCGTGACGCACATGGCCATCTCCGGGCGGTTCGTGTGCTTGTACCGCCCGCTGACGCACTGGGCCCCCATGTAGCACGTGTCCGGGGCGCAGTCGTCGCGGCACTTGACGTAGAAGTGGCCGTTGCCGCCGCCGCCGCCGCGGGCGGAGAGGAGGAGGCTGTGGCCGCCGTGTTTCGGTCCTGCTGCTGCTGGTGGTGCCGGTGCTGATGCTGATGGTGCTGCTGCTGGTGCTACCGCCATGGCGGCGGAGGAGGAGTAGCCGCCGCCGTTGCCGCCGGAGGAGACGGTGGAGGAGCCGGAGCCGGAGGGCGAGGGGGAGTTGGAGTTGGCGTTGGAGTTGGAGTTGGAGTTGGCGTTGGCGCCGATGCTGGCGGCGTGGGAGAGGGGCGTGGCGGCGGCGGCGAGGAGGAGGAGGAGGAGCAGGAGGGAGTTCGCCGGGGTGGCAGCGGCGGCGGAGTTGAGGCCGGTGAAACGCATGGTGATGGAGTTCTTGGAATACTCTCCCTTGCAGAAACGACAACAACAGGAAGGGGATTGTTGCGTGACGAGTCGGTGCAGAGAAAACGAAACATGCAACAACGGAAAGCCAAACCCCTTCTTATATAACCCCCTTTCCCTTCTTGCAGAAACCCATTACGATACACCATCCCTCCGTCCCTCCATCCCCCTCCGCACGCACTCACTCAGGCACGCACGATTCTATTTTCCTTCACTCGCACGCCCCCAGCCCTAACCCCCTCCCCTCCTCCCCCCCTTTCCCGGGAACCGTCACCGTCACGCCAGGCACCGACACAGGCACAGGCAAAAGAACGCACGCACGGGGTCCCACGCAAAACACGTCGTCGCCCATCTTCACCACACGGGCATGCTACATACCCAAAGCAGCATACATACACAAAAACACACACACGGAAAAAAACGCACGTACATAGTACCATGCACCCCCCTCTCCCTCAATGCCTCCCTGACCACTGCCGCGGTGGCAGCTCCATCCGTGGTCTGTGCCGATGCTGTAAAGCCGCAAACCGCAGGCGTGGATACGGCCTACCTGCCCTTGGAGAAAGCAACAGGCGGGAAGTAATCAAGGTAGGTACGTAAGTAAGTAGTTGCCAAATAGCATGTAACGCACAGGCCGTTTCCCCTTCTTCACAGTCGTCGGCCACGGCTCTGTCTGCAACGGTTCGCCATGAACAGGGCGAGCAAACGCCCACCCCGAAGCTTTGGCCCACGCTCAAACGCACTGCCACGCGTCTCTTACGCAGGTTGCCAAAATCAGACCCGGAATCCACGGACGGTTCATGATGCTACTCCTGTCAATATCAATTTTTAGGCGTTTCCCCCCAGGGCAATGATGTGGCATCCAGCCTTCATAAAAAGACAGCTCTTCTTCACGGAAGCGCGGCATCGCACTCAAACAGCCGCGCGTCCATCACGAGGGTCAGAGAGAATATGTATAGAATACCTCATTTCAGACACTGATGGCTTGGTATTCCGTCCTGCCAGCAACGTCCAGACGGGACGTCGGCTTCTGCGAAACTAGAAACAAGCGGGGCGCGCGTGAACGCGTGCAGATGGTGGGATATCATCGTAAGCAAGTATACAGGAACGACGCCGTGCGTCCAGTGAGAAAAATGAAAAACAGGAGACCCTTCGTCCCTGACGGGAGGATAGTTGCGGTTCCCAGCCATGAAGATCGTCAGCATTTCAGGTAATGCCGACTACCACTGCACAGACGTTGCTCTCCCCACGTCGTGCGCTTCCATGCCTCCCCGTGTGGCCCCCTCTACATGCGGGCCGTCCCAGCCGCCGCGGGAGACCAGACGAGGGAAGTGCGGAGTCATGATGAAGGGGAAAACCGAGCCTTGACTGTCGCAGTAGGAACTGGTGGAAACAATGACGAGCAAGAAAGAAAAAGCAAACAAGACGCGTTCTTCGCCGTCTCAAACGCCGTGATGCAACCCTCCTTCCCGGTCCTGGTCTCTTGATATACGTCCCGTTGCCAGAACAACCTTTTGCCGAGGGAACGCCCTGCTGAGACACAATCGGGAACATGAACATAAAAAAGGAGAGAGGAGACATGGTCAGTCCCCCGTCTCCGGATTCTGATTCTCATAACGCATGGCTTGCCGTCGTGGCGTCCGCCTCTGTCTGTGTACCTCTCGTCCGTCCGCTGTATCGTACTCGCAAAGTGTATCGCCGCTCGCCCGGGTATGGAGCCGGTCGCCATCGACAAAGCCCGGCCCTAAGCGTGGCCACGCTGAAAGGGCCAATACTCGGCGAGCATGGGGTCCGGGGTCCAGTCAATGTTCTCCTGCGCACACCAGTTTCGCACCACCCTGAGTGCTGCGTTGGTCACCTCGTCGATGGTGTACCAGGGCTTGACATCGATTCGCATGTCCGGGTCGGCAATGGTGCTGTTTATCTCACCTACCCAGGGCCAATACCGCGTCCGTTGGCGTTCCATGGTGATCACCTCTTCGTACTTAAGCGGGCGGCTGTCCAAGTTGGAAGCGTATCGAAGTACTTCATCGACGCACGTGCAGTGCAGCACGAGCAGAGCCGCAAAAACGGGCTTGTTGGTGTTTATGCCCTCTCGCCGCATCTCGTTGTACACAGAGTCCAGCAGCGGGATCATGCTAAACCAGGTAGCATAATCGCCCCTGTGCTTCGACAGCCGGCGCGAGGGGTTCATAGCCTGAAACGCCATTGTGAACGTGATAATGCACTCCAAAGCCAGCGCGAAGCCATACTTCATCTTGTCCTCGTCATGCCGCCTGCTAATGGCGTTATATTTCTGGAAGGTTGAGTCCGAATCGTGTTTGAGGCCCTTAGCCCGCTTCTTCAAGCGATCCTGCATCTCAAGGAGTGTTTTCATTTCTCGCTGATGTTCCGGCTTGGTTACTGTCACGCCTTGGCCGTTGGGCCGTCTGTCGACCGAAGTCGTGGGCGTGGCTTGTACGCCCTCGCCGGGGGTGTTGGCCATGGAGTTGCCGGAACTGGCGCGAGACATTGCGGTTGATCTGCGTGACGGTGTCGACGGCGTGGCCGCCACTCGAGATAGATGGGAAGTATCGGACACCCGTGGTCTCTTGGTGGCCTGTGAATCTGCTGCAGAGTCGACAGCGCCAACGGGGCGTTTTCTTGCTGGGGGGGCCTGGGACTCGTCGTCGCTGCCGCCGCGGTCGCGCTCTCTTTCACTTTCCTTTTCTCGCTCCTTATCTCTGTCTCGCTTCGCCGCGTCCTTTCGAGCCGGCGGCAAGGCAAGAATCTTCCTGACCGTGGGCCGCAACTGCTTCGGTATGTCGAGCGTAACCAGGAGCTTCCGGCGTGGACCGGGCTTGGCAGGCTCCTCGTTGCCGTTGTCAGACGCGGGGTCCTTCTTGATCCCCAGCGCGTCTCTGCCATCTCTACTCTTGTCGTCCGAGGGCTCTGGCGACGCATTGTTCTTCCGTCGCAACTCGATCTCCACGGCCGGCGGTAGTGTGGGCGACAGTAATGGTGGTATGACTGCCGGCGGCCGGTTCTTCTTGCTCAAAGGCAGTGCCTCACTCTTCTTTGTCTTCGCAGCCGGCGCGGCGTCCCTTGAATCGTCCCGCTTCTTCTTGCGGGCAGTGGGACCCTCGTCGCCATCACCACGGGTACGATTCTGGTCGTCGAAACTCAAGTGTAGTGGGGAGAGCAAAGGCGGCACAAACGACTTGGAGGCATCGGATTTGGTAGGAGTGCCGCGATTGCTGCCGCCCAAGCTCGGGCGGACCCCATTTGTCGAGTCGCCTCGCGGACGAGCTCCCGGTGATGGATTTCGCGCGGTGTTCACAGCGCCTTTTAGAATGGAACGCCCGTTGGGCAACGAGGATGAGGAGGACAGCCGGTCCTCTTTCGGTGGGAGGCTATCACGCGCGCTCGCCTGCAGTCTATCCTTACGACGCTGCGGGTCGTCTCTATTCGACAGTGGCGGCGGCCGTTCGTCGATGGGTCGCCTATCGTCGGGCTTTGAACGCTTCTGGGGTCGGAACTCGTCCTCAACATCGACCAGCCGTTTCCTGGCAGCTGGCGACGGGGGCTTCGGAGGCAACGAAGGCGGTTTAGGCGGGAGACTGGATGCGACATTAGCAACGGGGTGGGGGCGAGAGGACGCGGTCAGCGTACGTTGTGTCTGGGCCATCACGAGCTGGCCGCGACTTGCCATCTAGCGACGGCCGGGAGTCGGGCGCCTTAAGCCCGTCCAGCTTTCTGGAGTCTGGGGTGCGTTTGCTTGGTTTGGGCTCTGCCGCGCCGTGGGGGTTGGACGTGTTGGCCACGGTGAGACGGTCCGGATTCGACGGCGGCACGCGCTCGCCATCCAACTTCTTGGCAATGGCGGGCTCGGGCGGCGACGCAGACGAAGGCGTGCCAGTCTTTTTGTTTTTGTAGTCGCTCAGCGACAGCTTCTTCTTCTTGTCTCCGCCGGCGGCCAAGGCGCTGACCTCGCGGGGGACGGGCTTGGGCGGCTCCTCGCGCATGTCGTAGTAGGAGCGCGTCATTAGGGTGCCGCGGTCGGCTTGGGACACGAGGGTCATGTATTGCAGGCGGGTGTTATGCCATTCCTCGAAGCGCGGGCGGGAGCCAGGAGCCGGATCGTCTGGGCGCACGCGATATCGCCAATTGGTGTGGTATGAGAGGTGATGGGGCTTCTCGGGCAAGATGTGCTCGGACAGCGACTCGACCGTCTTCGCCGCGGCATCCATGGTTTGCGGGAGCTAACCATGCCTGGAGGCAAGGATGCGGCAGCGGGCGATCGAGCGCGCACACGGGAGGTGTACGGCGTTTGCGGTCGTTGTCGTTTGAGCCCCCTTTGGGTCTGGCTGGGTGATGAATGGCGGGTTTCGGTGGTGATGGCGGGGGCCGCGCGCAGGCGAGCAGGGCGCAAGGCAATGCAATGCGCCGAGAGAGGTGGAGGCGATGGCGGCGATGCAAGAAGCGGTGCGGTGCGGTGCGGTGCCGGAGCGGCGACGGGGACGTGTCGGCGCGCGACGAGGCGAGGCGTGGAGTCGGTCGGGGGCGGTGGTGTTTGTGGTGGTGCAACAGGCGGCGGAAACGAAGCTTTGGCGTCGTCTGGGGCTCCACGCTCCCGCGATAGGCACGCCTCAGCACCCAAGTACCAGGTAGGTACGTACCGCCACGCGGGCGGGTTTCGCAGACGGACAACAGCCGGGGAGGGAGCGCGCGCTGCGCTGCGAGCGGCTGCCGGAGACAAAAGACGAGAGACAAGGACGAGGCGAAAGGAAAGAAACAAAAAAGAGTGACGGACGCAGGGTGCGCAGATGGAACCGCGCCGTGTCCTCTTCCGAAGTCGTCGTTGGTGTGCAGCGGAGGAGAGGCGCTGCGCAGAAGTGGGCAGGAGAAGGGGAACGAGAGAGAGCGAGTGATGAGTGTGTTGGTGTGAGTTGGCAAACGGAGGTGTGACGATGCCTCCAACGAGAAAAGAAGTGGGCTGGCTGGCTGGCTGTGGCCGGCCGGCTGGCACCCGAACCTCAGTGAATGAGTGGACGAGGAGTGGCCGTGGAGGCAGGCAGGCAGGCAAACGGAGCGGCGACGAGGCTGCTGCCCCAGGTGGTGCTCGGGGCAGTGGAGGTCAGCAGCGGGTGAGCGCAGGTGCCTAGGTAGCGGCTGGAGTACCAGAGCGGCAGCCTCAGGCGCCCGGCGTCTCGGGAGCGGCAAACCTTGGGGTCCCGTCGTTGTTAGGCTGGCGCTGACGCTCACCAGTAGCACCAGCGAGCAGCGGAGGCGCCGAGTCGTTGGCGGCGGGGGCCAGGGCGTTGGAGTGGACTCAGTGGAGGCCGAAAAACAAAAGGAAGGGGATCCGAAAGAAAATACGACCCTACAAAGCATCCAGTCGTGATCTGGCCAGCAGCTGACCGAGGAGGTTAGGTTTAGCACCTGCCCGTAGCACGCTTGTTACAGTACTTCGTACAGCGCGTCGAGAGAGCGCTAGAGGCGCACGTCGGACGACGGGACCCTGCTGACCGGGGCCGTCGCTACCTATCCAGGTAAAGGCGCGGTGAGCGCGCCGGCGCGCCATTGACGACTGTTATCGCGTGCCATTGTCTGCATTGGACAGCATGTGCGCCCATCACAAACCCGCGAGCCAGCACCACTCGTCACTTCTCGCCCAGCTCCCTCTGCGCTACTATGCCCGTGCAAGCAAGGCCCCCCAGATGCGGGGACGAAACCCCGGAACGGTTCGTGCCGTCCACGGGCTGCCACCACAGGCCGAGGGGGACAGAAGCACCAACCTACCTACCTACCTGCAGTTGCATGCCAGACGGACAATTGCCATGCACGTCACCTGGCACGTCACCCGCGACTTTTGTACAATGTAACTCGGATAAGGTACTGTGCGAGGGGCTCACCTTTGGTCTCAGTGCGATATACTCCGAGCATCGCATTCTATTTGTACGAGGTTTATCTCTCTTCTGCTCTGTCCATCGTTGTCCCATCCCAACGTGATCCCAACCCGTGCCGTGACACATGCAACTCACGTGCTTGACGACTTCAATGGAACCGCCTCTCCGGTTGGTGGCGGGCAGAACAACAGACGATTTTGACAGCGGTTGCGCAGGTGCGCCAGCCTTCAACGGTACGTACCTCCCGTCATCAGCCCGCAGTGCCTGGTGTCCGGGGACGGTCCGGCAAGGCAAGCGGGAGCGCCAAAGAGAAATCGCCGCTAAGAAATGTCCGCCTGCCAGAGAGGGTCGCAGCGCAGGGCAGCCCTGTCCTGCCTGAGGTGGCGCCTACCTAGGCATCCTAGCCTAGGCATAGGCGCAGGGCAACAATAAAAAAAAGTCGTAGGTGCTTACCCTGTAAGGCCGTAACCCTCGTCAAGAATTCAACACAATAGGTCAATGACTACAGAGCACAATAAGAACAAGAGTATTTGCTGCAGAGTTTTCGCCCGCAAACGCGCCGTCGTTGATTGCAGCCCTGCAGGCGCCAATGTGCGTGCATGCCGTGGCTGGGCAGCTGGCACGCGACATTGTTTTAGATGGCATAGGACTAAACGATGTTCTCCCAAGTGTCATGCTTCCACAAACGCAACAGGCACGCCTCACGAAGTAAACCATGCGTCAATCAATTTGAGGGGTAGCCTCAAAGTACTCTTACTCTTTACCAACAAAGACTCAAAGGCGCAGTCCAACAGGCCCACCGATCCATCGTGTCCCAAAGAAAGGGTATATCGCAGCACCATTCCCGGCAGATTCACAGTTGCGCCCAAACACCAAGAGTTTTCCCGTCATCTCTGCTGTCCAGCTGGCCGTCACAGCCTGTTCACTCGCCGTCCAACAATACGCTGCGCCGTGAAAAAGCTTGCACTAGGTCGTCACGTGGCCATTCGACGGATAGGGGCCTTCATGCTCCGTCTTGCGCCGTTTCGCTCCATAACTCTGCTCGGACCTCAGCCAGCCTTCCATCGACTCAATCCGTGATGTCAATTGCATAATTGAGTTCAGCCCATTTGGAACCAGCTTGTTCATCTCGCGGAGGATAGCCTCATGCAATTGACGCGTCGTAAAGTTGTTCTGCCATCCTTGCATGCTTCTGATCTGGAGCTGCAGCTCGTCAAAACAACTGCTCGAGTCGTCCTTGACGGCGGTCAGGCTCGAGTCCACCGTCCCGAGCTTCTCGCCCAACAAGGCCAGATCCGAAATCAGGCCCGAGTGTCGTTCTTCCTGCGTCTTGACGAGGCCTCCGTACTCTGTCTCGAGTCTCAGAAGGGATGATGCTGTTTCTTGGGTCTCGCTGGCGATCTTGATTCTTTCATTTCTCTCCGTGTCCAGAAAGCGCCCGAGGTTTGTGCTCAGTACTTTGAGCGGCTCCTTGGACGTAGTCAGTATAAATGATTCCAAGGCGTCGATGGACGGGAAATCCAGAACTGATTGTCGGGGCGTTTCTGAGGCACTCGAATCCTCTCCGACTTTGATCATCGAGCCTTTCATATTTTCAAGGGCGGACTCGGTCGTCTGTCGATACTCGACTTGTTCCTGAATGGCTCGTTCCTGATTATTCACCGACTTCTTCAGTTCTTCAATGGCGGAATCGGTCGCCTGTAGATGCTCAGTCTGCTCTTGAATGGCTCGCTCTTGACCACTCGCCGACCTCTTCAGCTCTTCAATGGCAGACTGGGTCGCCTCTCGATGCTCGGCTTGTTCTTGAATGGCTCGCTCCTGGCCATTCACCGATCTCTTCAGTTCTTCAATGGCGGACTCGGTCGCCCGTCGATACTCAGTCTGCTCTTGACCATTCGCCGATCTCTTCAGTTCTTCAATGGCAGACTGGGTCGCCTCTCGATGCTCGGCTTGTTCTTGAATGGCTCGCTCTTGGCCATTCACCGACGCCATCAACGACCGAATGCATGCTGGAAGCTCGTTGGAGTCCTCCGTCGGAACATTCGAGTAGAGTCCTTGTATGAACTTCTCCATCGAAGCCAACTTGCGTCCAGTCTTTTCTCCAGCAGACGCATGGAGAATTGAGGACTGATCACTCTGGGTCATGTCCGACGCGGACAGTCGCACATCGAGCTCTTGCACCGCGTGGTTAAGCTGATCTCGCGTGACGAGGTCCTTCACCGCCTCACCCATCATGGTGGCGACCTTGTCCTCGGTACCACTGTCTGGTTCCTGTCGCTTTGCGGGCACGCCGGCGACAAGTTGGGCCTCGATTCTCTCAAGCCGCTGCTCTAGATTGCCGTTTCTGGCTTTCTCAACAAGTAGCTGCGTCCGTAGTTCCGCGATCTGGCCGTTGAGGGAGGTTCTTTCCAATTCAAAGTCGGATCGCGAGAGTGTCACTGCCTTGTCGGGCCTGTTGCCGGGCTCTAGAACACCCGACTTAACAATCGACTCGGCAATCTCTCGTCTCATGGCTGCCAAGACTGACTGCGACACTTTCTGTAATTTCTGATCCGTCGCGTCCACTCGGGCGCAGCACTTGTCCCTGTCCTGCAAGGCAGCGTCCTTCTGCGAGACCAAGACTTCGAACGCGCTGCCATACTCGGACATGCTGGGTCTGCACCGATCGACGTCGGCTTTTGTCTTTTTGAACTTCGTATCCGCCCTTTCCCTCTGCATGTACCAGAAGAGCCTTTCACATAGAGTCTCTACTCCACGCTGCACGCTCTGATCTAGCAGTGCACTAGAAACTGGGACTGGCTTTGGTGCAATGGGTGCTGCAGTGCTTTTGGCTGGCGCTGTGGCTTGTTGGCGTGCGTTCGGTGACGTTTGGGCGTCTGGACTTCGACGGTCTGAGGCGGCGCCGTTGCGGATAGAAGACGATGCCGAGTTGGACGTGATGGCCGGCGACGAGCTGACTCTCTCACTAGCAGGACGACGAGTGTTCCTAGCATAATCGTCTCTGCGTTGTTCTACTGTTCGAGTAGTGCATTGTTAGCATCACCTCTGCCAATAGGCACGCAGTAGAGAGCGCACCTCGAGCACCGTCGCGGTCACGATCACGACCATATTGATCTCGGTCATGGCCCCAATCCCGGCCTCTGCTTCGATCTCTTTCGCTGTCTCTGTCCCATGCCCGGGTGTCCCGGTCGCGATCACGATCGGTTCCCCGGCCGCGCTCCCGAGATCGAGACCGATCTCGTCGATCAGACGCTCGTGAATCAGAGTCTCGTCGGTCAGAATCCCATCTGTCCGAGTCCCGTCGATCAAAGTTACGTCGGTCATAGTCCCTTCGATCCGAGTCTCTTCGGTCGAAACCAGTGCGAGAAGACGTGGTTGCCATTATAAAACATGTGGCCGGGATTCCTGGGAGAGGGCGACTAGACGAGACGAGTAGGAGGAAACAGATGGCCGTGCTCGTGCGATCCTGAATTCAAGGACGCGACTCGCTGGGGGCAGTTCAGCGGGATCCTTTCCAGCCAGGAAAGAGCGACCCGCGGGGGGTTCCGCTGAAATAAACAAAGCGCGGCGCGAAGTTGGGAGGAGAGGAAAGAGGCAGCCGGGCGGTGCAGCTGCGACCCGCGAACAGGACGGGCAGTGAATGTGAGAGTGCAAAGTTGCCTGGGCAGCGCACGTGAGCATGGAAGGGCACAGAAGGAAGTTGGAGTGCAATGGAGGGCTGCCGGCAGTTGCCCGGCAGGAGCAGTTGTGAACAGGGGTTGCCTGAGCCGTTGCCGTTCATTCAACGTACGGAGTTTGAGGTACTCCGTACGAATATATGCTGGACGGGTTGACAATCAGGACTGACTGCAGCCGGTGTAACGTCGGGCTGCTTTATTGGAGGGGCCGTGCGATTGAGGCGACAGAGACTGGAGATGGGACCCAGAGACCGGACGGCGCCAACAGGATGACAGCGCTTGTGAGCAAGCATCCGCAGCCATGAGCCTTCAGGGTCCAGTACCTCGCCGGAGGGTCCCCTTTTTTGAACCCCGTACCCCTGTAGCAGAGTCGTGACCGCGGATGCGTGGCTGCCGTTGTCGAAGCAGCGGGGCGCAAAGGAGGACAAAGAGAGGCTGCCCCGGGCGGCCCGTGGGATCGGTAATCGAGGTGACAGGTCCCGTCGTTGAGTGTCAGTGGCCGTGCTTAATCTGCCTTGGGCGCCGTTTGCTCAGTGGAGCGCTCGGTTGCCACGCTCCCGTCTGCAGGGTTGAGTCCCGCAGATGCCACACGCCTGTCGACTTGAACAGAAGCAGGTTTGCTGTCGCCACGGGAAGTCGCCCAATGTTCCATGCAAGGGAAGAACCAGCTCAGCTTCACGAACTGAAAAGGTGCGGTGAAGGGTCTAGTTGCAAACGAGAACTTGGGAAGTAAGGTGCTAAGCCTAAAGTCAACGGCTGAGCGAGCTTCCCGTACTAACTAGTACTAGGTACCGGCGTAGCTTGCACGTTTGCACCTGTTGAACGGGGCCGCGAGAGGTACAAGTACGGAACATCAGCTGCCCGCTCTACGGGCGCCTACAGCAGCCCTCTCCAGGGCTCTCTGGTGCGTCAAGCCCCTCCAGGCTCCCGTCCTGCGCGCCAACCACAGCGAATAACACGTTCCGTGCTAAGCGCCCAGCCGCGCAAAGTGGATCGGGTGGTACATCCTGCGCGTGCCGCAGCGCAGGTACCTCGCCAGCCTGGCTGGTAAGGTAATGGGCTGGCTGGTGCTCCTGGCATTTTTCGAAGGGCGACAACCTCCAAGGCTGCATCACCACCTTCGTTCCCTCCAGCCTCCAAACCACCCCCAGCCATCGCGCCGAGGAAACACCGCACACCATGGCTGCAGTAAGTCGACCCAAGCCGTTCAGTGCTACACGCTGCGCGGAGGTCTGGGATTTCGCTAATTGTGCTCGCTCGCGTAGCCACTGATGACCGTGTCCGAATCCAAGGACCTCCGTGGTCTCAACCTCATCGCCGCGCATTCGCACATCCGCGGTCTCGGCGTCGATGCCACCAGCCTCGAGCCCCGCGCCGCGTCGCAAGGCCTGGTAGGCCAGGAAAAGGCTCGCAAGGCCGCCGCCGTGATTCTGCAGATGATCAAGGATGGCAAGATTGCCGGCCGCGCCGTGCTCATCGCTGGCCCGCCCAGGTAAGCCTTTACGCACGCCACTCGCCCCAACGCCCTTGACGCGAGAATGCGCGCGCTGACATGTCGCAGCACCGGAAAGACCGCCATCGCAATGGGCATGGCGCAGTCTCTCGGCCCCGACGTCCCCTTCACCTCGCTCGCGTCGTCCGAAATCTTCTCCCTCGAAATGTCCAAGACCGAGGCGCTCACCCAGGCCTTCCGCAAGTCCATCGGCGTCCGCATCAAGGAAGAGAGCGAAATAATGGAGGGCGAGGTCGTCGAGATCCAGATCGACCGGAGTGTCACGGGCAGCGCCAAGCAGGGCAAGCTGACCATCAAGACGACCGACATGGAGGCCGTTTACGACATGGGCAGCAAGATGATCGACGCCATGACCAAGGAGCGTGTCATGGCTGGCGACATCATCTCCATCGACAAGTCGTCGGGCAAGATCACCAAGCTCGGCCGGTCGTACGCCCGGTCCCGCGACTACGACGCGATGGGTGTCGACACCAAGTTCCTGCAGTGCCCCGACGGCGAGCTTCAAAAGCGCAAGGAGGTGGTCCACACCGTTACCCTGCACGAGATTGATGTCATCAACTCGAGGACGCAGGGCTTCCTCGCCCTGTTCTCCGGCGACACGGGCGAGATCCGCAGCGAGATCCGCGATCAGATCAACACCAAGGTGGGCGAGTGGAAGGAGGAGGGCAAGGCTGAGATCGTCCCCGGCGTTCTCTTCATCGACGAGGTGCACATGCTCGACATCGAGAGCTTCTCGTACATCAACCGCGCGCTGGAGGACGAGCTGGCGCCCGTCGTCATCATGGCCAGCAACCGTGGCAATTCTCGCATCCGCGGCACCGACTACCGCAGCCCGCACGGCCTGCCGCTCGACTTCCTCGACCGCGTCGTCATCATCAACACGCACCCCTACTCGGGCGACGAGATTAAGCAGATTCTGACGATCCGCGCCCAAGAGGAGGAGGTTGATGTGTCTCCCGACGCCCTCGCACTGCTCACCAAGATCGGCCAGGAGGCGGGCCTGCGCTACTCCAGCAACCTCATCAGCACCTCACAGCTCGTGTCGGCCAAGCGGAAAGCCAAGCAGGTGTCGGTGGAGGACGTCCAACGCAGCTTCCAGCTGTTCTACGACTCGGCCCGCAGCGTCAAGTTCGTGTCCGACTCAGAGAAGAAGCTGATTGGCAACGACGGCGCCGTGGACCTGTCGGTGACGAACGGGACGACGGGCGAGGAGAAGATGGACCTCAGCTAGAGGAACTGGCGGGATCAAGGTACGGGACTGATTTACATGCGAGAGAGCTGGCTGGCGTTTTATTTGGTGTTTAAAATGTGTTCAAAACGACGGGAGGACTCGGGGATATCCGTTCCCCTGTATCATACAAGGTCCGGGCGTCAAGGGCCGCAAAGAGACAGCGAGACGTGCCAGAGGTTTCGTCAGTTGCACGCACGATGCCCAGTATGATTCGGTGACGATGTGGCTTGTCGAGCTCGAAAAAATAGATTATGTGCAGCCCATTAATGCCCACAGATCGGCGCAGAGGGCAGTCTCGCTAGATATGTATGTACACTGCCACGGATTGTAATCCTGGTATACTATTCCCCGCCAGTCCATCCGCCTAGAGCACCTTGGGCTTCTCCCAGCCCGTCACGTTCTGCACCGACACGACGAGGTCCTTGCCCTGGAAGTAGTAGACGCGGGTCTGGCGGGCCCAGGCGGCGGCGGCCAGCCCGCCGTCGACGGTGCCCCAGTTGGGGTCGGTGCTGGAGCGGAAGTCGGCCCCGGGCTTGTAGTAGGCGACCATGGTGCCGTTGGAGGGCTGCGCGTAGAAGAGGCGCCGCGGGCTGAGGCCCGGCACGAAGACGCCGGCCATAGACACGGAGGGGTCCCACGCCGAGCCGGGGGCCGTCTTGACGGGTTCCGCTGCAGGTATATAACTTAGCAAAACCGCCCTTCTCTTCTTTCTATAGCCACATCACGAGGGGTGTGGTCTGCGGGAATAGTTTGTTTTTCTGCCTTTGTTACGGCTGGAAGGGGAAAAGGAGGGGGAGGGAAGGGATAGGGAAGGGGGGAAGAGGAGGAGGAGGCGGAGGAGGAGGAGGAGGAGGAGGAGAATTAGCAGCAATCTCTTACCGCGGTTCGGCCCGAGTATGTCGCTATACTCGAGAAACTGCAGCTGGTTCGTGCTGTTGATGTAATACAAGCTCAAGTCGTCCTTGTCCGGCCCGTGCGCCACAATCGCCGAGCTCATGTACACGCCCGTGCGAACCAGCGTCGTCGTCCACCCGCTGCTCGCCGCCCTGTCGCCGTTGAGCACCGACAGGCTCCCGTCCTCGGCCTGGTAGTACACGCGCAGGATGCCGCCGTCGCCGCCGCCGGTGCGCAGCGCCGCGAGCCGCGTCCGGGCGTTGACGCGGTGGCCCGTCACGTTGGCCGACACGACGGTGTTGGAGCGCGTCGCGCAGGTTTCGCCCCGGGGCGGGCACTCGAGCGTCGCCTGCACGACGCTGGCGTTGGCGCGGCCCGCGCTGGAGATGTAGAAGAGCTGCGTCGATACGGGGTCTGTGGTGGAGGAGCCGGAGCCGGTGCCGGTGCCGTTGACTGCGGCGGCGGCGAGGGAGGTGCCCCAGTCTGGCGGGATGGTGAGGTTGAGCTTGTGCTCTGTTCGTGCCTCGTCGTTGCGTATCCGCCGGAGGAGAACGTCTGTTGTGCCCAGGTCCTGGTAGAAGAGCTGCAGCTCCTGCGTCTCGTTGTCGGCGGACGCGGAGACGGCCAGGGAGCGCTGGCTGGGCTGGATCGGACCCGTGGGTATCGGGGCCGGGCCGGTGCCCGTCCAGGTCGGCTGTGGCGCGTCCGAGTCCGAGCCGGGGCCCGAGCCGGAGCTGGTGTTGACGTCGCTGTCCTTGTTCGCGCGCAGACCGCCGACGACGCCTCCCACCACGGCTCCGATGACAATGACTGCCGCGACAGCCACGACGATGAGAAACGTCCGCCGCTTCAGGCCGCAGCACGTCCTCGCCGGAGCCGCACCACCTGTTGCTGGCCCGACGGCCTCCTTGTCTGCGTGGTACGCCTGCTTGTCGACGTCGTCCTTGGGCACCTCCTCCGGCGTCAGCTTGTCGCGCCCATGGGGGTCGACGTGCTGCTGGTCCGCGACCTCCAGGCCCGAGGCATAGTTGTCGGTGACAACCGCCGTGGGGTATCGCTCGTCGTCGCGCTGTCACCCACGAGCCCAATTCTCGTCAGCCATTGACACAATTCACTCATCCATACCCCGTTACAACGGGACGTCAACGGCACATACCATGTTGGACAGTCCGTAGCCGCCAGCCTCAGAGACTCACAGCAAGCCAGACTCGTCCATGAAGCCCCAAAAAGCCAAAGCGGTGTGAACGAAGTCAAGCGGAAGGAGACTGAGGGAAACGCCGTGACAACGAACCGAACCGCGAAAACCGCACATCCTTGCCGACGGCTCAGCCCACTTCGCAGACAGACACACCCAAGCGAATTCAACTCCTGCGACGTCCCAAGGATCGACAGACCCAAAGAGCGGGACATTGCTACCCACAAGTGTCCCGGCAAGCCTGCTTGCCCGCGACTCCTGGCAAAGAGCCGCCCGCCCCGTAAGCAGCATCCCTGTCGGCTCGTTCCTGGGCGCGACACCCGCGAGCCAATCTCGGGAGCCTATCTGGACACAGCGACGCAGGTGGTTTGGGGGCTGCGGCGCTCAACTGGTTTCGGCAAGGCAACGCCAGCCCAGCCCCCTCCCGTGCAGTAATGCAAATGCAATGCTGCGTCATCGAGATTCGCAGTCGCACACAAGACGTATGGTAAAGGGCGACAATTATCGGCAAACGAAGACTCCGGCAGGTCAGCAAGGGCGGCCCCCCACGGGTTCGGCCCGGCCCAATGTCTTGTTCATCCGGCTGCGAGTCGTCCAAGGCGGCTCGGCTGGCTGCCGTCGAGTAATGTTCCCCTCATTCCGTCACCGGCATGCCCAAAAGGGGGAGTGACGCATGCCGGCGTGTTCATACAGTACCATCCGACAGCCGGACGTGAGCAAGTGATGTTGATAGCTTTTTATTTTGACCCCTGTACCAGACTTTGGGCCCCAACGTCTCATCAGTCTCGCCCCCTTTTACACATTGAAAACCGAGATCCATCGCTCCAATGCCAGTGCAGTATTACATAGGTATCATCATAGTAGAGCTCTGCACGCACGCCTCCAAGCAAATCCGACCACCAAGTATCGTGTACAGGTGGTATGTGTCCTAATAAGCCGCCAGTGGTAAACGCCGTGGTATCCAGCCGTGGGGCCCCTTGCCCCTTTCATCAAACACGAAAACACGCTCAAGCGGAAAATAAATATCGACCGACGACTTCAGCTGCCAAGCGAGGCTACCTGGGCGGCCAAGGTCTTGTTGCCCCGGAGGAGGTCCTCGAGCCACTCGGCGGCCATTGCAAGCGTCGTGCTCTTGCTGAAGCCGCCACCCTTGAGGCCGGGAACAAGGTCTCCGAGGTCGTCAAAGCCCTCCTTGATCAAGGTGCGTCGCTTCTGCTCGCTCCGGATGTGATTCTCTCGCTTTTGCTCCTCGGTGAGGTTCTCGCGGGGAGGCTTGGCGCCGTTGGCCGTTGACTTGCGCCGCCTGCTGCTAGCCGTTGCATCGGACAGTGGCGAGGTACCGTTTCGCTCAGACCTGGGCTTCCGCTTCTTGCCGGACTTGGACGAGTTGACTTCGTCGTCCTCGTCCTCATCGGCGGCCTCCCTGACGTTCTTGCTCTTGCGCCTCTTGCGAGGCGGCGCGTTGGGGTCGTCCTCTCGCTTGATGTAGTCCGAGCCATCTCTGGGTTCCAGAGGGCTGCGACCGTTGACGGGGCTACTAGGCCGTGTGTTAGCAGCGCTCTTGTTAACCTCAAGGCACTCGAGGCATTTGAGCTGCGTTTGCTGCTGAGACTCGACTGACTCCTTGTGTGGCTCCGGGACGTATCCTTGTGGAGTGCCAAAATTGGAATCCGACCCCCATTGGATATCGCCCAGGTTGACCTTTCGAACCGGCGTTCGCTCTTTGGACCCCCACATCCACTCGGTGAACGTGTTGTCGTGCTCCGTCACGAGACTGCTCCTGCGGTTCTCCTCCTTGAACTCCTCCATCGGCTGGTGGCGCAGGTGGCCCACGGGGTACCCCCCGACCGGCCGCCTCGACTGCGGCGAGTCACCGCCCTTGGACGAGACGCTGCCCCGAGAGCTGGAGCCGTTCTGAAGGAGGGTCGCGGCAGCACTGAGGACGTCGTCGGAATGTTGCTGCTGGAACGGTTGGGGTTGTGATGGAGGGGGCGGGGGAGGGGGCATGAGGCTGGAACCAGACATCATCCTTTGCAGCTCGAGCTGAGCGTTACTGTTACTGTGGCCGTTGTTGCTGTTGGCGTAGCCCTGGTCGCCCGAGGAGTCTAGAGAGCCGGACTGTGGGCCGAACGAGGTCGCCGTGCCCATGAACTGCGGTGGCAGGTCGAGCCAGGCATCACTGAAGTTGAGCCCCTCGCCGAAGGACGGCATGTTGTATTGGTTGGCCGTCAAGTCCTCGAAGAAGGAGCTAAGGAACTTGCTGTCGGTCTCGGAGAGGAGCGGTGCCCCCGGCGCAGGGTCGGGGGCATCGAAGAGGGACTCCTGGGTCGGGTCAACGGCATCTGCAGCGACGAGGCAAGCCAGTCAGTATTGAAGGCCCGTGGGTGAGGAGGGCAGACGAGGGGTGGGACGCACAGCCGAAGGGTAGTAAGGGGTCGGAGTCAGGCTGCGTAGAACCCATCCTGGGAGCCTGCTGGACGGCGAGCATGAGGGCGTTTTGTGCGGTGTCTCGCTGTGGTCGTCGTCTGTCGGGCGGTGAGAGGGCTGGATGGGGATGGTGTTGTTCGTCGTGATGGCGTGGTGATGCTGGCGATGGTGGTGGTTTACAAGGAATGCAGAATCGAGGGGTTGCTGCTGCCGCCGGATGCCATGCGAACGAGAGTAGGTATGATGAAGCGAGTAAAGGGAAGAAAGTCTGCGAGTGCCTAGAATATGTACGAGCACATGCTTGGGGCTGGGGAAATCCGGGGTAGTGGGCAGGGCAAGGTGAGCTGGGAGATCGCGGAGTGATCGAGGGGGACAAATGTGCTCGTTAAAGAGCCCGGGCAAGGCTGGCCAGGCCAGGTCAGGTCAGAGTCTTGGAGAAGGATGGACGGAGCGGAGAGCCAAGGTTGGAGGCGGTGGGGCACCCTAGCGGTAGCGGTAGCGGTAGCGGTAGCGGTAGCAGCAGCGGTTGATGAGCGGGCAGACAGCGTGGGCGGGCGGGCACCAGCCTGCAGTGCAGTGCCCAGTGGGCAGGGCAGCCTGGAGCAATGGAAGTACCTCGAGGTCACCACCACCACCCCGTGACGGGCGGACAGGCACGCCCACGCCGCACGCCTCTTTCTCGTCTCTGACACCGCCATGGACGAGGGGGGAGGGATGGACCGGCACCAGAATAGAAGGAATCGTGGGGATTTGGAAGCCACTCCGAAACTCGTGCAAGGCTTAGCGAGCGAGCGAGCGACGAGCGACGTCGAGTCATCCTGACCGACGTGTCTTGGAAGTAGACACGCCCGGGCTCCGTCCCGTCCGACGAGCGACTCGACTTACTCGCCGACGAGTGGACTATGATACCTCGCAGTTGGCCACTACCGCCAAGGCAATCGAAGTAACCCCAAGTCCGTACCTAAGGTACGGGGCCCCGAGTGACGCTATACGAGTACTGTACGAGTACCGTGGACCTCTCGATTCCTTTGGTCGGTCCTCCTCTCTGGCTGGACATTCTGCCTCTGGACACGCATAATATTGCCCACCCCTCCCCTCCCCCTACCTCATCCTCCCCGCAGTCAGGTCTCCGTTGCTCCGTGGGCACGAACTCGAGCTAGCAAACCCGGCCACCACGACGGTTGGTGCGCTGGTGCGTGGGATGGATGGCATGGGGGGGCATGGGGGGACCAACAGCGGTCCAGACAGAGCACTTGCGTAGGGCATCGCAACCCGCAGGACGCCAACCCGGGTGGCCAGAACGGCAACGGGGCTCCTCCTCACCCCAGGCCGGGTCCATTGCCACTGCCACTGCCGCCGCCTCCGCCGCGACTCCATCGTCGTCGCTGACCAGACATCATCGTCCGGTTTGCGAGCGGGCCCCAGCAGCTCCAGGAATGAATGAAGCGCCATGGCGCTGGCGTCAGCCTCCGGGACAGCGCCCCCCTGTCGGTCAGTGAGCTGGCGCGCTGGAGGCCCCCGGCTGGTCCAGGGATTCCCGTGGGCCCTACCCGCGTGCTGGCTGCTCTGGACGTCTGGCACTTCGCTGGGCTGGCTGGGGCTGGGGCTGGGGAACGTGGGTTGTGTCGGATAGTCCGATATCGATATAGCGGGCTCGCAAGTATCCGGCTCGTCTGGTCTTCTGGGCGCGTCATGTTCATCTGCCCTCTGGCGATTGGCCCATGGTGCGCCCGGACATTTCCGCTCGCCCTGTCCTGCCCGTCGTGTCGTGTCTTGCATGTCCCGACCTGCTGGAGCCGTCCCCTCCGAGAGCCCGGTGCGCCGCCCCGCTACAGCGATGGGCCTCGTCCAGATGACGCACTTTTTTTCTCGGCCTTGATGCAGCAAAGGCGACAATCACATGCCAAATGTCTGCGCTCGCGCTCCGCTCTCCTCGTACGCACCGCCGCCGCCGCTGCGGTCCCCGCTGTTTCCCCAGAGCGGTGCACATTCCGGCCTGTTCCGCATCCTTTCTTCACGCGTCCGTCCCCGCCGGAGTGGATGAGTGAGTGGGCAGCGCTCGGGCGGGCTGCCACGAGTTGCACGGGGCCCGGGCCCGAATGCTCGCGCCACCCAGGGATTCCTGCTTACCTTGGGATAGTTGGGACATTTGAGGAGAGCCGGCCTGCTCGTCTGGAAGCAGGATCTCGCTGCTTTGGTCCCGATGCAGGAGGATCGTCAGGATGGGACGAGGTACGGAGGAGTAGCGGGCATTGTTGGGTCAGTGGCGACGGCATGGCTGGCCGGTTGGCTGGACGCCTGGCGTGGAGAGAGAGGATGGATGGGGAGGATGGCATGGTCATTCCAGCCTGCATGAAGCCGGTCCCAAGTCGCGTGGTTTGGGAACTGGTCTGCGTTCTGCAGTCCGGCGAGTGACCCCCCCTTGTCATCTGCAGCAGCAACGAAGGCGGCCATGCACAGCAAATAGTTTGTGCGCCGCAGCGGTCCTGCCTGATCCTGCATGCAAGGCACGGCCATCAATCTCTCGTCGTCCATGCAGGACTTGTCGAAGAAGAGGACGAGACCAGATGAAGACGAGGCCGAAGATGCCTAGAAGGTACGGAGGCGGTACTTGTGCACCGTGCCATGATCCATCTGACCTCCCGATGCTCCGGGCTGCTGCACGTCGGTCCAGTGCGAGGGCGACGAGCAAGCCACCCGACACCTTGATTTCGGGGACGTGCCGTGGGCCATGCCCACCACCCGAGATCGTCGTCGAGGGGGGCGTGGCAAGCGTGGGTGTGTTCGACGTCGACGTCGAACTGATGTGCACGCAGACACGCAGACACGCACGCAGACGCACTCACTCACACACACACACACACACACACGCACACACACATACATAATAACAAGCTGCACTATGAAAGTACGGAGTAATACGTGTGCGCATGTACTTGCGGTACCTTGCTTGCCTGGCCTGGCCTGCCATTGTTTTACATGCAGCAGATCCCCATGGGCTCTCGTCGCAGGCAAAACGGCGGACAGGGCAACTAACGAGGTGCCACCGCCCGACGTTTGCGCTCCCGCACCGCATTTAGAAGTCCTACTTGTCCATTTTGTGTCGCCTGACACCGGCGACATGCAGCCCGGCCCGGTCTGGCTGCCGCAGTCGCGCTCCTGGGGATCTCATCTTCATTTCCGTGGCCGCCTGGGCTGCCGATGGTGCCGTCGGCGCTGGCGACCCACCACCAGGGCCTGGCGCGGGACAGCCGCCGCTGCCAGGGCAGTCCTGAGTCCTGCCCGGTGACTTTCACCTCAATTTTACAGCGGGCTGCCATGGTGCCCCAGCCCCGGACACGGAGCCCCAGGCAGATCTCCGGGCAGCTCCAGCTCCAGGCCCCAGGCCCCAGGCCCGTCGTGGAGGCTCCAGGCCCCCCTGCCCTGACGATGAGGGCGCGCAGTGGAGCGCGCTCCATCACGACCAAATAACCAACTGCCCATCACTTGCTCGAGAGTCGCCTGCCAAACCCGCGTCTGGCAAGTCGACCGAGGACCCTCCCCCCTCCCCTGCACCGCGCCCCAACTGCCAACGTCGCCAGATCCCGCTATTTTCAGCAGCCAGGACAGGCAGGCTTGCCCCCCGGCGGGCAGGGAGATGGATGGCAGCGGCCCTGAAACCCGCGTCCCTTGCGCCCCACGACGAGTCCGGGACGGCGAAAAGTCGCTGGCGGACGCGTGCGCGCTGCAGCCGAGGCTTGTGATTGCCGGCAGTTGCGCCTAAAGAAGGACTGCGAGGCCGCGCGCGAGAGACGGGACGTCTGTCTCCCAGCCAAAGCTGCCCTTTTTGGTGGTGCCTGGGAGCTCTGTTGCTGTCCTTTCTGACCACCTAATCCGATCGGTCGTCCAGCCAGCCCGCGCTCCTGCTGCTGCTCCTCCAGCATCGTGGCCGTTGCCGTTGCCGTTGCCACGCGTGGACAGCAGCTGCTGGCCGGGTCCTTCTAGCGCATGCACCATCCCTCGACCAAAGGAACATCTCGTCGCTCTGGGGCACGCGACACGCCACGCCGCCCGCGACTCACCGACCGACGTCAAACGCATCCCATCCGGCCCAGGGCTTCCGCCAGAGCACCCGCCCCTCGCCGGTGGCTTCCGTTCTGTGTCTCTGACGTCGTACCGCATCGCTCATCGCCCGGGCAGGGGTTTGCGTCACTGACAGCCCCCCCAACAGCCAACCGCATCTCTCTTCGCCCTGGTGATCCGGCAGCTGGTTGCTCCCACTTGCTCGTCTGGCAAGGTTGCACCGCGCTGCCCATTTACCGGCCGTGACGCCCTCGCACTGCCGCTAGTCCCTGGAGATCAGCCCGGTTTGTGCCGACGCGCCGGGCCACCGCTGCTGCTGCTGCTTCTGGTGCGTCGTCAGTCGTCGTCGTCGTCGTTGCTGGTGTCGTCGTCGTCGTCGACGACGCCTTCTGGACTCGCTCGCATCGACGACTTGCTGCACCACCCGACATGCCGCAGCAACCACCACAGCTGCTCCCTGCGGCTCGTGGAACGCGCCGCCTGGGGACCACCAAGCCTTTCCCACTGCAGCTCCAGTCTCTCCCTCCAGCCCTGCGGCCCCTGGTCCGCGCCTACATCCTGGGCTATGCGTCGTCAGTGGTGCCGCGACTCCTGACCGTCATCCTCCAGCACCTCTCCCGCGCAAGGGCCAAGAACGAAAACTGCCTCCCCGCCGAAAAGGACGAAAGAAGCTTCGTGGACTCGGTTCTTCACGTCCTTCGCATCGGGCTCGAGCCGCAGCGCTTCCCCACGTTCTGTGCCGTCCTGGTTGGCGGCGCTACCATCTTACAGGTGCGACGCCCACCTCCTTGCTTGCTTGCTCCTTTGCCGTCATTCCGTTTTATCCCCTTCCGTCGTCCCTTTTCCCCGGATCTTGGAGCAGTCGAGATCACGCGTATCCGTCCCCGCATCCGCCCCCCCGTATTGTGTGGAGTCGAGAGTTTCCTCGACGTCGCCAGTCGGATCTTGCTTGATGCGGCGTCTCGGAGCAACCCCGATCCTCCTCTTTCTAAACTAGCGTCCGCTCACGCAACCTCACCAACCCACCCGCCCGGTGCCCGTTCCTGTCGGCTGATGTACCCCAGGAACCCTTGAAGAGAGTCGTCGCTCGACTTGCTGCAGGTCTTGGCGAGACCGCCCGTTTAAGGTACGTGTAGCGAGACGATAGCTTATGTTTCAGGACCTGCGACTACTTGCGTAGCTCCGCAGCATGTCACCACCAGGGGGACATCAAGTACGAACAAGGGCTGACAGGGGTCGTCGTCGCCACGCAACAGAATCGCGAGATGGCTTGCTTCATTCTTCGCCGCGTGGCTCAGCCTCAAGCTGCTCCAATCGAAACAGCAAGCACCACGGAAGAACTCGTCGGCTCCCCGGTCCAAGCCGACTGACGCTGCACCCGCGGCCTCTCAGGGGAAGCTCGCCGGTCGGACGCTCGACCTGACACTCTTCGCCGCGACCCAGGCCGTGGATGTCATCATCGGGGAGCTGTGGTCGCGGCACAGGGTCCGGCGCACCGCTGCCCGGCGATGGACAAAGGTTCGAAGCCGCCGTATGCGCTCATTGCTCGGGCCAACTGCTAACTGTACGATCTCCAGGCGGAGCAGTTCATCTCTCAGATGATTGACCCCTTCTCCTTTGTCGCCTCATGCGGCCTGATTATGTGGGCGTGGTTCTACGCCCCTGACAGTCTACCCCGGGGATACAACAAATGGATCACGTCCGCCGCCCACGTTGACCTGCGGTTGATTGAGGCGCTTCGCCGCTGCAAGACGCAGGAGCTTCGGTACCGCGAGGAGACGGGGCAGGCCCCCCTCCTCGGGTCCATGTGCGAGGACTACAACCTCCCCTACGAATGGGGCGATCCTACCAAGTTCGTGCCCTTTCCCTGCGACATCGTGCACATGGGCAGAGGGCCCTCGTGCGAATACCACGCCTGGCGCCGCTTCTGGCTGTCGTGGAGGTGGTCCATGTACACGTACCTGCCCCTGGCGCTGGCCCTCCAGCTGCGCAAGCCCACGCGCAACAGCCCCTTGCTGGCCCTCATGTCGGCATGTCGCTCGTCGGCCTTCCTTGCCACCTACATCACGCTCTTCTACTACGGCGTCTGCCTCGGCCGCACGCGGGTCGGCCCGCACCTCATCGGCAAGGACACGGCCTGCCGGAACCGCATCGACGGCGGCCTCTGCGTCGGCGTGGGCTGCTTCCTCTGCGGCTGGAGTGTGCTCATCGAGACGGCCAGCCGCCGCAAGGACATGGCCCTGTTCGTCGCCCCGCGCGCCATGGCCACGCTCCTGCCCCGGAGGTACCCCCTCAAGTACCAGTGGCGCGAGACGCTCGCGTTTGCGGTCAGCACGGCCGTCGTCTTTACCTGCGCGGCGGAGAATCCCAAGCGCGTGAGGGGCATGATGGGCGGCATCCTCGGCCTGACCTTGCGTCAGTGAGGGGTGGTGGGCGACTTGCAGTAAGCTTCCAGTCTGGCGTTGCTTGCGCGGGCCCGTGTTGTACGTTGAGCGATAAAAAAGGGTCCTTCGGTCAGCGATGTTGAGACTGGAGCGTTGAGTAGTTAGAACCGAAGACTCGTGGCAGCTCACGCTCCTGCATCCATTCACCTAATGCATAATACAAAGAATTAACAGTACATGTCACGTCCACCATTGTGATACGAATCGGCAGTGGTGAAATGTATTATGCAGGTTCTTCTGGCTATAGAAAAGAATCCGATGACCGCCCGCATTCCTGTATACTACAACCTTACCCGCTGCTCACGACTTCCACCACGAGCACACGCCCAGCACAAACATGCATGCCAGTATATCCGCCCTCACCGTCGTGAAGATCTGCCCGTACCGCAGCGCCACGAGCAGGTACCCCCTGAACGGCTCGGGCACGAACCCGGCGATGCTCCAGAGCATGCCCGCGGGTTGCTGGCGGCGGCCCTTGTCGAGGAAGAAGCGCGTCGTGAGCAGCACGGCCTCGCCCGTGGCGAAGATCCAGAAGAACATGAGCTTGCGGCGCTCGTTGGCGTCGTCGAGCGCTGCCGCCGCCAGGTCGTCGTTCGGGTGGGCGACGTGCGCGGCGTGTGCGAGGGAGGCGCGCTCGCGCTCGAGGCGCGTGCCGGAGAAGGGCGTCAGGAGGGTCACGTACAGGCCCAGTCCGAGGGCCAGCAGCGCGTGCAGGATGCGGAAGAAGGTGGTGTAGGCGTCGGGGCGGGCGGCCTGTTGCTGTTGCTGGCCCGGCATCCCCGGCATGCCGGGCATGCCTGCGCCGCCCATCATCTGCGACATCATCTTCATGAGCGGGTCGTCCTCCATGCCGGGCGGCAGGGCAGGTCCACCGGGGCCGGGGCCGGGGCTCGGGCTCGGCGACGCGCTCTGCCCGGGGCGGTCGAAGCCGAGCATCATCTGCCGCAGCTGCGCATCCGAGATGGACGGCTCCGCGCCACCACCGCCGGCAGCAGCTGAAACGTTGCGGCGCGACGGCGTCGTCGTCCGGGGCTCGTAGAAGTGCTCTGAGATGTCCACCTCTTCGGGGTCGGCGGCGTGGTGCTGCTGGGCAGGCGCCTGTGTGGCGGACACGGAGCGTGCCTTGGGCGAGGCGGCATCCTCAGTCGCAGGAGGCGTAAAGATGGCCGAGGCCTGTTCTGTGTCTGCAACAGAAAAACACGCAGGTCAGCACCCGAACGCCAGGGGGCTTCTTTGGCCTTCACGCAGGCAGAGGGGAGCGGAGGGGATAAGCGCACCACCAACCACGCGGCCGCCTATGCCGGTGATCTTGTTCAGGCGCGCCGAGCCGCCAGCCTTGAGCTTGGCCTCGCGCCGCTCCTTGCGCAGACGAGCCTGCTCCGAGGCCCGCTGCGCGGCGGCGTCCGCGTCGTTGGACGTGGCCGCAGCGCTGCTGTCCGCCATGGCTGAAGCGGAGGGAGTTGTGGGACGGTTCAGTCGATCGGTGCGGCCGGCCCGTGGGGTTTTCCGTAGGTTGTTGAAGCTCTGGGACGGCGGGAGGAGGGGTGGTGGGAGTCGTTTGGCGGCGGAGGGTATTGACGTCCGATGGATGCCGGCGGGCGTGGGCTTGGATGGAAGGACCGTCGCAGGTTGGAAGCCGAGGTGAGGTGTAGCGCTGATGAGGCTCTGAGCTGGCGCCAGCGGGGCCCCACAGTGGACGACAGGCACAGCTCGAGCTTACGGAGGCGGTTCCGAAGCTCACCTCGTCCAGCTTCAAATTATGGCCCAGCTTCCCGCGGCTGCAACATCAATTGAGATGCGAGGCCAATATGGCGTCTATTCCTGGTGCGACGTAACTCGCTTGTGGTCGGCGTCTTTCCCATCTCTTTCTTTCGACACGCCGTTCAAAAGCACGAGTCTACCATGGTCTCCCAAGACGGGCATCTCACCGCGGCAGTGTTACTCGACGCACCCAATAGATCGGGCCCGGTCACGGTGCCACATCAGTTGGTGTAGAGGTCACGGCGCAAATCGGTTCAAACGTTCCTGGCTCTTCCATTCATGGCTTTTCTGCTCTAACTACCTTGTCCATGCTCCTGCCCCAGCCCCCCTCACCTGTACATCATTCATCGGACTCGTCTTTTGCTCATCCAGTAAACGGTAAACATGAACTGCTTTGCATTAAGTACCAAATCAAGGGGTTGCCTTGCTCATGCTAATCAGTCGCTTGACGCCCACCTGCATGTCAAGTTAGCACGCTTCTACGCCTGTTGAACTTCATCACTTACCATCCAGTTGCCGCACTCCTCCGTCTTGTCGCGCTGAATGTCCAACTGGAGCTTCTGGGCCCTCGCGTAGTCCTTTGACTGGATAGCCTGCGCAAGTTCAGAGAGCTGGTCGATGGTGGCTGGTTGGACGAGCTCCTCGTTGTTCAGGTGGTCAAACAGCAGGTTAAGCCGCTTCTGTGTGTCCTTAACTTGCGGGGCAAACGTCGCGGGAGCCTTGGATGCCACCCGCTGCATGTCCTGGCTGAGGATATCGACAAGTCCCTGCGCATTCGCGGGGATGTGCGAACGGTCACCCGAAGGGTGCTTTGGCTTCGAGGGCGGCGCAGCGGCCTTGGGGGGCGGCGGAGTCGGAGTGGCCCCGCTGCCCATGGGCGGTGGCCCGGTCGGCGGCGGTCCCTGAGGAGGTGCGGAAGGTTGGCTTTGGGGTGCCGCGTACGGAGACGGCGCATACTGTCCCTGAGGAGTGGCCTGCGTTGGCGGAGGCCCGTATGGGTTCACGGGGGGCGGTCGGCTGGCGGGACCTGGAGGCGGTGGCATCGAGCCCATCGGGGGCTGGCTAGGTTGTTGCGGCTGCATCGATGGAGCCGGTGCGTACCTGTTGGAAGGTGGCGCACCAGACGGAGGGGCGTTGTACGGCGAGGCGGTTCGGGGGACCACTTGCGGCATATGCGGCGCTGGAGAGCCTCCCGCCGGCGGAGGCGGTGCATACTGGTTCGCCGCGCTCGAGGACGGCCGCGGCGGCGGTGCCTGGAACGATTGAGGAGCACCGGCCAGCGGGGACTGGACTCGGGGCGGCGCCGGACCCTTGGGGGGTGGCGGCGGAGGGCTCGGGCGTTGTCCGTAGGCGCCGGAGGACGGAGGACCAGATGGGGTCTGCTGCCCGGGGAACGGCGAAGTGATGGGAGCCGAGCTGGGCGTCGGTCTGCGCGGCACGGCCTTGGTCACCACAGGCACGTCGTTCCAGACATCCATCTTCTTGGCCTGAGACGGGGGAGGCTGGGACGGCGTTGAGTTTCTCGGAGGAGGCCCGCCCATCGGGGGAGGCTGATGACCCATGGTCGGATACCCGGTCTGGACGGGGGGCTGGTAGCCACCCTGGGGTTGATACGGGTTCTGGGGTGGCATGTACTGGTGCTGCTGCTGCGGCGGCGGCACGGGGCTGTGAGTTTGGCTCAAGCTAACAAAGGGGCTCGGCTGGGGAATGCCCGGCCCAGGACTAGCCTGCGGCGGCTGGTAGCCGTAGGTCGGCTGCACCCTCGATGCTGCGACATTGGGCGTCGCCGACTGCCGTCCGACAGCGGCCTGGGCAGCCGGCTTCTTCGTCGCCATCTGGACCCGGCTCCTGGCAATCTCGGCCGCGGCATACTTGGTGGGAAGCAAGTCCAGATACTTCTGAGCCACTTCCAGCTGGCCATGTCCGGCAAGGATGTCGGCGTACTCGGTATACTTGTCATACAGCGTCGCCAGCTTCCAGTCGGAATCCTTGCCCTGCTCCGAGTCTTGGAATTTGGTCACCTGCCGGAAGATAGTGACCTTTTCGATGAAGTTCTGCAGCGATCTGGCGTGAACAGAGAAAGTAGAGTCGTCCGAGGCCTGCTTCATGCCGGCCTGCTCCTCCTCCTCGAGTTCAGCAACCCAGATATCGACGACCTTCTCCAGCTTGGATCCGACAAGGTAGCAGAACGAGGCGTCCTTCCTCTGGCCGGCCTCACCGATGCGATCGCCGAGAGCTTCGCAGAGGTCCGGGAACTCTTGCGGGTCGGAAAAGGTGCAAAGAATCGCCATGGTCTCCTTCCAGTTCTCCAGGTTCGCGTTGTAGACGATGTCCCAGAGATTCTTGCCGATGACAGAGCCAAGCAGACGCATATAGCTGGGCATGCCGCTCTTCTTGGTGAGGTACGCAGTCTGAACCTTGTCCACCAGCTCCTGGCCGCCGCAGTTGGCGATCAAGAACGCGTCCGCGATGCGATCCTCGGCAAGGCAGATATCGCTAGCCTTGGCGAAGTTGCCCAGCATCAAGGCCTTGGTGATGGACTTCTCGACAGAGGTGTCGCTGTCGCTGAAAAGGTGGAACGGGTTGTCCGTCTTGGTGCCCTTTGTCGCGGCCACTCGAGAAAGGAAGTCTTCGCCATCGCCATCCCCGCCGCCCCAAAAGTCAGACTGCTCCTTCCCAGGAGCTTCCGTTTCAGTTTCAGCCTCGGCCTCGGCCTCTTTCTCGCCATTGGCGGGCTCTTCCTTGGTCGTGCCGTTGGCCAGCTCATCTTCCTTGAAGCCGAGATACTCGATGATCTTGCCACGAGGGTTGTCACCAACCAGTGTCTCCATGACCTTCCAATCCGCCTTTTCTTCGTCGGTCTTGGCTTCTTGCATCCGGTCCTCGCAGATTGCTGTAAGGTCGCCGGTTGCAAGGGCTTCCTGGAACTTCTCAGTCGCAGCTGAGACGGCAGAGTCGATCGAGAACGGCGAGATAGTGACCTTGGAGCTGCGCTTCTGCCCTGGTTGCGAAGGCAAGGCCTTGAAGACGACAACCTTGCCGCCAAAGCCAAAGGATGCGCCAATCGGTCGCTCAAGCCATTTAGGTGCCTTGCTCAGCGTGAAAGACGCGCCTTGGGGCTGAGTCTGCGCGGCCCTGAAAAAGTCCTCTCCATCCAGGCTCTTATCCGCCTGGGTCTTTGAGGTGTCTGGGTTGGTGTTCTGCAACGTTTGGATGGTAATCTTGCCATCGAAGCTGGCAGAGGCAGAAAGGCTGGGGTTGTGAGGGTTGAACTGGGCTTGGAAGATCCAGTTGGTCATTTCAGGGAGCTCCCCAAGACGTTCTCCTGTTTGCGGATTCCAGACAAGAGTGCGGTTGTCCTTGCCGGACGAGAGCAGAATGTCACTATCCTGAGAGCACCAAGACAGCGAAAGAACACCCTGCTCGTGTCCCTGGAGGGTCCTCTCCGGCGCATTGGAGTTGCGCAAATCCCACAGCAAGATGACCGGGGTGTTGTCATCGGGGGTCGCCGTCAAGAGCTTGGTGGAGTTGTTCGGGTCCCAAGCAATGGCGCTCACAGCTCTCCGGCTATTGTTCAGAGTGAGAGACGCCTTCTTCGTTTTCAAATCCCACACGGTCACAAAGCCGCTTTGACCGCCGGTCGCCAGGATGTGCGAGACTTTTCGGTTCCAAGCCAGGCACTCGATATCGTCGGCGCGAGCTGCCGGGTTGCCCAGACGGAACGGGTTCGAGATGTCGTTCACGTCATAGATGAACAGCTCCCCCTTGGCACCTGCAGTGGCCAAGATTTGTGGCTTCAACGGGTTGAACTGCAGTGCCTTGATTGGCCCCGTGTGCTTGGAGGTCTGGGAAATCAGAGCGTCCGAAGCTCCAGCTTCCAACTTCGCGGCATCCCAAAGGTCTAGGGAGCCATTCTCGAGCGCGCCGGCGATGATGCCCCTGGGGTGATCGGAGTCGGGAGGTCCCCAGGCAATGTCGTAGAATCTGCTCTTAGCGTCAGCCGCCATCGGAAACCCAAAGAAGCCAGGGCGATGGCACGTACTTTGCGTCAGTGGTGATGCTCGCCACCGGCTGGAGCTCCAGGCCTTGCCCCTGGTCATCCAGGGACAGGTCCCAGAGCTCCAACTTGCTCTCGTCAGAGAAATCCGCATCTACAGCACCGGCACGCGTGCCCGTGACCAGTAGAGGTTTGCCTGCGCCCGGCGACCAGGCAAAGGTGGCCGTTCGGGGCACTTCGCGAAGGCGCACCATGATGGCGGGGGTGTGTTACGGACACGTCCTAACGGGCGCCGAGACGGATTGGCCTGGTAGGGGGGGTTGTTGGACAAGGGAAGTGAAGCCGATAAAGGTCTAATCGCCACGGCTGGGCATGGGCGAGTCTCGGAGAGTCAACCCGCAGCTTCGGGTAGCAAAAGGGGGGAGAGGCCTTCGTGGTGGAAGAAGCAACGCGGATCTGGCCTGGGTGTGAGCCGGGGCACGCACGGTATGATGCCAGATTGCAGGCTCCCTGGCTCAGGACTCCTGAGCTCCTCCCCCCAGGGACACGACAGCGGCTCGTTGCCGCTAACAATCAGCGCCCTGAGGTGGGGTGTCGCTGTCACGTGATGGAGATTCTCACTGTGGTCGGTTTCGCTGTGAGGATCCCAGCCAGGCCAATGAGAGCAACGACCCTTGCGGCGCGAGACCTGCAAGAACTCATGAGAGTGACAACCCGACACCTGGATTTTTGCATCACCGCAGGTTCGCAACGGCAAATCACACAGGATGGCTGACGCCGCTCGCTGGAAGGCGACCGTCTTCGTCGGCGGACTCGCGCCCATGGTCACGAGCAACCAAGTTCTGGACGCCTTCATCCCCTTCGGCGAGATTGTCGAGGTTCAACTTCCCAAACCGGACTCGCGGAACTCGACAGATGCCCACAGAGGGTTCGCCTACGTCGAGTATGAGGATGTCGATGACGCCAAGGAAGCCATCGACAACATGGATCAGTCGGAGTTCTTTGGTCGCATCCTGAAAGTCTCACAAGCAAAGGCGCCCAAGAGCGCAGAAGAGGGCCTGGGCAGCAAGAAAGCTATCTGGGAGCAGGTACGTGCTCATGAGTTCCGCACCGGAGCTTCTTACTGATCATTCATCTAGGAGGGATGGCTGGCCGAGCACGCTGGGACGCAGGAGAATGGCACGACAAACGGCCAGGACCAGCCGGTGGACGACGCTCCAGATCCCATGCAAGGACTAGAGGGACTGGATGTTGCCGGGCCAAAGCCGGCTTAGGATTTCACTTCTACTTCTTTCGCATTTTGCATAGCGATGGCGTTACGAGAGGCACGGGTCGTATCGGGAGCGATCGGGGTGGATACCGCCCGAGTCGATGTTGGCAATTGAATGGACAAGATCAAATTGTGCAATTGAGTTCCTGTTTTCCGTTCTGAGGATATACAGTAATCCGCCCTCCGCGACAAAGTAAAAAAAAATTGCTGGCGCGTGCCTTGGATTGTTTGACAGTTTTTAGTGCTCAGCTCGGCCAGAGGGTCCCTGCCGGGACAGTCGCAGGTTCTTGTCGACGAAGAATTTCCGGACGCTCGAGTAGCCGGCGGCGAAGACAGCGAAGCCGACGACAACGGCTGCGGACATGTTGTTAGTTTACTGGTGGTATCGGGCCAGAGTCGGGCTGGGCGGTATTTACCGAGGGGAATCAGTTCGGCGGGGATCTGCTTGAGCTTGCGGAGTCGCTGGGAGACGGTGTGGCCTTTCGCAATTGTCAGTCCTCGATCGTCGTAGAAGAGCTTGGGCAGCTTCGGAGAGCTGCTTGAGCCTCGTGCGCTCGTTTTTCCGTCACGTACCGGCCTGGTCCTCCTTCTGTACGTCGATTCTGTTAGCTCGGTCGCGGCCACATCGGTCGGCTGGAACTCACGGGAACGGGGCGCATCATCCGGGTCGACGGCCGGAACATCATCCGAGCCGTCGGCTGGAACGTCCTGAGAGCGGCGGTAGAGCGCATCGTGAGGGAGTGGAGAGGAGCTGGTAAGGCGCTTAGCAATGGCTGTGATTCAATTGGAAATTGTCGCCCTTCCGAGGTGATGTTTGGAGGTTGCCGAACATCTGATGCTGCTGCAACGGGCCCGCTAGCGTGGTGGTTGCCTTATGTAATTGGCCGTGTAACCTGAGGCACACACACCCGGGCGCCCGCCAGCGCCGGAACATCCATTCGTGCTGCAATCGTCGACGCATCCATTTAACCTCATCATCCACCTTGCCCGGAGCTCCCAATTGCCCGCCCACCGATTACCAGCACTTCCAGACGTCCGTCGACGCACATCAATTCGCAATGGCTGAAGAAGACGGTCAGGAGCTTGTCAGCAAGCCCTTCAAGTTCGTGACTGGTATGGCTGATAATCCCTCCCTAAAAAATGAGCTGATCTTGATCCGAGGCTAACGATGCGCAGCCGGTAAGCTCACCCGCGACCACCCGACGAGCGCGAGTGCACAACGAGCACGACGGCGCCCCAGAAACCATCGCGAGACTGATTGTTCAATTGCATAGGCACCGACGCCCGCTTCCCCAACCAGAACCAGACCAAGCACTGCTGGCAGAACTACGTCGACTACCACAAGTGCATCAACGCCAAGGGAGAGGACTTTGCCCCCTGCCGCCAGGTACGGCCCCGACCGCCCAAGGACCAGCGTCCCCGACCTCACAGCCGCAGATGCTAACGCAGGAGTAGTTCTGGCTGTCATACCGATCACTGTGCCCCTCCGGCTGGTACCAGCGCTGGGACGAGCAGCGCGGTAGGTCCAACCCTTCGCAGACGGCTAGTTTGGCATGCGCTAACATGATGCACAGAGGCTGGCAACTTCCCCGTCAGGCTGGACGCTTAGAGGACTCAGATGTAGATTTGTTGATGTAGTTATAAGGGAACAGAGTGTCGGAGAGGATGGCTCCGTAGCGGTGCCTGCAATGTACTACTCGCACGTTCCTGTAGACAATCGACACCCACGGTTGATCTTTGGACACGTTGAAACAATCACGGGCGGGTAATATGAGGAGTGAACAATCTCAATTGTGAAAATGCAAAGCCGTAGGTTGGCGATCCTACTGGTATCAAAATGTCGTTGCGACGACCGCTTTCCCACCTATCCCAGACGCCGCGAGGAGTAAATCAAATGCAGTTTTGTCCGACCCAAACACAATCATGTCCCCATTCCAAACATTCAAGCCTTTTTGGAGTCACCCTCGTCATCGTCGGAGCTCATGAATTCGTCGTCGTCGTCGAAGCCAAAGAAGGTCCGGGGCTTGTCCTTTTCCACCTTCTCAGGCTCAGAAGGGGTGGACTCCTTGGAGCCCGATTTCTCTTCTTCGTCGGAGCCAGAAGAGTTGTTGCTCTGCGTGGACGCGGATCCATGCGAGGTGCTGACGAGGTTGTCCTTGTAGTTGCCGGCCTTCATGGCGGCGTGAACGGCGTCGCGTGTCCTTTCGCTGGTCTCTTCCTTGTCCTCGACCCATTTCCCGTCCAGGCGGCCTTTGCCTCCGGCCTTGATTTCGGCTTCTTTCTGCTCGGACGCTTGAACGATTTGTTCCCATCGCTCCCGGCGCCTCTCCTTCTCCTTCTTCTCCATCTCCGGCTTGATGGCGAGATACTCGGCAAGGGCCTTGGCCTCGTTCACGGTACGGAGACGACGCCCATCGAGGTTCCGGCTTGATCCGTGGTCTTCCTGGTTCTTCTTCTTCCGCGACGACATGCGACCGCCGGCGGCGCGCAGCTGAGATCCGAAACCGCCCTTGCCACCGCACAGCGGGACGGTCAATCGGAGAGAAAGAAACTCGTCATCGCTGGTGGAGAGATACGTCGACAGCGGGGCCTCGGACCGCTCTGGCAGTTGTCTGTTGGATAGTGTCGTCAGGATGAGTCTGGTGTCTGTGACGGGGAGTCGTTCGTTGATCTCGTCTCGGAGCTGCGAGATAGTCGTGGTCGCCGGGACTGGCACTACCAGCGTAGACGGTAGGCCAAGTCCCTCAAATGTGGAAATGAGGACGTTGAGATTCTTGGGAGCCATGATGGTGATGGACGGATGTTGCAGTGACAGTTCGAAGTAGCAAATGTTGACCTGGGCCCTTGACTCTGGGCTCTAGCGGCGGCGCCGAGGATGACTAATACAGGCCCAGCAGGTCAGAGTTTCAGCGACAGTCACCACTATGTATGGCTTTGTCGAATGTCAAATAATTTGGCCTGAAAAGTATGGCGCGAGGGGAGATGCCCAAGACGTCGGGCAAAGTTCACTTATGTAGACAGTGTTGAACTTGACGATCTCGAGGCTATCTGCAATGAGAGAAGAGTGTTACAGCGCAGTCGAAGCCTTGCTCCCCAGCTCAACTCACATGATTTGGCTCCACTTTTGGGCTGTGGCACCAGCGAGGATGCTGCACCGCCACGGGAGCCAGTACAAACTCAGCGTCACGTGCGGCTCCAGCCACAGCGCACAACACCTCTCAAGCCCCACCACCTCGCTAGGTAGGTCGATTTTCTTGTAGGGTTTCCGCCCACAAATTGTGTAATCCATTTTGAGACCTTTGCACCCAGCCAGCCGCCCGAAAAACTGCCCATTTTCAACATCGACCTCAGCACCGCCAAACCGCCACGATGTTGATTCCCAAGGCCGACCGCAAGAAGATCCACGAGGTAATTCCGAACCGGGCGCGCGAGAAAACGAGCGAATCTGTGTCTTTGGGTTTTCGGTGTGACTGATTGAATTCGTGTTTCTGCAGTACCTCTTCCGCGAGGGCGTGCTCGTCGCTCAGAAGGACTTCAACCTCCCCAAGCACCCCGACATCGACACGAAGAACCTCTTCGTCATCAAGGCCTGCCAGTCTCTCAACTCCCGCGGCTATGTCAAGACTCAGTTCTCGTGGCAATACTACTACTACACCCTGACCCCCGAGGGTCTCGACTACCTCCGCGAATGGCTTCACCTCCCCGCCGAGATCGTCCCCGCCACCCACATCAAGCAGCAGCGATCGCACGCTCCTCCCCGTGGCATGCTCGGCGAGGGTGAGCGCGAGCGCCGGCCGTTCGGCCGCGGCCGTGGCGGCGACCGTGGCGACCGCGAGGGCGGATACCGAAGGCGGGATGCTGGCGAGGGCAAGGAGGGTGGTGCTCCCGGCGAGTTCGCTCCTCAGTTGTAAGCTCGCCCCCCACGTCGGATTGCGTAGCAGACGCTCAAGAGCGGCTGTCCTGTCGCAACATGCGCATCAAGCAAGCTAACTGGATATCCTCTACAGCCGTGGTGGCGTTGGCCGTGCCCGTGGTGGCGCTCCTCCCTCTTAAGCGACGCGAGTTTCCTTTGGGGTTTTCACTATCGAGATGCATGGCGAAAGGTACCGACATGTACTCTTAAAAATGAGGGCAGTTCTTTACCATGAGAGTCCGCTCGTGAGAACGGCAGAGTGGGGGACATCGTGGGAGTTTGGAGGGTAGATCCTCGGGAAATCATTTGCATCAGGGTCAATGTTTACCGTCAAACGAGAACTTTCCGCTCGAGCAACTGTGATCATGAGCATTGACGCTCCTCTTTGACGACTTCAAGCGTCAGACTCCTGACGGCTTCAACGCGACTCGGACGACTCGACAGTGGCCAATCCAATGGTCGATCTATAATGCGAATACTCGGCAGGAGTCCCGTAGACCGGACCGGACCGGACCCTTCCGACCTGGCGCGGAGACTGAACGTTCTGCTCACCTTTCACAGACCTAGTGCTTTCACCTTGCTTCTCAGAGCACGCAATTGAAGCCTGGTGCTAGGTACGATGCTGCACGCGTCTCGTCGGACCTCATGTGGCTGTTACACGCCACCGACGGTGCGGGTGAGGGCGAGAAAACGAAGAGACCTTTTGCTCACTCAACAATTCTGGCCAAGACGGGCTGACGTCCGAGCTGTCGTCGTCACCGTCGGCTTGCCTAGTCGGGTTCCACAGACGGCAAGGCCCCTGCCGCGAGTGCATCGCATCCATCCCACGTCCCATTGACGACGCGGTCCCCGACGACTCACCGACCCCGCCGACGGAGCCCGTCTCTGCGGCGCCGTAGGACTACATAAATTGGCGTCCAGGTTTACGGTGTTTCAGAGGCATCACATGACCGTAAAAAGAGCGGTGTCTGCAGGCTTGTAAAGCCACCAGAGCCAGCGATAGGCTGGTGCTGCAGATGCCGGCCGCGGGAGCCTTCCGGGGTGGCGGAGCGATTCGGGTCGAAGGGCTGATCCCACATGCTCGGGGGGTCGCTGCACCTCGCGTCACACCCACTGACGCGGTAGTAATATCCTCCAGGCACAGCACAGTAACCTGTCCTGCAGTTCGGCAGAGAAATTGGCGAATCGAATGCCCATGGCCGGCCTCGGAGATGCCTGCATGCCTACCTGCCTCCCCTCCCACTTGCTTCGGCACCCTTAACGCGGCAGCGTCGCAGGAGCTGAGCTTGCATGGTCTGGGCCCTGCAGTAGTTTAGCTCGCGGCGTCGGTGAGCAGCATTGTTGCGACGACGCGGCAAACAATAATTCCCGCCGCTCAAACGTGGGAGCGGCTTGACGGCTGGCAGCAGACGATGGATTGTGCCCATCTCCGCTCGGAGGTGCCCCGCGAGGTGGCGAGTCGCCGCTGCTTATCGACGCCCTGGCATCCCGACTAGGCACCCCGCCTTTGCGTGTGGGTGAAGGCGTACACCCCGGCCTGGATTCCTTTGGACACACCATCTGATGTTGGCCCAAGGGGGCGACGGCGACGCAGTCGTCGTAGCGGGTTGAAACATCCAAACCCGTGCTCGATGCACTCCAACAAGCAAAGATCCCCCCTGACTCGCTATCCACCTGCCGTCCTGTGGGAAGTCGTGCTGAGGCAGAGCAGCCACGCCGTCGTGTGGGGGAGCTAACACACGATGTTGGTGCTGGCCGGTGGGGCGTCGACTGACCAGGACGGTCCGCAGTGTGCGCACCCCGTCTGAAGCAGCAGGTTGACAAGCGTCCGGCATGCAGCATGGATGGAGTCCAGAGCCGCCCCCCTGGCGTGTGCCATGCCAGAAAGCGTACATAGAAATAACGCTCGCCCTCATGGCTGAGAGCCGAGGCAGCTCACTCTCGTCCCCATCTGCCGCCGTCGTCTGCTGTCTTGTCGCTTTGAAGGTATTCCCACCCAGGTGTAGTTTCGAGTGCAGTCGACGGTCTGCATTGTCTGGTCAGGGCGAGTCCATGACGTGAAAAGGAACTCAGTAGCTCACTGTTGTTTCTTTCCCAGCTCCGATAAAGAGACGTAGCGTCCCGCCCAGCTGCCTGTTCGTCCACAGTACAGTACAAAACTGCAACCAGAAACTCGCCAAAGATGGCGTCACTTCCCAAGGAGATGAAGGCTCTCAGGTACGTCTTATATACCCGCTGCTGGGGCTGGCCCAGAAACCCTGTCGGCCCATCAAGGTCCGCCATAGTTGCCCCAAGCGCCAATGCGTTGGAGTCTAGACGAGCCCCGGGATTCCTTCGGCATGGGGATTGCTCCGCATTTCTCGCTCACACATTCTGCAGGTATGAGAAGCCCGAGGACTTTTCCATCGTGACGGTCCCCCTGCCGAAGCTTCGGGACAACGATGTCTTGGTCCAGGTCAAGGCCTGTGGTGTCTGCGGCACTGGTGAGTTGGCTCCATACTGATGCTTATGGCCACATGACAGGGACTAACAACTGTGTCAATACAGATCTGGTATTAACTCTCACAACTTGAGGGTCGTATTCAACGTTGCTGATTACGAGATAGCACATCCACGAGGGCGAATTCATCGCCAAATTTCCCCTGATCCCCGGACACGAGACTGTCGGCGTGATCGCTGCTGTTGGCAAAGTAAGCTCTCCAGCCGACCACGGTAGCAACAGAGTAAACCTAATGAGATTTCAGGATGTCAAAGGCTTTGAGATCGGCGACCGCGTTGCCGCCGACAACAGCGAGCTCTGCAACGAGTGCTTCTACTGCCGACGAGGCCAGTTGCTGCTGTGCGAGAACGTAAGCTGTCCGTCCCCCAACGGAAGACCTCGGCCAGTGCTCATCATTGCGTGCAGTTCAATGCCCACGGCGTCACCATGGATGGCGGCTTCGCCGAATACTGCGCCTATCCCGCTGCCAAGGTGTTCAAGATCCATAACCTGAACTGGGTCGACGCCACCCTCCTCGAGCCCGCTTCCTGCGCGTGCCACGGTCTGGAGAAGATTCGACCCAAGCTGGGATCCCACGTCCTCATGTTTGGCGCGGGTCCTACTGGTCTCGTAGGTTCTTATCCCAGGAAACTGCCAGATATGCGCTGACACATTTCCGTAGATGCTTGCTCAGCTGTTGCGCCAGAACGGAGGCTGCCAGGTCACTATTGCGGCTCCCCAGGGTCTCAAGATGGAGCTGGCCAAGAGCCTCGATGCGGCCGACACCTACATCGAGCTCTCTCGCGAGAACCCCAGCGCGCAGTTTGACAAGTTGAAGGCTGATAACCCGTATGGTTTCGACATCGGTGAGTTTTGGCGCACAATCAGATCGGCGTGGTGTGGTCGCTGACAAGCCGCAGTCGTTGAGGCTACGGGATCCGTCAAGATTCTGGAGGACTCCATCAACTATGTTCGCCGCGGCGGCACTCTCGTCGTCTATGGGTACTGCATTCCGTTCCATCGATCCGTTCCAGAGCGCTAACCTCGTCCAGTGTCTATGCCAACAAGGACAGAGTTTCGTGGCCGCCGTCCAAGATCTTTGGTGACGAGATTACCATCATTGGCTCCTTCTCGGAGACCTACATGTTCCGTACGTTCTCGTTTCCTCTCGTAGACTTGAAGGAAGGTTTTGCTGACTGGACTGATGCGATGTAGCTGCCACAATTGACTACCTTGACTCGGGCAAGGTCAAGACCAAGGGCATCGTTAACAAGACGTTCAAGCTTGAGCAGTTTGGCGAGGCCCTGCAGAGCATCAAGGACAAGACGGCCATCAAGGCCGCGATCGTGTTCGAGTAGATCGATGACTGCCTAGGAGCTTGCGTGGAAAGCAATTGGTGTATGTCTACTACAGCCGATGGCGTATAAGCGTTTCGGTCAATGGTACAGATAGGGGGTGTAGAGTAGCATTTACTAATAGATCTGTAGAGACGCATCCGGTGTTTTTTGGCGTCGAGCGTGTAGTCTGGTGGGATGTAGAGTTGTTAGAGCTCCGATTCACAGGCCTCCACGCCTGGGCGCTTGTTGGACCTGTTGCCCGAATGCCCCTTCCAGCCTCTACTCCTTCCTTAACGATCGACAACACGGCTCGTGGAAAGAACAGAGCGCCTTGCAGCTTCCTCCTAAAATGAATATCGGCAACTCCCCACTCTTCAAGGACAGGGCGCGTCCTGTGCTGCGGCAGACCTTTGCACCGCACGATCCGGAGGCCAGGCCTCGGAGGGGCACCATGGACTCGGTCGTCCAGTTCCTACTCGACCGATCCCGAATAGACGTATCCAAGATCCGCATCGAGAGAGCAACAGAGGAGTACGGTAACCAGACATTAGCTTCCCTACGTCGTGCACGTCTAATTGGCATCTGCAGCTCTTGCGATCTCACCGTGGAGTTCCGTCTCACCAAGACCGGGCCGATCAGCAGCACGATCAGCGAAACGGACGTCGGCCTGTCGTTCAATGGCTTCTGCTTCGCCAGAATCAGACTGCCCGAAGTGAGGACCAGCTTCTGGGCGACCAGTGTCAAAATCCAAGGGCAGCGACTCCAAATCACCGACATGACCACGTTCAAGGCATACATCCGGAGCATCATACTAGACGACGAGACAAAGTTCCAGCTCGAGCAGGGCAGATGCACCGTGACCGCGCTAGGGGTAACGGCAAACTGCAACTACCGCATGGACATTCCCATCCGCGGCATGGGAGGCCCCAAGGCAAAGTTGCGGAGCTTGAAGCGCCGTGGTGAGGACGTGACGGTGGTGCTCACCATTGAGAACCCAAGCCCGGTCGAGGTGGATCTTGGGAATACCGTCTTTGAGCTTCGAAGCGGTGTTGCGCTTGCGTACGCGGAGCTGAAGGGTCCCTTGAAAATCACTCGGGGAACCTTTGACTGTGTTCTACATGGCAAGGCCAAGGCCGGGGCTGTCATATCAGCCAAAATGAGACTGACTGGCATCTGTGCGGAAGAGGTCTCTTGGTGCCGAGAAGCTGTGCCTTTCTTGGATTTACCCGTTGATGTAAGTCCCGCGATCAGAGTGGCAGCGGAAAGGGGGCATTGAACAGATGCTGGGTTGGCATGAGGACGCATGATGTCGCATCGCGCGGCATCATGCGAGGTCTGAAGTCTTTCAATAACACATGAGTCAGAAGCTGGAGGTTGCAAATTGAGGCAACCTACGTCGGACACGTTTCTACCCACCTTCTCTTACGCATCCCTAGGTCTGTAGCAATGCGAAAAAGTGCCGAACAAGAACAATGGGGTGGCATATCCACACAAAGCACTTGTCTTTGTTCTTAAACGACTGGGCACGATGCAGGCGGCCGGTCAACGGATTCCGCAGCGACATGAACATGTTCCCGGGTAGGCTGATGATGAGAGGCATGGGAGTTGCGCAGGCGCAGATGCGAGAGCTCGTGTTGACGTATGGGCTAAGGTAGCGCGAGAAGGCAGTGGACCTCGTTGGGTTAGTGCTTCGTGTCTTCCCCAAGCCATCCCGCGCCGAGGCCTGGTCCCCACTGACGAGGTTCCAATGGCCCGCCCCTGTCGAGTCGAGTTGGCCGCCAGGCTGGATTGACTGAAATGTGTCAGTGCCGGTCTGGGCGGGGCAGGGCGGCATGCATCTCCCACTACAGGTGGGGCCCAGGGGAAGCCCAGCAAGCCCAGCACGCCTAGCATCCTCGGCGCCGCAGGGGTGTCGAATGTTTGATGTGCGAGGTCCCATGCTCCAGGGCTGTTCTGGGGCGTTCGGTGCTCTCGCTCGTGTGTCAGGAGACAATTAATCACTACGCAGCCGGCGGAGCTGTCAACCCAATAAACCTCGTGGACGAGTGATGGATGCTGCGCCAGTAACCAAGCACATCCAAACCTTGCGACACCAACACGACACGACAGCCCGCGGTGCTCGTGCAACTGCATCGTCTACTACTACCAACCACAGCCCTCTGTCAGGGGCCGCGGGAACGCGACAATCCAGGCCCTCAGGCGGTCTGCCTTGTCGACGCCGCTTTCGTACAGCCCGCCGCGTGATGCGACAACGAGCCCGACGACGCAGCGCAGCCGCTTTTCAGCCCTAATAGCAGCTGCTGCTCCTCGGATCCGCCGTTGCCGATGTGTGTCTTGTCTCTCGCGAGGTCCAACGGCTGCGTGCTTGTGCTCACTCTCCCTCCCTTCCCGCATCATACCTAGCCTCAAAGATCGGGGCAACGGAGCGGGCTTTGCCTTGCCTTGGCGATTGCGCAACAACCTCCACTCACCCTGTGGTGGTGGTCCGTCGGCTCGCCTGGCCTCCGTCCTACTTACAAGTCCCCAAGCCCGCCCTTGCCACGGAATTCGCCAGCGGTCTCCCTTTCGCACATGCCCCAATGACGCTCATCTCGGTTGCGTCAACAGCAGGAGCACGTCGCGACCGGCCTACCGTCGGCGGGAATGGCTTCCCGAAACATGAACCCTCGCCACGGGTCGCGGCAGCCGCCAAAGCATGACCTCGTCACCCGTATCCACAATAGCGCTCTCCAGACGCCCACTGGCCTCGCCGGCCGCTTCGACGTCCCTAGCTCCAACAACCCCAATCCCGCCGACTCGAGCTCCTCCGAATCCGACGCCTACACGTCCCGGCCGCGCACCTCTCGCCCCCAGCACGCACGCTCTATGAGCAACCCCTTTCCCTCGCTCTTCAGCACCAGGAAAAGGAGGCAGGATTCCACGAGCCGCCCCGCCCCCGACCTCAACGTCGACGGCGATGACGCTGGCGTCATGGCCGGCGCCAACACCGGGAAGCAGCCCAGGCCTGGCGCTTCCGCAGCGAGCAGCAAGGACTTTGCCACGGGCAACTGCATGACCTGCTCGTCGCTCGTCAAGTGGCCCAAGGATCTGAAGGTGTTCAAGTGCACCATCTGCTCCACCATCAACGACCTCGTGCCCGTCCAGGGCGACGTGCGCAGGAATGCGACCGCGGGCAGGGCTCGCGGAATGAGCAACGATCTTCCAGGTACGCACCAAAGAGGTAGAAAGGCCCGTCTTTATCCCTTGCCACCGTTTCTGACGTTGTGCTCTAGGCGTACCCATATCCACACAACACTCCAAGCGACTGGTACAACAATGTCTCCGCTCGTATCTCTCAAGGAAGCTGTGCTCGAGGTCTCGATCCAACTCGGATACCGGCTCGGCGAAGCGGCCCGGATCGCCAACCCGCGGCCCCCAATTGCTGCCGAGTGATGCGGGCAGAGGCTACGAAAAGCACCATGATCGCCATGGCCCGCCCACGAGCAGCAGCCAGCCATTGTCCGAAGCCAAATACGTCTTCGACGAGGAACCAACCTTGCGACCCAACCCGCTGCGCCAAAACAACGCCATGCCCCGTTCCTACTCATCGTCCTACCCAGAAAGGCCCACGCTGGCGGTTCCGCCTTCGACGCCAAGCAATGGTCGAAGGGAACCATCGACGTCGCGAGACGAGAACCCGAAGCGGATCTTCAAGCCCCTTGAAGACTACATTGTGTCTTGTTTTAGCTCGTTTGATTGCGTCAACTCGTCTTTTTTGACCCAGTCTGCTCGCCCAGCTGGGCGATCCGGAGGCGACCACTCGATCCGAAGGAAGCCTGTTCCTCGCGAAATGCAGGCCACTCAAAAGCCCCTCCCTGAACTCCCGCGCGAGGCGTCTCCCCCAGCAAATATCGTCGAAGGGCTAGATCCGAAAATGCTGCTCCTGGGCGACTTCGCGGAAAACGGTACTTGGTGGACTGGTGGACAGCATGGCGGGGGCACGGGCAGCACCCCGTCTGCGAGCAGGCCAGACCAGGTTACAAAGGCGATCACCTCGGCCAAGTCTCCACATATGAATTGGCAGGAGCTGGAGAGCTGGTATTCTTCCATTATCAACACGGCTCAGGGCTGGTTTGCGGTCTATGAGGAGATCTCCCAGGATCCCAACTTCCAGAGTCCAGCCGAGCTGGGCCTCGAGGCACTGGAGCGCGACTTGCTTGAAGCGCAGGCACATGTTCAGCGAGTCTTGCTCAAGGCTTCGGAGCTACTCCTCAAGCGACCGGGTCGACCCATTTCAGATCCCAGCAGTCTTCGTTTCCTACTGATACTCATGGAGAACCCTCTGCTGTACTCGGACGATCCTGTATTTAAAGGCATCCTTCAGCAGGACAGAATACCGGAGTCAGTGTCCGTTCCAGCGTCGCAAAAGCCTTCAGGGCCGCAGACTGGTCTGCTATCTGGCCATCACTCCGGCATTATCAAGCGTATCATTGGTCTTTTGTCCAATTCGTCGACCAATTGCCACAACCAACTCATTGTCTGGTTTGCGAAATATCCGCAGGCGCGCTTTATTCGTACCAAAGAGTTTGTGTCCGGCTTCTTGACGTATCGCATGCTCCGTCAAGGGAACAGGACCCATCGTACCGAAGTGGACATCACAGCTGGACTGATCCCGGAGATGCAATCCGGGAGGTCTGCGGGGGCTTACCTGTACGATGAAATTGGATCCGGCTCCTCGAAGAAGCAGAAAGAATCGGACAAGGTGACTGCCTACTCAGATGACTGGCAGGTCAAGGCCGCATCTCGTGTCCTCGCTCTGCTGTTCGCGGCCAACAACTTTCCCGGCATGAGACACGGGGATGAGGTAGTGGCAAGCGGAGGGGACGTCCAAGTTGCTGCAGTGCGCGATGGTGTGCGTGCCAGCGGGCAGGTTTTACCGACGAGCGACTTTTACAACCTCATGATAGACAACGCCGATCTGGTCAACGATTTCGAGGCATGGGAAGCAAAGAGGGCAAAGTTCTGTTTCTGCCAGTATCCCTTCTTGCTCAGCATATGGGCCAAAACGAGGATACTAGAGTACGATGCTCGGCGTCAGATGCAGAACAAGGCGCGCGACGCCTTTTTCGACAGCATCATGACGCGCAAGAACGTGAAGCAGTACCTGACACTAGACGTTCGCAGGGACTGCTTGGTGGACGACAGCCTGCAGGCTGTGAGCGAGGTCATTGGAAGTGGGAGCGAAGACATCAAGAAGGCTCTACGAATTACCTTTGCGGGCGAGGAGGGCATCGACGGAGGCGGACTGCGGAAGGAATGGTTCTTGCTCCTCGTACGCGATGTGTTTAACCCAGATCACGGTTCGTTCCGTCACCACTGCTGCCCTGCTGTGACTTACGCTAACGTGGTTAATAGGCATGTTTCTCTACGATGAGGATTCCCAGTACTGTTACTTCAACCCGTCCTCCTTTGAGACGTCGGATCAGTTCTTCCTTGTGGGCGTCGTTATGGGCTTGGCCATATACAATTCGACCATCCTGGACGTCGCACTACCGCCGTTTACGTTTCGCAAGCTTCTTGCAGCGGCCCCGGCCCATGGCCAAGGTGCCTCGGCTCACCCGAAACCGTCTATGAAGTATACGCTAGAAGACTTGGCCGAGTACAAGCCGCGCCTTGCAAAGGGACTCAGGCAGCTGCTTGACTACGACGGAGATGTGGAGGAGACGTTTGCGTTGGATTTTGTGCTCGACATGGACAGATATGGGACAGCGGTGCAGGTGCCGCTGTGCCACGGCGGAGAGCGCAAGCCGGTGACGAACAGCAACCGACGCGAGTACGTTGACCTTTATGTCCGGCACATGCTGGACGCGGCAGTTTCGCGGCAGTTCGAGCCCTTCAAAAGAGGCTTCTATACGGTGTGCGGCGGGAACGCATTCTCGCTTTTCCGACCAGAGGAAATTGAGCTCATTGTGCGAGGCTCGGACGAGGCCCTTGACATTTCCTCTCTGCGAGCGGTCGCCGAATACGACAACTGGGGGACGCGGCAGCCAGATGGGAAGGAACCAGTTGTCAGCTGGTTCTGGCAAAGTTTCCAGGACGCTACCCCGGCAGATCAGCGTAAGCTGCTTCTCTTCATCACCGGCAGTGACCGAATACCCGCCATGGGTGCGGCCATGCTGCCCATCAAAATATCATGTCTCGGCGACGATTGCGGACGATACCCAATCGCCAGGACCTGCTTCAATATGCTGTCGCTTTGGCGATATCAGTCAAAGGCGCGACTAGAGGCCATGCTTTGGCGAGCTGTGCGAGAAAGTGAGGGCTTCGGTCTCAAATGAGGCGACGGCAAGCTGACGACCTTATGAACTGTATGGCTGGATCATGCGTGTGGGATGCAAAATCGTTATAGCCAAGATTTGCCACTGAGCCTAGAATGACATGGCAGGATCATGGGTGCCACAGAGTAGCATGGGACGGCGCAGATACATCGGGGTTTTGGAATATTGGGTCATTCTGCCTTTTTGCATGGCCGGCATAACATAGAGGACAAGTAGTGGTCATACATACACTCAGGCGAATACATTTCAGCCATGAATCCCAATGCAGCTGTTGTTGATACATCGCTCCCACGTTGAGGTGCAAAGTTGGATATAATACAAGGCGGTTCTCGCCTCATGACGCCTCTTGTTCGGCCATGCCTCCCGCAGCCCTGGCTCGCTTGAGCATGTCTTCCTCCTTCTTCTTCTCGGCGCGCAACTGCCGTACCCGCTCGCGGTCGACGGCGGCCTCCTTCTTGAGCGCCTCCAAAGATTGCATCTCGGCGATCTCCTCTGCGGTAGGCTGCAAACCCTTTGCGCGGGTCTCCGCGACGAAGTACTCGAGGATGTCGGTCGAGTGCTTGTCCTTCATGTCGATGTGGACGACGCGCTCATCGGAGGCGGGGGGCTGCGCCTTGGACAGGTTGTTGCGGGAGGAGGCTGGCTGGGCGTGGGCCTCGGCGGCCGGGGAGTCTGCGGAAGGGGAGGTGGCGCTGTTGTTGCGTAGGTAGATGGACATGGTCGGAGCGGAGGAGTTTTGATCGTGGCGGTTGACAATCATGGGGATCGCCGGGTTGTGGTACTTGAGCCGCGGGAGGTATTCGCGCCAGAACTTCCTGTAAAGCACGTTTCGTGAGCAACGAGCCTGGGCTGGCAACCGGGGCTTGCAGCTTACCTGGCTCCCATGTGGCCACCGTTTATCTTGGACGCAAAGTCCATATGTATTCTAGTCACCTCCGGGGGGAGGATCGCAGCGCCGGGGCCGCATTTTATGTTGATGAGCTGCGCGATCGTGTGAGGAAGAGCTTCGTGTTAGGAACGGGCAGGTGGGAAGCATTTACCCTCTGAAGGTCGAGTTAGCAGCTTGCGCGATGAGGGCGGCCTGGGCGTTTCAGACGTACCTTTCTGAGCAGATTGAGGCGCTCTCCTAATGACCTCATCTTTGCGACTGGGCCGACGACGCGGGTGTGTCGACAATTGCAGGACGTTTTGCCTCGTGATCCTCCGTGATGTCCGCGCGACGGATGGCTGCCAGAAAATCGACGGACCCCTGCCGGTACCCGGACCGGCTAATCATCCGGGCGCGTGAGGTGCGGAGTGGAGCCGGCCATGACGCTGCTCCGGCGGCCAGGAACAAGTGCAGGGTCCCCTGGGAATTTTTTGGGCGAAGCTGCTGTCGCGACGTCCTTTTTCAACAACCGCCACCCCAGCAGCAACCATGCATCGGGCAGCGGCCGCGCGATGGCTCAACCGGGCCTTGCGCATTGGCGAGACGGGGCCGTCGACACGATTGCCCGTCTACCTGTGCCCTGCGCTCCGCTCCCCCGACAGCGGCGCCCTGTCACGCGAGCGGAGTGCGACTCCGTATAAGTCGCCCGCATCGCAATGCCGCATGAACCACACCGAAGCGGCCGCAAGCGACCATTTCAGCGCGACACCGCCGACAGAGCCACCGAAACTACCGGGTCGAAGACTGCCGGTGACGTGCAGCGGCTGTGGATCGTTCACCCAGACGGGCGATCCGCAGCAGTTTGGCTACTACGACCCGGACAGCAAGAGGGTGCGGAGCTGGCTGAAGCCGAGTGTGTCGGACAGAAGGGCAGAGGAGGCCAAGGAGGACGAGATTGTGGACGAGGTACTCAAGTCCATGGACAGCAAGTTGCTCGAGGAGCTTGGACTAAACACCACTGCTATGGTCTCTGGAGAGGCGGCGCAGGAGGTTGCTGCAGCCGGTATGCCCGCATCTCGCATGTTAACGATGTGACAGAAAGATCACTGACACACAGCCAGCTCTCACGTCTGCGCAGCCCCCGGTGTGCGACAGATGCCATAATCTCATTCACCACAGTACGGCCGGCGACACGGCCAAGCTCACCATGTACCACCCCACGGTCGAGTCCCTGCGCGAAACGATCGAGGAGTCGCCGCACAAGTACAATCACATATATCACGTCATCGACGCCGCCGATTTCCCCATGTCCCTGATACCGAGGCTTAACGTGCTGCTGGGAGACATTCCGCTGAGGTCGCGCAACCGCCGCTCCAGGTCGTCCAAGTACCAGAAGGACCGCAAGACGGAGATGAGCTTCATCGTGACGAGAGGCGACTTGCTCGCGCCCACCAAGGAGATGGTGGACGGGTTGATGCCGTACCTGAGAGAAGTGCTGCGAGATGCGCTGGGGCGGCTTGGCGGCAGGGTGCGGCTCGGCAACCTCAAGTGCGTGAGCGCGAAGAGGGGCTGGTGGACCAAGACGGTCAAAGAAGACATCTGGAAGCGAGGTGGTGCTGGATGGATGGTAGGAAAGGTCAACGTCGGCAAGAGTCAGCTGTTCGAGGCCGTCTACCCCAAGGGTCGGATGACGGAGGCTCAGCAAGGCAACTCTGCGGGCGTCGCGACACGCACGAGAGACATCTCAAGTGGTGGGCCGCTGGCTGGCGAGGTTACTCAACCAGATGAGGCGTGGGAGGACCTGGACGTTGGCGAGCTACTCCCACCCGCGCAGCCGGCGCAAAACTACCCGGTAATGCCGGTAGTGTCCTCCTTACCGGGAACTACGGCGTCACCTATCCGTGTTCCCTTTGGCAACGGCAAGGGCGAGCTTATTGACCTCCCCGGCTTGGCACGGAGTGATCTCGAGCTCTTTGTCAAGGAGGAGCAAAGGCAATCGCTCATCATGAAGAAGCGGATCGTGCCCGAGCAGATCTCGGTCAAGCCAGGAAAGTCGCTGGTCCTGGGAGGGGGCCTCATACGCATCACGCCAAGCACGCCCGACATGATCTTTCTCATGTACAACTTTACGCCATTGGAAGAGCATCTGACGAGTACGGAGAAGGCTGTCGAGTTCCAAAACCAGACGAGGCAGTCCGCGGGCGTCGAGAATATCACCTTGCCAGAGGCCGCCGAGAAGAGCAAACACGCCGGCCAGTTTCGGCTGTGCCACGACGTGACCAAGAAGCGGGCGGGCCCCCTGACTCGCAAGAATGCGGTTGGCCTGCAGGTCGACCGGCTGCCTTTCCGCGTGCTCTCGACTGATATCCTGATCGAGGGCGTTGGATACGTCGAGATTGTGGCGCAGGTCCGGGCTCGCGACTTTGAGCGGTGGTCCGCCATGCAGGATGCGGTCGACAGGCACGCGCAAGAGGGCGAAGAAACACGAGTGGAATCAGAAGACGGTGCTCCGGCGGCGTCAGATGACCCGTTTGCAGAGATGATGAACAAGAGGCGGGACACTCTGGGCGCAGAGCCGGTCCGCGCAACAGCCCGTCCTCGGCCGCTTGAGCCGGACTGGCCGTCGGTGGACGTGTACACGCCCGAGGGGCGATTCGTCGGCTCACGTCGGCCGATCAATGGATGGTTGAACAACAAGCCGCGCGTGCTGCCGGAGCACAAGAAGAGCCGGCCGAGGCGTAGCATGAAGGGCCAGAAGAAGAAGGAGAAGCAGGAGAGGCGAGGGGCAGCCGCGGCGCACGCGACAGAGTGACCGTGTAAGACCCGCGGCCCTTTGCCGTTTACGTTGGAGAACGTACGAAGTAAGATACTGTACACTAGCCAAAGCAATATACCCCGCCTGTCCATCTCTTTGTACCGTTTTAAAGGCGCATGCTTGGCGACCAGGTGATGCCCGGCACGGATTGACAGTTTGCTCGAGATTCATTGTGATGATGTTTCTTTTACAGACTTTGGAACCAAACATGGGACGTCGACGGTTCTGGTGCTAGCCGTTTTGTGGTCGTTGCTGCTGCTGCTAATTAGGTCGTGGTGGCGTCGAGCCTAAAAAGGGACCGCGGGGGCCGATCGACCCTGTTCAAGGACATGGACGACATGACGTGAACGTTTTCGAACTTGAACCAAACATCCTCCTTCCATCGGCCGGACACCACACCTCCTCCCCGTCACAGCCAGGGCCTCAGAATAGATCCGGACACTGCCGAGCATATAAACGAGGGGCCTTGCGCTGCGACCACTGTGTCTCGCCGCCGACCTTGATTACCTAGCTAGCTACATTCTACTCGCCACCAAATAAATCTCCCCACCATATCGATCACCTCTCAAACTCGCCCTCTTCCCGCAACGCCTGCGCTCTCGACGACGACGACAACGACTATGGGCGACAGAACACAGCGGCGCGATAACACGCCGACGACGTCGCAGACGACGACGCAGAACAGCACAGATTCGGAGACGCGCACCGAGTCCCCGCGGGTACTGCGCCTGCGCGGGGGGCATACCTCGAGCGGGCGGTCGGTGCAGTGGGCCGAGGACGTGGTGGACAATGAAGGGCTCGGGCGGAAGAGCTCCAAGGGTGCGTGTCGCATACGCCTCCTCCTCCTCCGTGACGGCGACGTCCCAGCCGGGGGTGCCGTCGACGAGCGACTCACTTAAAGCTGACCCTTGACCTTGCTTCCAGTGTGCTGCATATACCACAAACCCAAGGCGGTCGACGAATCGAGCGACGAGTCCTCGTCAGACGACTCGTCGTCATCCTCAGACTCCGACTCAGACTCCGGCGCGGACGACAAGAAGCGCAGCGGCGACGCAAAGAAGACGCCCGCGTGTGGGCACTCGCACGGCCACGGGAGGAGTCGCCGCCGGAAGGGACAGGGCGACAAGCAGAAGCGACCGCCCAGCCCAAACGCATACGAAAAGGTGCCCAAGCACAAGCCCAAGGAGGAGCAGGCTCCGGCCTCGAAGGCGTAGTATTTGGGGCTCAAGAATGTTGGGGGGACCTAGCGATAGAGAAAGGACTATGGGGAGGCCGAGATATCCAAACGAGGGGTCGTATCGCATACCGCGTAGCAAGGAGCCTACGTGGTTGTCACTTTAGCATTTGAGGCGTCGCATGGGGGTATTCAGCGCGATATATATTGCTTATGGGTTATGCATGCATGGGAAATATTCCATGCTTGAGGATGCTCTCTCCCATATCATGGTTAAGATGTGAGGGTATCATGGAGGCGTTCAAGGGGCGCAGGCAAATAAGACGCAGACCTGCGCCATCGTTATGAAGCGCCGCCGTCCTTGCCCTTCCCGCTGTCCACCACAAAGTACTTGCCCGCCTTCTTCGACGCCGTAGCCAGGGCATCCCACTTCTCCGCCTCCGAGTCCACCCTCTCCTTGACCCTCTTGGGCCGCCTGTAGTGCCCCACGAGCTGCTCCTTGTGGAGCGCGTCCTTGAGGTCTTGCAGGCCGATGGTTTGCTCGCGCACGCCCTCCTCTGTCTCGTCGCGGATCGCGCGCAGGGGCTCCACGCCCGCCGTGTCGACGCGCTGGACGGCGCGCACGAAGCGCAGCTGGCCCTGCAGGGTGGCGATCATGGCGTCCTCCTCGGCGGGGGTCTTGGGCAGCGGCAGGGCGGCGAGGCGGAGCAGGTGGTGCAGCTGCGCGGGCGTGATGGGCTCGGTGGGCTGGTCGCCGCGGAGGGTGCGGATGGACCATGACGGCCCGCCGGAGAGGATGTCGGCGACGGAGGAGGAGGGGGAGGGCGCGGAAGGCGCGGGGGCGGCTTGCTTGGTTGAGAGAAAGGCCGTTGACGCGGCGGCTGGCGATGCTCGCCTGGGTGCGAGGCCGGAAGGCTGTGGCCGGGTGGCTAGCCGCAGGGCCTGGCGACAGCTCCTGCACAGAGACATGGCGTGCGCAGGCGATTCGGAGCTGCGTGTGTGTGCTGTCGCCGATTAAGGCGCTCGGAGGTCGAACGGATCGGACCTGTGTTCCTGGATCGAGGGTGGTGGTGGTGGTAGAGGGATATCGGATATGCGGGCGGTTGGAACAGGACGGACAGGGTCCAGCGCTTACAGGACATTCAGCAACGGTGCCCGCTGCAGAAGTTGTACTTTCTCCCCCACCAAGTGTCCCGCGTTGTCCGAGTACCTTGGCGGGGCCGGCCGCCTGAGGACCTACTAGGTACCTATGAGCCCGGACGGGACGAAGGAGACGGCACCAGCGGCTGAGCTCTGCCCCCCCACTGCTGCTGCGCAGTGGCTCAGGCGTGACACGTCCGGCGTCATAGCTAACCGTGGGTGCGGCCGCTGACCTTGAACACACCTCCGACACCCTAGGTAACCCATCGACGAAGCCACGTGTATCGGCGCTTCGCCTTCGAACCCGCCCTCCCGCTCCTCACAAACGCATACGGGAACCCACAGCATCCATCATCATGGCCCAGGATCCGCGTGCACTGCTGCAAAAGGTGCGACCGTCTCCGTGATCGCCTGCGTTGCGATGCCCCTCCCCCGCCGCCGCATCGTCGATCTGCCCGCATGGCGAGGAATACTATGCTGACGAACGACCGTCCATGACAGGCCGAGAAGGCGCTCCAAGGCGCCGGGAGCGGCTTCAGCTTCTTCGGCGGCCGCGAGGAAAAGTACCAGAATGCCGCGGACATGTTTGTCCAGGCCGCCAACGCCTTCAAGATGCAGAAGCAGAGTATGTCTAGCCACTGCGCAGACGCCGCGGGGGCGACAACCCGGCCGAGAACGCCTGCCGCTGACGAAGCTGTGACATAGACGTCGACGCCGGCAAGGCCTTCGAGCAGGCCGCGCAAATACAGACCAACAAGCTCAACGAGCCGGACGATGCCGCCAACACCCTCGTCGACGCCTTCAAGGCGTACCGCAAGGAGGACCCCCAAGCCGCGGCGCGGTGCCTCAACGTTGCCATCGACCGATACTGCTCAAAGGGCAACTTCCGCAGGGCGGCCACGCACAAGGAGAGCCTAGGCGAGCTGTACGAGCAGGACCTGGGCGACACCAAGAGCGCTCTCGAGGCCTACGAGTCGGCGGCGGGGTGGTACGAGGGTGACAATGCCAACGCGTGAGTTGAAGCCGTCGGACGTACGTATTTGGACGTTAGAGCACTGACGACAGTTGCGACAGTCTCGCCAACAAGCTGTGGCTCAAGGTGGCCGACGTGGCTGCGCTCGATGGCGACTACAACAAGGCCATCGACAACTACGAAAAGGTGGCCGAGCAGTCCATCAACAACAACCTGATGAAGTACAGCGTCAAGGACTACCTGCTCAAGGCGGGCATCTGCCACCTTGCGAGCGGCGACCTGGTGGCGGCGCAGCGCGCCCTCGAGCGCTACCGCGAGCTCGACCCGGGCTTCGCGACGCAGCGCGAGCACATGCTCCTGGTAGACTTGTGCGAGGCGGTCGAGGCCAAGAGCCAAGAGCAGTTTACGGACAAGCTGTTCCAGTACGACCAAGTGAGCAAGCTGGACAAGTGGAAGACGACGATCCTCGTGCGGGTCAAGAATTCCATCGAAGAGGCCGACGACGAGTTTGCCTAAGGGGCAGGGGGAAGGGAAGGCAGGCAGGCATGTTTCGGAGACGAAGACGACATTGATACTGGGCGTTGGACGTATTCTTTGCGGCTATTGCTTTAGGGATGTGACTACACTGGATGAGTTGCGACGGTTCGGCGGAACATGTAGAGGAACGGGGCCGTTCCCGCGCATCACATAAGAGAGGCCGATGCTTGGCTATATTTTACTGATGAAGTCGATGAATTCGCGAGTACGGCGTGAATGCTCACATGAGCTGATCGCAGTTCAAATGAAGTCGCTCCGACACGAGGCGGTGATTCTGCATATAAAATCATTTACGGCAAGGAGAGACAGGTGGTGTAGGTGAAGCTGGCTGGCCAGTGCCCGCCGGAGGCTAGATCGGCCCGCTGGGCCGCGATTCCTGAGGTTCAATCCAGCACACCTCAGGCAGCGCGGCGACCTTCACGCGACCAATCTGGGCCTCATCTCCCACTAAGAGCCAGCCATTGCCCACATCATCCTGCCACGGTCAATCGAACACAGGTCATCAACAATTGACAGCCCTGCACCATTCGCTCGCTCAACGCCTGCCTGACGTCCAAACGGCAGCGCCAGTTCACCGACCGGCCGGTGCATAGTGGCCCGGGCTCGTTTCGACGGCGGGCCTTATGCCGGCGTCGCACGCCTGCTCGCCTCTGCTCGCGCATCCCTTTCGTTCGGCACTGGCTGCTGGTACTTCGTCCACTTATCTCAGGCGCCCCCGCCAATTTTTACCACCCCGCCAACCCTCCAGGCTCTTCCTCCCTCTACCCCACCATCGTCAGACTCAACGTCCGAGGACTTTTGCCAACATGGTGGCCGACGCGTCGTTCGACAATCTTGCTCGCCAGTTTGGGCACCTGCCGCTCATTGACCGGTTTCCCAACTGCTACCCCGACATCAACCCCGTCGACGTCTACCGGTCGCACATCACGAGCATCCTCCACGACATCACCGGCGTCGATCCCAAGATCATCTACCCTGCCCTGCAATGGACTGCCACGCTGGAGAAGGGCGACTTGATGCTCGCAATCCCGGCGCTTCGCGTCAAGGGCAAGCCTGATGATCTGGGCAAGCAATGGCTGGACAAGGTTCGTTCGTTCCACCCGTTGCGCCGCTGACCTCCAGACTGACAACCGACCTCCAGTGGCCCGAGTCGCCTCTCGTCGAGAAGCCCGTGCAGAGCGGCCCGTTTATTCCCTTCTTCTTCAAGGCCGGACCGCTCGCCAAGACCGTCATTCCCATGGCGCTCTCCCACCGAGCCGACTTTGGCACCAACAACTCCGTCGGCCTCAAGGACCTGGACGACCCCTCCAAGGGTCGCCAGCGCATGATCGTCGAGTTCTCGAGCCCCAACATCGCAAAGCCCTTCCACGCCGGTCACCTGCGAAGCACAATTATTGGCGGCTTCCTGGCAAACCTCTACAAGAGCGCCGGTTACGATGTCGTTGCCATCAACTACCTCGGCGACTGGGGCAAGCAATACGGCGTCCTGGCCCTGGGTTTTGAGAAGTACGGCAACGAGGCCGATCTCGAACAGGACCCCATCAACCACCTGTTTCAGGTGTACGTCAAGATCAGCCGCGATGTCCAGGACGAGAAGGACCTGGCGGACAAGCTGAAGGCCGAGGGCAAGGAGGACGAGGCCAAGAAGATCATCGAAGAGGGCCTGGACGAGCAAGCTCGCAAATACTTCAAGAAGATGACTCAGGGCGACGAGGAGGCATTGGCCCTGTGGAGGCGATTCCGCGACTTCAGCATCGAGCGTTACAAGAAGACGTACGCCCGACTCAACATCCACTTTGACGAGTACTCCGGCGAGAGCAAGGTTTCCGAGGACGACATGCACAAGGCTGCCGATAAGATGAAGGAGCTGGGCCTGGCTGAGGAGCACGACGGCGCGCTTCTCATTGACTTTGTCAAGAACATTCCCGGCAAGGAGGGCAAGCAGCTCGGCAAGGCCGTTCTGCGAAAGAGGGACGGCACTGCGCTGTGAGTCAATCCGCGGGATCTAACCTCTTCTCACTCCACTCTGACTTGGCGCAGGTACTTGACACGAGACATTTCCGAGCTTCTGAACCGTGAGAAGAAGTACCACTTTGACCGCATGATCTACGTCATCGCGTCGGAGCAGGACCTTCACGTCAAGCAGTTCTTCAAGGTGATTAGATCGCTCCGCGACGGCTAAGCAGCGGCTGACGACATGCAGGTTGTTGGTATGATGGGCCATAAGGACATTGCCGACAAGTGCCAGCACGTCAACTTTGGTCTTGTGCTGGGCATGAGCACCAGGAAAGGTAGGAGTCCCAAGCCTCGCAGGTGGCGCTCTGTAGCTAACCATATCTCACACAGGCACCGTCAAGTTCCTCGATGTAAGAAATACCTCAAAATAGGCGGTTCTGCACGCTGCGCTGCGCATGAAGCCATACAATTACTGTTGCTGACACCACTTCTAGGACATTCTCCGTGATGTTGGCGACCATATGCACGAGACCATGAAGAAGAACGAGGACAAGTATTCACAAGTCGACGACCCCGCCAAGACTGCCGACATTTTGGGCATCTCCTCGTAAGTCTGAGCTGAATTACCAAGTTATTCACATCCCGCTAACGCAGTCGCAGTGTCATGGTTCAAGACATGTTGGGCAAGCGGTAAGTCTTTTGTACAACAATATCCATGGGCAAGGCACTGACTGACTGGGTGGCAGAATCAACAACTACACTTTCAACCTGCAGAGAATGACCAGCTTTGAGGGCGACACTGGGCCGGTATGTGACAGCAGTAAACAATTGCAGTTTGTTCAGCCTCTAATCGAAAACAGTACCTCCAATACGCCCACGCCCGACTTTGCTCCATCACCCGCAAGGCTGGGCTCGGGGCCGACGACATCGCGACCGCTGATCTCTCTCTTCTCACCGAGCCCATGGCGGTCAACCTCATCCGCGTCGTGTGCCAGTGGCCGGATGTCGTCTCAAATACACTCAAGACTCTGGAACCTACTACTATTCTGACGTATGTCCATTCTTTGTCTTGCTTGTTCATATGAAGTGCCGTTACTGACATTTGTGTAGTTATCTCTTCAAGATGACGCACATCTTGAGCACCAGCTACAGCCACCTCCGCATCGTGGGTAGCGAGCCCGAGGTTATGAAGGCCCGCATGGCCCTCTACGACTCCGCCAGGGTGGTTCTGCACAACGGCATGGTCCTGCTCGGCTTGACGCCGCTTGACCGGATGTGATGAGCTTTGGCCCCGAATGATACCTCAAAAAGACAGACAAGAGTGAAAAGATGACTGGAGCATCACTAGACTAGACATCTAAACACGTTTGATGTTGTCCAATCCTGGTGGTTTATTTTGCTTTCCCTCGTGTGGGTTTGACCTGTTGCCAGATGACTAAAATTACCACGCCAACTAACCATGTATTCTCGACTCGAACTCTCCTGGAATTTTCACCAACGCTTTCGCATCACCATTGCAATGTTGTAGCTTATGATTCGGACAGCCGATATCAGCAAGGTACCGCGGACGAGGCAACTCAGCCCTGCCACTTGTCAGACTGGGTAGCGCTCGTGGCGCAGGACTTTGGCACCGTGTAGGTGTGGTTTGGATCCTTTTCCCATGTCACGGAGCCGTCGGTGTTTACGTTGATGTACTTGTACTCGATGACCTGGCCGGCCGGGAGCGTCACGGTGCCCTTCCACAGAGGGTTGCTCGACGTGTACTCGGACGCCTCAAGGGCAACGGCCTTGCTCGTGTCCCAGTTCCCCAGGGCGCCGGTGTTGCCGACAATCTTGATCGTCTGGCCGTACTTTGTCGTGACTAGCTCCTTGAACGTCACGGCGACGGACGTGGCTGCCTGGCATGAAGAGGTGGTTGTTGACGTCGTTGTGGAGGAGGAAGGGCTGCCTGTGGTGGAGGTGGTCACGCTGGTGGGCGGCACGCCCGTCGAGGGTGTTTGGGACGGCGGGAACGACGTGGCCGTGGCACTCGAGTAGGACCCCACGACAGACGTGGCGGAGCACGTCCCTGGAACGGACGTGGCCTTGTCGTTTGCCCACGACGGCGGCACGACGCCAGCTCGGCGCGCAGCCGCCGTGAGGAAGGCCGCGTACGACCACGTCAGGTCCCGCGCAGACATAGGATGCCCGTCGTCCTTGGAGAACTGCTCGGCGAGAGACCCATTCGCAGCGGCATACGTGGCGACGATGTTGACGAACCCGTCGGCGTAGGCCGACACCGCGTCGACGATGCTGGTGAAGGTCGCCGAGCCGCTGGCGTACGTGCCCTTGGCCGCGCCGGGGACCAGGTCCTGGAAGAAGGCGAGCGACGTGTCCGTCACGGCGACGGAGCCGGCCTGCTTCCACACGTACAGCGCGTCGTAGAGCTGCTCGGCGGCGGCCAGGGTGGCGAGGTACCACGGGTTGCCGTTGTAGTAGACGTCCTCGATGTAGCGGCCCACGGCGGCGGCCTTGCCCTTGCCGAGCCCGCTGTTGATCTTGTACGTGCGGAAGGAGTCGACGGTGGCCTTGTGGTTGGAGAGGGCCCTGTCGCTGCAGGGCTGGAAGGTGGCGGCGTCGCAGCCCAGCTTGGGGTCGAAGGAGTGGATGGACGCTAGGATGGTATTGGCATCCTTGCCTGCGCGGCCGTTGTTGACGTTGACTTTTGTTGGTGAGTTATGTTGTCAGCTTGTGTAAGTGGCTCGTCCACGGGGTTCGTCGACTTACTGTTTGCCCGGGCGTAGCCTCCGGACGAGTCCCAGAAGGTCTGGAGGAAGCACAGGATCTGCGGCGCGACTGCGGTGTATGAGGTGGCGGGTTTTCCGAGGGTGGATGCCAGATTGCCGCCATCGATGAGAGCTTGTCGTCGTGTAAGCCACAGGGGGCCAGATGCGGGTGTCTTGGACGATGAGGGGATCTTACCTCTGTACTGGCTAGCGACGGTGAAAAAGGAACTGCCGTTGACTTCCTCCCACAAGTCGAACCCAGTCCGGTTCCTTGATCGTTCGGTCAGCTTGCTGTATATTCTACCCCCCTGGGGTAACATGTTGAGTCGTACCAGTACTGTGCCACGTAGTTCAGATCATTCTGGACGACCGGCCAGACGATAGTAGAAGCCGTTGAGGTGTACCCGTTCTGCACGAGCCAGTTGGCGTACGTGATCATGGCGATGGCTCTCAGGGCAGGACCGTCCCGCTGAGGTCGACCTAAATGAGCAGGGTCAGATATGCGTTCGGTCATTTTTCTTCAACGATGCGGACGCACCCCATGCACCGGTAAAGGCAGTCAGGTCCGCATTGTACTTTGGCTCCCCGAGGCCCTGGCCGTCAGACAGGGATCCGGAAGGGTCCGATATGCCCTGGAGCTTCGCCTGCGAGGCAATGTACTCTTGGATATGGCGCTGCAGCCCGGCGTCATACTGGGTAGTGAACCGGTCAACAGTAGCTTTAAATACCAGGGCGCTATCCCGGGTCCATGTATAAAAGTCTTGAGAGTGGCAAGTCAGCTTGGGGGACGTCCATCTTCGCACGCGCATGGTAGGGTGCTTCCAAGGGAGCAGACGGGTGCTTACAGTCGGGGTCCTGCTTGCTGGGCGAGGCAATGACAGCACCAGACGCAGCGCCCTGAGCATTGCAGCCATCAGACCCAATGTTGCAGAGTAACTGCTCCAAGGCAATAGGGGTCTCCGTGCCGATGAAGGAGTCAACGGAGCGCTTCAGGAGAAGGGGCTGCCTGCTCGCGCCGGCGCGTCCGAGGACGTGCTGAACGGCCACAGAGCCCAGGAGCAGAGCGGTGGAGAGGAAGTGCATGATGGGGTTCACGAGAGACGCCGTGTCGTTGACGGACAGGCCGGGGATGTCCTGGTCGAGCACCTCCATCGTGACCTTTTATATCAGAAACAACAGGCGTGTATACAATACGGGAACAGGCCCGGCAGCTACTAAGCTCGAGAGGCTGGCCTCGGTTACGCTCGCGTGGGAGTTCCCCATGGGGTCCCGCCTGAGGTTTCCAACGGGCCGATACCATGCGTTACATGAAGCGCCGAGGAGCGGGCGGAGGGATGCCGGGTGAGGCTAGAGCGAATGCCGTGCCCGGGGTGCTTTCCTGTCTTCCGCTTCCCGTATGAGGGTCGGCGGCGTTGATGTAGGTGATCGCCAAGAGCGAGAGAGAGAGAGCGTACAGCTTACACCGTCACTCGGCGGTATTGATCGACCGACGGGACCTGGGGGTGTGACGGCGCCAAAATCGACAACCAGGGGCAAGACCAAGATTGAGGGCATCCGTCCGGGGTTGAATGGGGAGGAGGGGCGGGCCGGCGCCGCTCGTCCCTCGTGATGACGAGATGTGATGCCCTGGGCGGCGGGAGAGGGAGGGTGTTCAAGCCACTGCGCATGCAATCACCTGCATAAGGGAGGCGCTATGCCGTCTGGATGGGCAGGCGCCGTTGTGGGGTCGGGTAGCAACCCAACTGCCGCTTCCCGGGTTGCTCGCTGTGGAGAAACGGAAACTTGAGACAACTCGTTGAGGTCGCGTTTCTTCACAAGCTTCTCATGCTGGCGTAGGTGCTGCACAGTTACTACCCAAGAAGCACTGGATTGTCTTAACACAATGAGTAGTGCCTGCAGCAAACGGCACGGCAAACTCGCGTCGTGGCACATGCGACGAGCCGTGGGATAGAACAACTTGCAAACCGGCTTTGATTCTTGGCCTCTGTGTTGTGCTTCACGTCCTGTGCGAGAAGACACAACCCGTCTTCAGCCGCCATGTCACGGGCTTGGTGAATGCTAACAAACAGGCGAAACAAGTTGTCCACCTTCCCATTCGGCCCGCATTGCAACATCGCTTACGGCTAAAGTCCAAGTATTGATGCATCTCCGACGTCAACGACTTTGCACCTGGGCCATGCATGCCAGGGCAGAACGCACAAAAACAGTCACGACATTCACGTGCTACGGCAAGTGATGGACGACCAGCATCGCGTCCGCCCTCAAACGTCATCAACAGCGCGATGCACCCGCAAGCCACGAGGCCTAGGGTATGAGCCTCGACCCGAAACGGGCCGAACGCCAGACAGAGCCGCCCCCGGAGTTGGCAAGTCGAGCAGGCCGCGTGTCCCGAGTTGCTGCAGGTTCTCGCCAACCCTGTTCGCGATCGACGTTGAAAACGGCTAGTGCTCCGAGAAGCTGTCGTTCGTCGGTCCGACGAAGCCCAGCTCAACCCGGCCCAGCCTGCCACGACCACCACCGTAGAAATCCGCATCTCCTCAAGCTGAAATGTAGACAGGCAATGGTTTGCCCCAACCTCACCGACCGACGATCTCGGAAAAGGGGTTTGGAATATAGCGCCTCCGACCACCGACGGCCAAGCTCAAGCCGTCTTGCGACGACGAGCCGGACCGTCGGGGCCAGTTGTTCTGGGACCTGTCGATAGGATTATTACCACCATAGCAGGTTGATGGCTCCATGAAGTTATCGAGCTGCAGAGCAGTCGACCCTGAAATCCCGGAGGACCAAGGGACCGCAAAGCACAGATCCGTGATTGTATGTGAAAGAAGAGAAGGGGGAGAGAAATTTCGGCGGGCGCGACTAAAAAAGGCACGCTTGCTCGGCGACGCGGTGGGGTCGCAACACGTGACATGGTACCTTGTCTGCTCGTCCCATTCTGGACATTTATGGCTCCTGCTGCCTGTTTATGTAATGCCGTCATCGCGTGTCGACGACTGAATTCTTCCCGCCTCGTGAGCGACACGGCCATCCCATTCCCACAACGCGACGCAAGGACATCCGAAGCCATGGACGCCGCGACGATCGAGGAGGCGAACCGCATCCGCGTGTCGCTGGGCATGAAGCCCTTGCCGGTGCCCGGCGCTGACACTGCCCAAGATCGCGACAGTAGCGACGCCTCGGACAGCGATGGCGAGCCTCCCGCGAGCACGCTGGAGACCCGGCAGGCTCAGGCGTACGACAACTACGCCAGCCATATGGAGGCCGAGGCCCAGAAGAAGAAGCGCGAAGAGCGCGCGGCTGCCATTCGCAAGGCGCGCGAGAAGGCCCAGCGATTCGCCGCCATCGAGGGTCACGGACTCGGCGAAGCCGACAAGGCCGGCGAACTCGACACCAAGTCGTGGTTGATGGGTCAGAAGAAGCGCCAAAAGAAAATCGAAAAGGCACGAAAGCTCGAGGAGGAACTGGCAGCCGCAGAAGCTGCAGCTGCCGCCGCTGTCCAGTACACCTCCAAGGACCTTGCCGGCATCAAGGTTGCCCACGACTCGTCGGCTTTCCTCGAAGGCAATGACCAGATCCTCACCCTCAAGGACACCACGATAGACGAGAATGAGGAAGAGGGCGACGAGCTGGAAAATGTGGACCTGCGAGACCAAGAGAAACTCTCCGCTCGATTGGACCTCAAGAAGCAGCGGCCCGGCTACAACCCCAACGATGACGACGATGGGGAGCGGGGAATTCTATCGCAATACGATGAGGAGATTGACGGAAAGAAGACAAAGAAGTTCACGCTGGATTCTGATGGCGCCATCGCCGAGCTATCTGACATCCTGGGTCAACCGGCACCAAAGTCCAACAAGCTGCAGAGTGTCAGCCTTGATGATGTGCTTGGTAAGTTGCCTTCCAGATACTGCCTCTTGAGGCCACACTGGCTAACAGGTCTTGTCCCAGGCGACGCACCCTTGTCTTCTGACTACTTGGCGCCTTCAGAAATCAAGGTCAAGAAGCCCAAGAAGAAGAAATCCAAGGGCACACGTCAGAGGCAACGTGATGAGGACGACTTCTTTCCTTTGGAACCGGTAGAAGCCGACGAGAACTCTATGGAAATCGACAGCAAGGATACTTCGAGCGGTGCCAAACGCAAGGCGACGACCGATATGTTTGTTGACGACGACGATCTCCAAGCCTCCCTGGCCCTGCAGCGGAAGTCGGCACTAAAGAAACGCAAGAAGATGCGGCCCGAAGACATTGCGAAGCAGCTGAAGGAGCAGACTGATGAGCCGCTGGACCAGAGTCAAGACGGCGGCCTTGTCATAGGACAGACATCCGAGTTCGTCGCTGGTCTTACCAAGCGTGATGAGGAGGAGGAAGAGGAGAGGAAGCCTAGGCGACAGAAAGAGGATGAGAGCAGGGATAGCAAGGCCGATTGGCTCAATCCAGGAGACGACGAGGACCACGCAATGGAGGAGGCAGACAACCTCGACGGCCATGATGGAACGGCGACGGAACGAAGATCCGAAGCTCCCGATGGTGACGATAATCCCATTGACGAGGAGAAAGCAGTTGGTAGCGGCATGGGAGCGGCTCTGTCGTTGCTGCGGGAGCGAGGCTTGCTACAAAGTTCCCAAGACGGGTCGCACGAGAAGATGCTTCAACGCCAGGAATACTTGAGGAAGAAGCAGGAGCTGGAAGATGAATTGGACGAGAAGGCCCGGCAGCAGAGAGAGAGGGACCGGTCGAGCGGCAAGCTGGACCGCATGTCGCGCGCCGACCGAGAGGAGTACGCCCGACAGCAGAACGCCTGGCGCGACCACCAGCACTCGCGGCGCGTGGCGGAGCTCATCACGGCTACGTACAAGCCCAACGTCCAGCTCAAGTACACGGACGAGCATGGCCGCAGCCTCGACCAGAAGGAGGCGTTCAAGCACCTGAGCCACCAGTTCCACGGCAAGGGCAGCGGCAAGGGCAAGACGGAGAAGAAGCTCAAGCAGATCGACGACGAGAAGCGGCGCGAGGCCCAGAGCCTGTTCGACGCGAACCAGGGCAGCGCCATGAACGCCGCGACGGCGCAGCAGCTCAAGAAGCGGAGGGAGGCGGGCGTCCGGCTCGGATAGGCGAGAAACTCCCCCGACCGGCGCAGGAAAATGTTTTAGCAGCACCCACCCTTCCCTTGCGGTTTGGACAAGACGACAGAAACTACCGAAAGGTGCATGATACCCTGACTTTTTCTCTCTTACCATTTTGCCATTTCGGTGGCCTTGTTCTCTTGCTCGTTGCTGACACCGCTCTGTGCTCTGCCTAGACGCGACGTACGCGACGACCTCGTGTACAAGGTTTGTCCATGCCGCGACGAGTGTATGTATGCCTGCACACACGGGATCGCGACAGCATGAAGTTATGCTGCTCGGCTTGGTCCCCGTAGCCTGTTTGTTCCCTGCGGTTTGAGTGACCCGATGGCCGTTGCCGTACCCACTGTCGCACCATCGCGTGACAGTTTGTGGTTGTGCCGAGGCTTCTACCACAGAAACATGTCAAAGTATCTTGCCCGACGAAGAGTATGAACCGAAAACTCGCAAAGACGTAGTTGCATGTCTATAGCCTATAAACAAAGAACCGCCCGCGCGCATGGTTCCATTCGCTCGTATTCCAAAACAACGTCCCAGATGTGTGTGTGTATACCTGTACCCCGAAACGCCAAAACAAGACCAAGAAAAGCGTTCAAAATACATCATCTATCGTTCAGAGCGACACCTTCGCGCCAATCCCCCTCCCCTCGTATTTCACTTCTTGTATCCAATTCCCCACCCTCAACGTGACGTCCGCCACGGCATCCAGCTTCAGCGAGCCTCCGAGGGCATCCTTAAGCTTCTCGAAGCCAACGCTGCTCGTGGACCACTTGACGGGCAGCCGCGGGGTCTGCGACAGGCCAGGCGGGGCGTCAAAGGGCTCGTCGTGGAGTATTTGGCCTACCGGTTCGGTGTGGTTATAAAAGGCCGTTGCGTTGATGTACTCTATGTGTACCGTGTTGTGGTGCAGGGGCGAAGCGAGTGTGAATGCCGCGGTCGATGACAGGATGTGAAACGTCGCGTCGCGGATGAAGCCATGGCTGTCGTCACTGTCGTCGTCGTCGTCCCCAGGGAGCTTGACGCGAGGAGTGTTGAGCGTAATGTTAATCTTTGACAATGCCTCGCCAATGATGGGCATTGTCGGGATGGTGCCGCGATGGGTTCTGATCTCTAGAGTCGTATTCTTCCCAGAGAGGTATTCGGACAGCAGCTGACGGCTGACTTCCTGTCCGCGGCTGCCGCTAAAAGCCATGGGATCCCACGTCGCGGTGACGGCTATGTCTGCGTTGTCCCCGAGCTGAAAGTCCACGTCCCTTGCAATTGCCTCTCCAATCATAAATCCGTGCTTCATAACATGAACGTTGATATAAGGTACTGTAGCCGTGTAAGGTGTAGGGTTTGTCAAGTTGATCTTTGCTTGCAAACTGACACCGGTTGCTGATGTGTTCATAATTCGTAGGTCGCTGACGTGCGGGTCCAGAGCCGAGACGGTATCCCCGGGAATGTCTGCAGGTGCCATTATTAGCAATCGACTCTGCAGCAGCATGTGGGAGACCCGCCAAGAAAACAAGCTTGAGCGGACCGGAGGAAGTCGGCATGGCCTCCACATGCGGACATACAGGACTACCAGATCGAGGACGGACGTTTTACTGGGACTTTCCCCTGCGCAGGGACGCCTTTCAGGACCAGTTTGCCAAGCACCGTCGCGACCTTGACATCGACGGACGACTTGACGTCAAGGATAATGTCCTCGTCCCCAAACAGAAGCTTCTGCATCAGATCTCCAAAGATGTCGCCGTCTGTGATGTCGATGGGTGCATCGGTGATGTGGGACGTGATGGTGATGAGATCTTCGTCATTGCCGGAGCCAGGAGTGACACTCGAGTTGGCCTTTTGCCATTCATCGAGGTTCAGCTCGCCGAATTTCTGGTCCTCGTAGATGAGATCGCCGTTTGCCCTCAGGCTGTCAACTTCGATGTTGATGTTCAGCTCTGCCGGGAGGGCGGCCAAAACCTGGACCGTGCCCGACACACGGGGCTTGCCGTTCGGGTCGTTGGGGTCCGCAAAGGGGCTGGGCATCTTGAAATCAACATCCGTGAGGGAGAAATTGCGAATGAAATTGTCGAAGTTGCGGCCCGGGAACTCGACTGGGACAGTGATGCTCTCCAAGAACTCTCCGACCCACTTTGGGAGGTCAGACTGCTCCGACGCCTTGCCACGCACGAATACCCGAGCGTCTTCCCCATGCAGGTAGTGCTTCATGAAGTTGTCCAGCGGGGAGAGCTCCGTGTCAGGGCAAGCTCGCGTCAGGGTCTCCGGCAGTTCGCGAATGACGCCCTCGGCCTCTGCCGTAACGTCCGACTTTGGCCTAACCTGGATGATGCTGGTGATTGCTGAAGCAACCTTGATGTTAGGCTCTGAAGGGTTGCAGTTGGGGACAAGAACTTCAAAGGCCAGCGACGGAACATCGAGGCCCACAGGGTAGTCGTTGTGTGCCGTGATGGAAACATTGGCACCGACACCCATGCGTCCCCCGTCGCCGAGGGGGACGTCGTGGAACACCAGGTTTTGAATTTTATACTCGGGGATAGAGGGAATCTCCTTGGCTGCGAGAGCGTTAGCTAGAGTACATATGAGGAGGGCTTTTATCTATCTAATTGTCTTCTGTCCAAAATACAACGCTGCAAAGGTGCGGTAGAGAGATTGACCTTCAAAAACCATTGTTTCCACCACGTCGTGAGTGCCTAGAGGCAAGATGCCAGACTTGAGGCTCAGCGAGGCAGCGCCATTCACTTTGAGTTGGTCAAGCTTGCCATCAAGCCACTCGTTGACAATCTTTCGCATGAGTTCGGCGTCCCCAGGCGTGACATCGGCCACGAAGTCCAGTTGGTTGTTGTGGCCATCCACGAGATCAAGCGAGAGAGGCGGCACAATGGCAGAGCCGAGGAGAGCGTTGTCGTAGTTCGGGAGACGCACGTAGAGCCGCGTCTCCTCCGTGCCGAGATGCCTCATGATTCCAGTGGCAAGTCTACCAATTCGGCGGGCATTGTCGTCGGTCACGCGGGCCCCATCCAGGCGGAAGTTGGCCTGAATACGGGCCCGCACACCATCAGCCGTCAGAGACTCGAGCGACAAGCTTGTAGGCTCCAGGACCGCAGCGGTTTCGGCGTATTGCTTGACAGCAGGGGGAACGATGAATCCGAGAACGATGATGACAACAACTGATGCTGCGAGGACCAGGATGGCGATGAGCGATGGCCACCTCCACTTGCGCTTGGTGCTGTGGTGGTCCTTGACTGGGTCTGACGACGAGTTGCGGCGCTGGTTGGTATCGCCATCGTGCTCCGATTCATGGTGGTTGGAGAGAAGAGGCGAGGACTCGTTCGGGGCTTGCTCCTCGTGCTGCCGCGCGAGGAGTGGCGATCGTTCAGTGTCAGACATCGTGGCGTCGGGCGGGCGTCGCCGGGTGCCTGCTCGAGCCGACTCCCGACCCCGGCGTCGTGAACAGAAGGGGGTGAGCGAATGAAGCAGCGAGCGAGGATGCGAAAAAAAAAATCCCAGCTGCCTATCGATGGAGTTTGATGGCGGAGGGATGGCCGGAAGATAGAGCGATGGGAGCGGCGATGATGACGACGATGAGGATGATGCAGGTGTAAGAGGCGCCCGCGACGGTCACGCTCCCGGTCCAGACTCCCAGACCCTGGGCGGTCGCTGATTCAGTCGGTCATCATCAGTCCCGCCGCGGTCGGGGAAGGGCCCCGCAGCGGCACTCAAATTTGAGCGCTGGTTGGTTGGCGGACAGGCATAGAAGGCTAGTCCACAAGAGGTATAGCGCACGCAGCTTCCCGTCAGAACCTCAACGGGGGCCCAACTGGAGCTCAACGGGTGGAATGGGAGGCAGATCCAGCTGTAGGGGTGCTGCATGACTCCCCATTAGTGACCGCTTCAGTGGGCCTGGACGGCATCGCAGCCACTGAGTGCGCTGGTGTGCCTGCTGTGCGACTCCATCCTCCCGGGCTGGGGTCCTTTGCCCCGTGCCGGAACGTGCGCCGATGAAGGCTGTCTCTGACTCTTCCAACACAGCTGCCACTTTTGAGCCCTCACCGTCGAGAGAACAATACTGTTCCAATCTCATACTCAAGCTCCCCAAGGCCCATCGCCATTGATTCATCCACTGCAGTCCCGCATCACGGCTAGCCATTGAGTTTACACGATTCCATCCCCAGGTCATAGCGACATCGGCATCCGTCGTCCGCCATGACGCCCACAGCTTTTCGAGTCGCGCGAGGCGCCGCAAATACTCTCCAAAAGCGCAGCTACTCGTCACAGACACTGGCGCCCAGGCATCTCATGTCCATCAGCGACCTGCAGCCGAGCGAGTTCTCCAACCTGGTGCGCAATGCAGCGGCGAGGAAACAGGCCGTCAAGGCCGGCCAGGCGCCCGCGTCGCTCACCACATCACTCACCGGCCAGACGGTCGCCATGATGTTCAGCAAGCGCAGCACGCGGACCCGAGTCTCGACTGAGGCCGCTGTAACTATGCTCGGCGGGCATCCCATGTTCTTGGGCAAGGACGATATTCAGCTTGGTGTGAGTAAAGGTCAGCCTTACGATCAGTACCTTGGGCTAACCGTGCTGCGCAGGTCAATGAGTCTCTATATGACACGTCTGTTGTCATTTCCTCAATGACTTCCTGCATGGTCGCTCGAGTCGGCCCTCACTCAGACGTCGCTACGCTGGCCAAGCACTCCAGCGTGCCCGTCATCAACGCGCTCTCTGACGATTTTCACCCCCTCCAGACCATTGCCGACTTTCTCACCATCCACGAGGCGTTCCCGTCGTCCAAGGGATCTGATTCCGGTCTCGGCCTGAACGGCCTGAAGGTCGCCTGGGTTGGAGACTCGAACAATGTGCTCTTCGATCTTGCCATTGGATGCGTCAAGATGGGTGTGGACATCTTCGTCGCTTCTCCGACAGGCTACGGCATTCCGGATGCCATGAAGCAGCTCATCCTGTCCGCCGCTAAAGGCGTTTCATCGCCTGGAAAGCTGCTGGAAACTACGGTGCCCGAGGAAGCCATCAAGGATGCCGATGTACTGGTGACCGATACGTGGATCTCGATGGGCCAGGAGAGCGAGAAGAAGAAGCGACTCGACGCGTTTGCCGGGTACCAGATCACCAACGACTTGGCTAAGCGAGGCGGTGCCAAGGAAGGGTGGAAGTTCATGCACTGCCTGCCGCGACATCCTGAAGAAGTTGCGGATGAGGTCTTTTACAGCCCGAGGTCGCTGGTTTTCCCTGAAGCAGAGAACCGGCTTTGGGCTGCAGTTTGTGAGTCTAATCATCCTTGACCGTATGTTCTCCTTACTGATTACTTTTTGAATAGCTGCCCTCGAGGGTTTCGTTGTAAACAAAGGGCAACTTTAGGGGATGTGAGCGCCAGTCAATTCCATTCTTGGCAGAAGGGATACGTCAAAGCAAGGAGAAATGGAGTGTAAAAGTGATAGCATCAGCAGCCAATTGATTCAAATTTACATTTCAACTATCAAATCCGCTTCTCGCCAGACGCCAACGGCCGAGGCAGCCCCAGTTGTGAACCGTCGTGTGACTTAACCGGGGGGCAGCTGGCTGATATCGACAACCTCATCGGCCTCCTTGACCAGGGGCTCCTCGCTGGGGCCGTGAAGGGGCGATCGGGGCAGGGCCATCAAGCCAGTGCGAGCCGACTCGAGGATGCCGAAGGGAGCCACAAGCTTCAGGAAAGAGTCGATCCTCGACTGCTTGGCAGACCTAGCGGATCGTTAGCACCAGTCACCAGGCAGGTTCATAAAGCGTTAGACTTACAGTTCCACGATGCAGCTGATGGTGCTAATATCGAGGACCTTGCCGCCGAACTGGTGGGTGAAGTAGGTGATGGTCTTCAAGTGCTCGTGCTTGTGTCGCAGGGCCTCACTGGCAGCGAGCTTGCTGGGGTGGAAGTCTTGGGCGGTCTCCTCCAGGGAGCGCGTCTGTCGCTCAATGCCTTCCGGGGACTCGGGCTCGCCAGCCGTCATCTCGCGGTGGTGGGCCAGGAGCTCCTCGAAGTACTCGGGTCCGAGAATGTTGATCTTGGCAAGAAGCAGCTCGCGCTGGACGAGGGCAGCATTGCTGTAGTCCAGCACAGCCCAGACAGGCACGAGGTCCTCGAGCTGGCGTCGCGCTTGCTCGACAACTCCATCCTGACCCGTCAGGACAATCGTCATGCGGGACAGGTCCTCGACCTCGGTGTTGCAGACGACGAGCGAGTCGATGTTGAAGCCGCGGGCGGCGAGAATCCCGGACAGGCGGGACAGCACACCGGGCTCGTTCTGGACGAGGCAGTTGAGAATGTGTCGCTTGGGCGGGGCCATGGACGGCGTCGGCGTCTCGTAGAGAATGTTGGACACGGCGGCCTGGGCCGACCACGCGGGCGGCGCGTTGGTGACGGGCAAAGGCGCAGAGCGGTTTCGCAGGGCCTTGTAGGCAATGGCCGAGGTCGAGCTGCTGTTGGAGGAGTAGCGGACGGCGCCGAGGGTCGAGCTGCGCGTGGCAGCAAGCCGACGGAGCGGCGCGCTGCAGGACCGGAGCGAGGCCATCTTGCGATCAATCGAGGAGACGGGTACCCTCTCTGACCAAACGGGATGCTTCGCGATGCCAGTCGATGAAGGCTCGCTGTCAATGGCTTGGAGGTCGTGAGTCAAGGACGACGGGCAGGACGCCAAAAACTTAGTGGACCTGGGGCTCCGAATTATCGGAGGCGAGTTGTTGGCTGACGAGTGACCACACACACACGGACCGCCCTCGGCCCGCAAGGCACCAGACGGACAGTGTCAAGTAGCACCGCCATGTCTCTTCACACGGCCCATTCCGCCGTTGCTGTTCAGTCGGCCACGATTCGGAGCCTTGATCTCCGTATACGATTAAATATTATTTGGAGCCTCAGGCCTTGCCTACATCAATTTTCTTAAATGCCGAGTTCTTGTCCTGCTTTTTTTTTGGCCCTGAATCATGGATAGCTTACGTGGGCGGGCGGGCGTCGTGTCAATCTCCAGGTCCGTGATCGGACAGGGTGAGCCTAGGCAAGCCGTCCCCTAATAATGTAAGTGCACAGTGCCCACCGCAAAGCGACCTGCTGTAGCATGCACCTTCGATGGGATTTGAGCAGATAGCATTGCATGTTGCAGGCAACGAAAAGTGAAAAGTAGATGAGGGAGATGTTGGGCGAATGACACCGCCAAATTAAAGGCGCTTTATCAGATAGAATACTCAACCTATTTAGAGGTGTTCTTCAGGAGTCAGTACTTTCAGAAGACAGCCCAGAGCCTTGAACTTGGGGAGCGGTCAAAACACAGTCCCGTGCGCGATGAATTACAGCGGAGCGGGCAGATAGGCAGTTCTTTGTATTCTGCTAATTTTTGATGGGAAAGAAACCGCAACTGGTGTCAGTACCCAAGCTCCGGGAAGACGGGTACCGGACGATCAGACGACTTCGCGACGACCTACCGCGTACCTGGGTCGCATGCCAGCGCAGCAACCCCGTACCCCAGGCTTTGCGTCCATCTCCCGACGCGGAAGGACAAGCTTGCGAGAAGCCGCTTCTATTATTGGTGTTGGCGTTGTCCGTGGAAGCGCGGCAAAGCCCGTACCCGCTGCGAGGCGGCTGATCATCTGCCGCAGAAGCTCCCTGGAGCAGCAACGACAGCAGCAAAGGCAGCGGCGATAACAACAGCCTTGACAGTAGCAACAAGGATCCAGCCGACCACGCGCGGTGACTGTTCGGACCGGGATCTCTGCGGACGGACGGCGCACGTCCCACGGCGTTTGCATCAGAGTACTCCAGGCCGTTGAGGCACCGCGAGGGAGGTAGTATAAAGCCGCTGAGCTGCACGAATCCAATCTTTTGTGGGTGCTTCACAGTTCGTATCACATTGGCTTGACGCGCACGATTGCGGCGCAATCGCTTCGTCGAGGTTGGAAGTTGCATGTTAAATGCCAACGACAGGGTCGGCTTCTCTCGAGTGACCCCGGCGCTGGCTTGAAGAGCCCCACAGCCGCTCGGTACCCACCTGTTCTCAGGTCACTGACCACCAGACCCCAGCACGCTAGCCACGCGGGCTGTTTGCAGGCAGCACCTCGCCAGCTATAATTTTCTGGCCTCTCCAACATCTCCTGGGCTCGAAAACACCAAATCTTGGCTCCGGCACCACAGCCCTCCCGTGCGACTACACGTCTGCAACGTGCCGCAGGCTTGCAGCTGCCCTGTGCCTTTGCTGCCGGCGTTTGGCCCCGTGCCGTGTGCCAGTTGTCATTGTTCGAACAGCCGTTACACAGGAAGAGCAACACGGGACACCAGGGCACCTCTCGTCAGCCACCAACCTCACCGACGGCCGCCATCATGAGCGACGCAGACCGGCCCGCCCCCAAGCGGTCGCGCTTCGATCAGATGGAGCCTGAGCCTAAGAGGCCCTCTCGATTTGATCGTCGCTCCCGCTCGCCACCAGCTCGCCGCACCCCCGACGCGCGAGACCGCAGTCCGCTGCCCCGCGACGCCTCAGCCGAGGCCAAGAAATCGCCGTCCGTTGATCCCGCTGCTGCTGCAGGTAAGTTTGCCTTGAGCACCCATGGGTAGACTCCCCTGGACTGCCCCTACAGCGCCGTATTCCTTGGCGTGCTGACTGATGAATTCGTAGCTGCCGCGGCCGCCCGGATCAACGCCCAACTCCAGGCCCGCAAAGGCATCCAACACGTCGACGTCCCGCCCATCCAGAAGCCCGACAACCAGTCGCCTACGCCCCCGGTCTCTGCCACGGCTTCAGCTCCTCCCAGCAGCGCGGGTGCTCACCGCAAGATCGACGGCGAGATGTATGTGTCGGACGGCGACTACATCAAGGACATTGAAGTCAACGACTTGCGCAACCGCTACACGCTCACCAAGGGCGCCACTCAGAAAATGGTAAATATTGCTCTTAAAACATGTTCACTGATGCTTCAGTTCGGCCCCCCGGCGGGCATCTGTCGCAACTGACGTGCCGCTGATCCCATGCTCGCGCGCCATCACGCTCGTATGCAAACCCCTTTTCTCTGCCTCTACTGACACCCTCCCTCCATTAGATCAAGGACGAAACCGGCGCTGGTATGTATCGATTCTTTGGTGAGACTCTCGTACGAGTTGAGCTCTGACCTTGTCCCCAAGACGTGACAACGCGTGGCAGCTACTACCCCAACAAGAGCATGGCTACCCCAACGGTGCGTTTGCCGGCCGTAACCCCCGCGGCGCGTATCATGACTGACTGTTTTAGAACCCTCCTCTGTACCTCCACGTCACCAGTCGCACCAAGGAAGGCTTGGAGGCTGCTGTGGCCAAGATCGACGAGCTTATCCAGCAAGAGTTACCTCAGCTGGTAGACGAGCGCCGCTTCAGACGGCGCGACCAGGAGCAGCAGCCGCAAGTTGAGCGTGACGAATATGGCCGTGTAAGCCCTCACAATCCTGGCGTGAACGGCGGTGGCGCCCGCCTCGTACTTGTTGCTAACGCACAAGCCTGAACAGCGCAAGTGGCCAGAGGAGAAGATCACTGTTGGCCTTGAGTCACTCCCTGGCTTCAACATCCGTGCCCAGATCGTTGGCGCCGGCGGCGCTTATGTGAAGCATATCCAGTCTGAAACAGGCTGTCGGGTTCAGATCAAAGGACGTGGCTCTGGATATCTCGAGAATGCTACGGGCCGCGAGAGTGAAGAGGACATGTTCCTTCATGTGACGTATGCTTGAGTCAACACCTACAGCAGACTTGCTAGCCGCTAACATATCTCAGTGGACCCGATGCCCAGATGGTCGAGAAGGGTAAGGAGCTCTGCGAGGACCTGATAACATCTGTCCGTGAGCAGTACGAAGCCCACAAGTCTCGTCCACCGCGCGAGCGAGGCGGCTACGGCGGCGATCGTTACGGTGGAGGTGATCACTACCGTGGCGGAGGCAGGTCGCAAGAGCATTCCTCGTATTCGTACGGCCGACAAGGCTCCGAGCATGCGGCCCCTCCTGGATCGTCTCCTGCCGCTCCTGGCACAGCCAGCACCGCAAGCGCGGCCGATTGGTCGCAGTACTCTCAGTACTATGCGAATGGCGCGGACCCCTATGCTGCTTACGGAGGCTACCAGAAGTAAGCATCAGAGCCCTGCAGAGCCAGAGAAACAGCAGACTAACGACGGACAGCTATCTTGCATGGTACTACTACTATCAACAGCAGGCACAGGGCCAACCTGGCACGGACTCTGCTGCGGCTCCTCCGCCGCCGCCCAGTGAATCGGCTCCGCCGCCCCCTCCGCCTTCGGATGCCGCTCCGCCGCCTCCCCCGGGAAGCAACCCTCCGCCGCCGCCGCCTCCTGGCGGCAGTGGCTATAATGCTGTACGTTGATGACTCTGTCCGGAAGGAAAGTCGAACAGCCTGTTGACATGTCCCACTACAGGTTCCCCCTCCGCCCGGCTTGTAAAGGTGAGAGACGGGGCAAGCAATTTGGTTGGTGAGACTGGGCTACTATGTTGCTGTCGGGTGGGCTCTAGGCCCCGAGACTGACCAAAGGATAGGGACGCAGCCAACTGTTTCGTTGGGTGGAAAGAGACTGATTCTGGGTTGGTAACGGCGCACTCTGCTAATGCTAGTACATTGACCTCGCAGTGCTGCTGACGGGAGCTATAAGCTGATTCCATTCAGACAAGTGAAAGACCCAAAAGGCCGTCGAGTTGAATACGAGGCGACAGAACAACGGCACCTTGGTGACAATGTGGATTGATTGACCGGGCCGAATACGTTGCACCCTGTGCATTTCCGTTCAGCATCGTGGTGGTGTACAGTCACCTCAACCGAAGACCTGGCCTCGCGCTCGAAGGAACCAAAGCGGCAGCTCCAACTTGAAAGCGGCCCATAAAAGGTATAGACGATGTTTCGTGGCTGAATGTAATGACATGAAGTAGCTTAGCTTGAGCAAAAGGCATAAGCATGTAGAGGTTCTGGTTATGATACTTACAACTGTGACGTATGTGGGGAAGACACGGTCCCTGACGAGCTGCTTATCGATAGAGCTGTGTGTTGCCCCACCCCCTTGCTCCATGTCCGACGCATCCCTGTAGGCACCTGTGAGCTTCCACCTTCAAGCCAGGACGGTCGAGGTGGTCGCCTACCACGTCCGTTTCTCCTGCCTGCCGGCCCGAGCAACCACACCGCCAAAATGAGCCATCAAAGATATCCGTCCCACGATCCCATTAAGGAGCCTCACTCTGTCTCTGTCAAGGTGCTCCGGCAAGTATCCCCAGCCAGTCTTTCGACTAGGCCACGCCTTGCTGACCTCGGAGTCTGGGGTTGCAGCCTCTCACGTCCCTCCCTCGTGTCGCAGTATCCCGTCGAGCCTCCCCTCTCCGTTCCCGGGACGCTCCCGGCCGCGGCACCTGCATCCCTCGCCTACGCCTCGGCTCCGGCCCCGGCCCCAGACACGAACCCCTCGCCCTTTATCCTCAGCCCGATCCTCAACCTCCCCGTGTCCTTCGGCTCCGCCTATGTCGGCGAGACCTTCAGCTGCACGCTCTGCGCAAACAATGACCTGGCCCCCGACGCGGGCAAGCAGATCCGCGATGTGCGCATCGAGGCGGAGATGAAGACGCCGGGCCTGGGAGCGGCGCACAAGCTCGACCTCGGACCCTCGCCGCCTCATGGCGAGGATGGTGCTGCAGCTGCTGCCGCAACGGCAGGTGGCGTCGACCTGGAGCCGGCCGGCACATTGCAGAAGGTGGTCTCGTTTGACCTCAAGGAGGAGGGGAACCACGTGCTCGCCGTGACGGTGAGCTACTACGAAGCGACGGAGACGAGCGGCCGGACCCGCACGTTTAGGAAGCTTTACCAGTTCATCTGCAAGGCGTCGCTCATCGTGCGCACAAAGGTCGGCGCGCTGCCGCCGCCGCAGCAGCACAAGCTGGGCGGGCACGGCAGCGGCAACCCGAGGTGGGTGCTCGAGGCGCAGCTCGAGAACTGCAGCGAGGACGTGGTGCAGCTGGAGAAGGTGGCCATGGAGCTCGAGGATGGGTTCCGGTACAAGGATTGTAACTGGGAGTCAAGCGGCAGCGAGAAGCCCGTGCTGCAGCCGGGCGAGGTGGAGCAGGTGTGCTTCCTGGTCGAGCAGGTGGACAAGGCGACGGGCGGCGACGACGACAGCACGGGGGATGAGGAGCAACCGCGGCCTCGCGGAGCCGATGGCAGAGTCACATTCGGCGTGCTGGGCATCGGCTGGAGAGGTGAGATGGGCAACAGGGGCTTCCTCTCGACGGGCAGACTCGGGGCGCGGGTCTCGGCACGATGAGGGGGCCAAGAGACATCACCCAAGACTCTGGGCCGCTATCTCGCGCCATCTGATGGCGGCTCGGGAGACGCCTGAGCGTGGGGAACCGCACTCCGGCGCAAGGGGGGAAAGGACGAGGCCAAGCCCAAGGACACCAACGCAGTGCTCTCTGGCAAGTCTGTCCTATGCCACGGGCACGCCGTCGATATGGTCACGCCCATTACCACAGCCGGAGGCGGGCATAAGTGCGTGTCCGCGCCTCACCTGACACGGCAGGGCGCCTTTCCGGGTCCCAAGCGGGCAATAGCTGCTTCATGGGGTCGCCTCCGGCATCCGGTCCAGCCCGGCCCGGTGCTGCCCTTGCGTGGAGCCAGGCACGGACAGCGAGCGGGCTCACGCACGCACGTACGCACGATGAAAACAGGGCTGGAGTCGTGGCAAAGTGTGGGGGGGCACGTAGATGGCCACTACCTAACTTAGTAGCAGGACTTGGCAAGCTTGGTTGAGCGCACTTTGCACTGCGTAGACGGTCCATCATCCTTGATCCATCAGATGCTTGCAAAGCTGAGAAAGCAACAGCTGGAGTCGTAGCCGCCTTTTAGCAGTGGATAGCATGGAGGGCCGCACAGACACTATGCTCAGCATTGAGACTGTCCGTAGGTGCGCTTGCAAGGCTTGGAATGGTACAAAAGCGCACAGAGCTATCGAGTGCCCGGCTAGTTCCTACTACTTGCTTCTGCTTCTCCAACCCCGTACGCGTGCGAAATATTCCGAGCTACATGCATCGGCGTGCATACATGCATGATACAGCGGAGGAGTGGAGGTGGGCGGCAAGGCAAGGCAAGGCAAGGCAAGGCAATGCAGAGGGCCCGCGCGCCGGCACTCGGCGGGCGGCAGAAGCAGCCGCGATAACGGGATCAAGGCATCAATTAATTAAGTGGGCACCGCCGTCAGTACTATGTACTGTACGAGCACTGCATCGCACTTGTAGGCGGTGGCAGGCTGGCAGGCAAAGCAAGCTGAGGCCATGCGCTGCATCCCTGGGGCTGCACTCATGCAGCGAGGTCTTGGGTGGTGCAACCCGGGTCTCAAGCCGAAGAAGCAACGTCCCCCCCCGCGCCGGCGTCGGGGACAAAACAAGGACAAAGGTTCAGGCACTCGGGCAAAGAGACTTGGTACCTTAGTCCATACAGCACGGTATATAAGGCGGTGCTATGACTTCTATAGCTGATGGTATATACGTAGCAGTGCCATGTTTTCAGAGGCGGTGGGTAGGACGACGTTGGCACGCACGCATGCACGCATGCACGGCGGCCCAGTTTGCTGGAACCCCCCCGCGGCCGTCCTTCCGCCGCCCGTTGATGGCCGGGCGGGCCACCCCTCAACGGCTCGCATGGTTGCACCATCCGGACTTCGAAACATGGACAATTTTTTTGAGTTTGGCCGCACCGGGCGAAGAGACGGGGCCCAGGAGGAGGAGTGCAAGTGCAAGGAGAATCAGGAGCGTTTCCCCCCTTTGGGCTGGCCACTCCGTAGCTACGGCCGGTTGACTTTTTCTCCCCTCTTAAACCTTGCTGGCGGCGACCGCGGCGGCGGACACCGTTCTTGACCGTCCACGGACCAGTCGAGTCCCTCCGCGACCCGTCCGACGCTATGACGACGGTGGTGGAGGCTCAGGCCGGCTCTGGCGTCTCGGCGGGTTGGGACGGAGCACCTAGGTGAGTAGTAATCATGGGGGTTTGCCTTGGTGGGCATCTTGGCTGCTCAACGCATCTTCGGGCGCCTTCGCGGGGCCGCCGTGCAAACGGGTGCCAGAACCGAGCCAAGTGCTACAGCCCGACTGCGGAGTACTTTGTACGGGGCGCAGTGTTCGTGTCTGATCCGCGACCGACTTTCCAGGCCAAAGAAAGCGGTGGGCCGCCAGGACCGGGAATCTGAAGCCGATCACAGCATCGGGGTAGGGAGCCGAGCCCTGTTCCCTTTCTCCCTCTTAAACATGGAATCACGATCTGTCGTCTGTGCTGTGCGTCAGCGGAACTGGCCCACTGCTGTGCCCTTGCATGTGGCGTTATCGTCGTCGTTTTGCCTCGTCGGAACACAGCAGCTGGAATCCGCCGAGTGCAGCAGTTTCCACGCGGCGTGCATGGCCGAGCTTCGCTAGGAAGCGTGTTGCCGACCTTCACCTCCATCCGTGGCACTGTTCCTGCATGCCATGCACCCGCCCATTCGCCTGTGCCTGGGCTCTTCGTATCCTGCGGCAGCCGGGGCCCCTCGATGGCCCAGGCTAGCTGCAGTGAGTATTGGTGGCCCGTCAGTTGTGGTGAATCTTCGCATGCTGCAAGCCCCTGATCGGCCACAGGGGAGGCGCGGCATTGTACAGGGGTCAAGGTGCCAGGCCGTAACCTCGAGCCTTGCAGCACCACGAAGGAAGAGGCAGGTGACAGCTGTCCTGGACCTCAGAAAACCCACGCAGCACATGCCTCGACGTGGTTGCAGACCATCATCGCATTGCCAGCGAGGCCGCTCCTGTGAAAGAATGGTTGCGGGTGGAAGTTACCCTTGCCGCATGTGAAGGAGAATGCTGGCCGGTCCATGACCCTAATAGTGCGCTTCCTCAAGCGGCTGGCTGCGTCCACGTCGTGCCGGGGCTTTTGCATGATTGTTGGACCATCTCACAAGAAGCCCAGGCAGAGTACGGAGTAGAGCAGAGCAATTGATGCCATTCTTGCTCGAGACATCCGGGATGCTGCAGTGCAGCCCGGCCTGACCAAACTCCCCAGCAGTCGCTGCCGTCCTCCCCGACACTCAGGAGACATTTGGGTTATCGGCGACAGCTGGCCCCCGCCTGAATGACGTCTTTCCAGGGGAAATGCTAGGCGACAACTGCCCCCTTGTTCAAGAATCTCCGTTTTGGTCAACATTGGACGGCGACGGCGTACAGAGTGGACAGTGGTGGAGGCGGGACAGGGTCGCTGGCCGGCTGGAAGGTTTCGGCGTGGCAGGGACTGTGCATTAGCAGAGATGCCAGGAGCTGCCTCGCCCCTCCGCATCCACCACCTGGTGGCCCGTTGTCGTCGTCGAACGTGGATGTGGATGACTGAATGACGGCGGCGAGAGCTGGACTGGACAGAAGGGGTCCTGCGAGGGTCCGGTTGGAGGGTCCTCTTGTGCCAAATCCGTGTTCTGGACTGCCTACTTTGTCGTTTGCCAGGACCTCACCCTGTCCCGCTCATGAACCCTGGCCTTGCCTCACCTCGCCTCGTCGTCCCTCGTGCTCCTGTTGCCATCTCCCGTGCGGATAATATCTCGAGGCAGGCAAGGAGACTCCCGGCGACACGGGAGGCGATGTCCCGGGCCTGAGTGGGGGGCTCGCAGCAAGCGGGGTGAATGGGTGAGGACGAGATGGACGGCGTCGGGTTGTGGTGGATGCCAGCCGACAGGAGAGTTCGCCACCTCGGGCGCTTCCACGCGCTGGACGTTGGTGCCGGTGGTGGTCGCGCTTGTTGCGGTGCCTTTTGGGCGGCCGGGCTAGCATCGCGGCTCGCCCACGTCGGTCGAGGTGCTGGTGGAACGGGGTGGGTGGGTGAGTCGATGAGTGGACAGACGGATGGATCCATGGCGAGATGGCGGCAGCCATGGATGGCGGGTGCGCTGGCGCACGGCGGCGGCGGCGGCGACGGGAGGAGCCCTTGCCTGCGCACCCCGGGCCACCTAAAACGGATGCATCTCAGGGGGCCCACCCAGGCAGGAGGACCCTACCAAGCCCACCAAGCGCCCCCAAGCAAGCCCCAAGCCCGCCGAGATGGTGGGGACGCGACCGGTTCCATCCATTCAGCCATCTGACGGCTAGAGCCTACCGGGCCTCGCGCTGACCTCACAGCCCAGCCCAACAGCGTGGTGTGCTTAGGCGCACGCTCAACGGGCCTGGGGGTGGTCGGCGCCCGGGTCGCCCCTGGGGGCGTCCCGCCTGAACCTGGGGGCTTGGGGGGCATCTGCGCGACGGAACAGTGGAACACCACCCTCAGCTCTCCGCAGGCCCTGGGACCGCCCGCTTGCCCAGACGCCGGTGCGCTGCTCAACGCCCCGTCTAGTGTGGGTGGTGCCCAGTTGTAGGTTCCAAGTTGTAGGCCCAGTACCGGCTACTGGCCTCAGTACTGTGCTGTGCTCGGCACTGCACTGTAGAATACGGTAGGTAGTCGCTCTGCTGTGTCGGCCACCCAGGACATTCGGCAACATCTTGCAGCAGGCACCCGACCAGACAGGGTTCCGTGGATGCCAGCCCCGGACTGGATGCATGGTGAATGAACCTGGGCTGCAACATGCCACGAGAACCAGGTCGCGACCACCCCCGTCGGCGCCGATCTTCGCAGAGTGGTGGAAGCCTGTGCAAATCCCATCCCCCCCCAGGGGCCAGCGCCAGGGTCCATTTCCCCGCCCGCGGGCAGGCGCAGAACCGTTCAGGTTACCCTGGCCTCCACTGTACGTCCTGTACCAAGTACCTGTGGACACGCGCAACGGGGGGCAGCCACCAGACGCTCGCTGCAAACCTCCTCCCAGGATCCATGAGGTAACTGCCCGAGGTGCTACACCAGCCCACTGTACTTCGTACTTGTGGGAAGCTGCAGCGCCGTGCCTGCTCGTACCTGCGGCGCAATGCACCTTCTTTCCTTTTCTCCCATGCACGGCTGGCCGCTTCACTCTCTGCCTACTACCCTCGACCATTCACTCACGAGGCGCATCGTCGTCCCGATTCTTCTGCCACTTCGCTCCGGCATCTCTCTTCGCCCGCTCGACCGCCGCCTCTGCCACGAACCTGGAAAGCGCGCGTGCGGCGCCCGCGACCCCAACGAGCCCTGCCTACTCCGTAATACTCGCACTCCATTCTCACGCCGCAGCCCACCAACCGCGCCAGACAGCGCCCATCGGGTCCGAACAAACCCCCCTCCCCTCTGGGGCCGCCAGGGTGGGCGATCCTGTCCGCCTCCACCTGTGTTCGCGTCGTCCGTCGCGACCTCGTCTCGTCTCGCGATTTTTTGCCAGCTTACGAGTCCGACTACCTGCGCCGTCTGTCGTCAGCTTCACCAGGGCCGCGGCGAGTCGTTCGGCAGCCGCCCACAGCGCGGACCTTGCTTGACCCGCGTCTGTTGAGGTGAGCACCAGCGCAAATGTCTTACGTTCGTTGGCGTTCTGACGGGTGTCCTAGACAGAACCCTTTTCCGATTCGCTTCCCCCGCGGCACACGGATCCAGGCGGCGACGCACCGAATCGATCAGAGATAGAGGGCAGGAATTTCGCCCGCCACTCCTGACCCCAGGGCTTTCCAAACCTCCAGTGGCCCTGCTCGACCGCGAGCAAACCTGACATGTCATGGAGGCCTCATCAACCCCCTTGGCCGACTACTTCTGGATCGCCGGCGTAGAATCCATACGCTACGACGACCAGCTGCCGCAGCCCGCCTCTCTGCCTGTCGAGTCCACCATTACAGAGGATGGCGAGCCTCAAGAAGTGGCTGCCAATGGGCAACCAAAGACAGCCGCGGCACGTCACTCGCGGCAGAACTCGGCCAACCGCCTCTCTAGAATATCCAGCGACGGGCGCTTCTCTATTCACACGCTGGACGAGACAGACGGCAACACCAGGAGCAACCGCAGCAGTGCCACGATCAAGGCAGTCAAGGTGCCCGGGCCTAACGGCAGCGCAGCAAACGGCGGCGCCACTGAAGGCTTACCGCCTGGGCTGCTCATGGGGGAGTTTGACTTTGACAAGGCCCTGTTCAAGTTCGCTGCCGAGCGGGAGAACTTCTTGGAGGACCTCTCTTTTACCGCAGGCGCAAAGACCCAAGCGCGCCCTCCCATGGTCAATCCCCGAGCCGAACGAATTCGTGCAGAGGAAAGCATCCCCAGCGGCAGAGTCAGCCCCCTGAAGAGCATCAAGGGCAGCATCCGTCGCAAGATAAGTTTTAGGGACATGAACAGCATGCGCAAGCCGCCCAGCTCTGCAAGACCAGGGGCTTCCAGCAGAGCAGGTTCGTCATAAGGAGCCCCCCAACGCCCAAGTCCTTCTCATACTAACAGACATGCCGCAGCGTCGGTTCGCACTGCCAAGAGGCTCAGTAACTACAACTCAGTTATTCCTCCGCCGGAGCCCCTCAACACCGATCCGGACATGCACCCACTCAAGCGCAGGTTTGAGCCGGTACTCCTCGACCGTTACCCGCCGAAGACGGCCACCGATGAGATTCCCAGACGTGGCAAGTTTCCGGACTACGTGCCCATGTTCGCGTTTCCCAACGACATTCAGATCGTCTCGTCAGATGACCGGCCGCGGTCAACGTGGCATGGCTTCACAATGACGTCGGAAGACAACTCGAAGCTCTACGGCATCACGATCATCATCTGGACTGCGTTGACGGCGGACGTTGCCGAGGACGTGGAGACTAAGTGTGAGCAGTGGCGACAGAACCACATGTCCAACGAGGAGCGAGAGCTGGCGGCGAGCCTGGGCATCCGCTTGGCTGGGGAGCGGTCGCACCTCTCCCACCTTCTCTCCAAGCTGCCCACCATCCCGTCCGGATCACCGGCCAGAGACAGGCTGGAGGACGAGATCAGCACCGTGGAGGAGAAGATCTCCTTGATGACTGACATGCTGAGGCCGCTAAGGCACGGCGCAGCATCGAAAATTGAGGGCCTCACAGCAGGCGAAAGCGGGCTGTGGGCTCCTCGTGCATACGGCATTCTGGGACGCGATCCTGCCAATATGGGATTCTGGAAAGAGTGGCTCAAGGCCATCCTCGTCCCGATGACTGATGGCAGTGTCCTTAGGGTCCTGCCCAGCTCCCCCAAGATCGGACGATGGCAGCCCTTGGAGCGTTACGTTGTCAACATGTGTACCGAGGCGTTCACTCCGCTGGGGTCCAAGACGCAGGTCGAGCTCGGCGTGAGGGACCTGAGGATGTATTCGCGGAGAGAAGCTAGCAACGAGCTTCCCGGATCCCGGACCATCGACCTCTACGCCCTCTTCAGATGTCTCTCACTCGAAAACGTCGTCGCCCTTTTCGAGTACGCCATGTCTGAATCCCGCATCATCTTCCTTTCATCCCACACAAGCATGCTACACCTAGCTTGCCATGCTCTGGCCAGCCTTCTCTACCCTTTCAAGTGGGCCAGCATCTTCATTCCCGTCTTGCCGGCGCGTCTCATCTCGGCCTTGGAGGCTCCCTGCCCCTATATCGTCGGTGTTGAGCGCCGATATGAGCGGATAGATCTACCAGACGATGACTACGTCCTTGTCGACCTGGATAGGGACACGATTGACGCTACGTCGCAGCCACACCGGCTACCGAGGCAACATCGCCGAAAACTCATGTCCCTTCTGCAGGTTGCCGCACCCCACACACTGCGATACGGGGTCACCGTTGGACCGCCTCCATACGCGATCGAATCGTTCCCCTACGATGCATTCTCCTCTGAAAACGGCTCCGTCTTCACCTCGACGCCTCCCCGCACGACGCTGGGCAAATGGGTCACGCAGAACTCATCCAGCTTTGCCGAGCCTGACCCCCCAACCGACATCCATCCACCCGTCTTCAACGCATTTACCGTGTCGTCAGTCGATACTGGCAAAGCGGACAGGCCCGGTACTAGCAAGTCCAGCAGGACGAGCCCGCAATCGTCGGTTTCCCCTGTGTCCGCACACTTCCCACCAATGCCTACGACGCCACTTTCACGAAGCGACTCCGGCTTCGCTCTCACAGCGACCCTTCGCGAGAAGCGGTCGGGTCATTTCGGTGAGGAAAAGGGGCGCCGCAGCTCGTCGTTTGGCCTCGACAAGTTTCATCCGGCCAATCGACCGGCATTGCCTTTCCTGAACGGCCATCAACCCAACGCCTCCATCTCGGGCCTATCCGTCGACACCACATCATCCTTTGGTGCCGGCTATGCGCCGTCTGCCTACGCTCAGTCGACGTTGGCTGCCTCAACCATCATGCCCAACATGCAGATCCAGCCCGTGCAAAACACGGAGACGACGGTCTGGGTCGAAGGCCACTGCTTCAGCCTCGATGCAAGGGACGCGTCATCTTCGTGCACCATTTGCGACGAGAAGCCTGAGGGCGACGGCATGTATCAGTGCAATTCGTGCAAGACCTGGGCCCACGGCAGGTGCTTGGGACAGGTCTCGCTCGTTTGCCCAGAGGCCTTCCACGCCGATCGCGTCAGGGCGGCCTTTGTGCGGTGCATGGCCAGCCTGCTCTACACGTACCGCAAGTACCTTGGCAAGCCTTCCAGGCAGCAGAAAAACAACGGCCAGTTGTACGCCTTCGACATGGATGGCTTCATCAAGAGCTTGCCCTATGATCAGCAAGAGTATACCACCATGCTTCGAGACACGCAAGGTGAGTCGTCGCCCAACAGAGATTTCAACGTGTTGGGCGTTGGTTGGCTAACGGGAATCACACAGGATTCAACGAGTTCATTCATCACCGCGAGATGAAGCCTGCGTCAGAGGCGTCAGTGCGCCTCTTCGATGAAATTATTATGGCCAAAAAGGCCCGTGGTCGAACGGGCCTGTCGTCTGGCCTGTCGCGCCTCTCGACTATCCGAGCGTCTCATGGCGCATCGGCCAACACCTGGGGCCTTGGAGCCTCCTCTCGGACTCCCGCCGGCAAGGCTCCTACGTTCTTGACCGACACATCGGACCACATTTGGCGCACGGCATCAGTGCCCCTGCCCAAAGGCAATTTCCCGGGGGAGTACCGCTCCGTCGTCACCCGCATTCCATCTCGCCTCGACCGCACGCTCATGCGCGAGCCGAGAGCCATTCAGGGCGTTCCGCGCATGGAGCAGCGCGGCGCAAGAGGGCTGGTCCGGAAACAGGTTCCCAGCATGCTCGGGACGACACCACCCACGTGATTCCGAGCTTCACCTCCTCGTTTGCTCACCTGTGGCGATGATCTCCGGCGGGTAGCATCAAGACGACTGGGCCAAGGTGGCTGGACCTAAGTCGCATCATGACACCACTCACAAGACCACACACTTACATATGTACAACACAACACGACCTTTCCACCTCACCGCCATGATCCGCCCCCGGCTTCCTTTCCGACTTGTCCTCACGATTGTGTAAAGGGTTAATGGTTTGGGGAGCGTAAGCGCGCACCATTTTTTTGAGGGATATTCCCCCAGCGGCGGGCCCCTGAAACAAAGCATGTCGGAATGTTGGGAGGGGCCTACGTATGGGATCAGTAATGCCCCCTCCCCTGGTCCGGGGGCATCATCGCAGGCCTCCCGGAGAGCGAGATTGAGAGAGTCGAGACTGGTGGAGGGAGGGACAATGGATAGAGAGGGGGGCTAGAGTCACGAACGGCACATGTACACGCAGATAGCCGGCCGGCTAGTCTCTGGGGATTCGGTTTTCGTTGCGGCATTGCCTACTTCGTACTGCCTCTCCGTTTCGTGCTCTTGTCGGAGACGAAACATGATATATAGAGGCAATTAAGGCGTCCCAGGTGCGAGATCAAATTGCTCGCACCGGAGGAGCGAAAATATGAAGAAGCTATTCAGCTGAGACTAGTCTGCAGTCTGGATTCCAAGTTCACAGCTGACGTGAGTATGTCATGTGAAAAGAGCCATGATCCGCGCCTGCCATAAGTCCTCAACAACATCATTATACTCCATTTCCGGAACAGATACGAAGTATTACGTCAATTGAGTCAAATTGGTATCGTGCTGCGCCTTCTCGGCAGCTACTGTAACGCCATGTCCTAATACACCGTATCCCATGGTCATGGCACCTCGCTTCAGCCTGCCACCCATTACCATGGACTCCATAACGACTCCAACGCCGTGATTGCGCCAGTTGCCCGGCTGTCGGATTAGGCTCGGCCTCCTCTGCCCCTGCCTCGGCCGCGGCCTGAACCCCGGCGCTGGGCCATGTCGGCCTTGAGGGCATCCGCATCCAGAGAGTCCCAGCCAATGTCCTTCAGAATCTGACCAGTGAGGACCTGATAGCCCAAGTGTCCTCGAGGCAGGTACTTGACGCAGTGATTTTCGACGCCGTTGGCGCCCTTGATCTCCTGCAGGCCAGCGACTCCAAAGTGAACATTCGAGGTGCGATAGAGGAACCCCAGCATGTAGTCGTGCTCTGAGTAGACATTGACCAGTCTGCCAGACACAACGCTCTTCAGCGTCAGCCAAACCCGGCTTTCGGACGGCGCTGGAGTTCCGATGAGAACGACCGAGTCAATCAAGCCGAATTGGCGACGTTCGGCCAGCACCATGAGGCAGGTGTAGATCGCTCGTGCTGCAAGGCTGAATCCTATGAGGGAGACCGCTCGCTCCCCTTGGAACTTGTGCCGCACAAGAGCGTCCGCGAGCAAAGCGCCCACCTTCTCGGCCCGGACCATTCCCCAGTTCCATGGGTTGTCAATGATCTTGCTCACTTTGAGAAGAGCGTCCGGCCACGAATTGTCCAGGAGACTGGCAAAGACTGCGGCGCGTTAGTTTTCACTTCAGAAGGCCACCGACATGTTAGGATGCTAAGGAGGCTCTTACGGGATCGCGATCTGATCTCCTTGGTTGCATTTGCCCAAGCTGTGCTCCTGATGACTGTCTCGACCGCGCTTCCGAGGGTTGTGATGGACGCCACATCCCATCTCACCGCGTAGCTCTCTGTTTGATCGCCAAGAAATCGCCAGGGTCTAACAACGTCTTCGACATCTGAAAAACAGCCGCTCATGGCCAAGACCAAACGGAGGCGGCGATCATCTGCCGGGGTTTCCTTCATGTCTCGATATTCCGAGTGGGTAGGGTCGCGCACGCGGAGGAAAGCAAAGTCGAAAACGTCTTTGCAACAGGCCTCCAGCAGCTTGCTAGTGGGCCGAACAGCGTTGATGCCGAATATGTTACCGAGTAAGTGCCCGTAGTCTCCCAAAGGCCCCAGCAGACCGGCGACAGTTGCGACGCTCAGCACCATTCCATCGTTGATGGTTCCGATGCCCGCTGCTTTGAGCGCGGAAGCAATAGTGGAAGTGGGGTTGGGAGAACTAAACCCAACCTTCCACCGCTTGGGTCCTTTCTGTTCTTCGGCCTTCTGGCCAGCTTCGTCTCGTGGAGCATATTCGAGGGCGAGTTTTGCCAAGGCCCGGGAGATTCGAAGCTCTTCGCCATGATAGATGGCCAAGGTAAGGTTGAGAGCCGACGTGAGGTTGAGAAGAAAGACTCGTGCGTTGGCATTATAGTCCTGAAGCGACAGGACGAGCAGGAGTACGACATGCAGAAGAAGCTTTCGCTTTTCCACATGAAGAAGCCAGAGAGTGTTCGGAATCGGTGGGAACATTCCGCACAGTTCGCGGTCCATCTGGTTCACGGGGACACGCGGCGGGCCTTGACCTTGGTTAGCGTCCGCATTGTCGAGGGGAGAAGAGCTTGAGGGGGTCCCAGAAGCATACCAAATGCCAGGGTCAGACCTCCACGACCCGGACCAGCACCACCTCGTGCACCGCGGGCACGGCCACCACCTCGGGAACCACGGCCACCCCGGCCGCGAGCGCCACCGGCGGGCATGGGGGCGGTGGGCTCGATGACGGCAATCTCGCGGACTCTCTGAATGACGACGTTCTGCCACTTGCGAAAGAACAAAAGAGCCTCCTTTCTGAGCTCGCCAAGCTGGGGTGTCATCGCATCTCGCTCCTCCTTTTCAACAATCGGATGCACTTTGTTATACGTCTTGGATCCGTCGCTGCTAGAAACGGCAGAGGACTGTGCAACAGCTCCTTGACTGTCCGTTTCATTGCCTTCATGTCGACGAGAGGCCGCAAGGGACGGCCAGGTGGGATCGTGTTCGCCGTTATCGCGGACGCTGCTCACGCTGGGAGCGTCGAAAATGCTGCTGATGTCGTTGTGCATCTTCTCCGTGATGGCACTGACCAGAGTGACCAAGTCGTTTCTCTCAGCAACAGAAATGACACCGGTCAAGTCGACGGGCCGACGAAAGGGGGCATGGCCGCCACCACGACCTCCTCGACCCATGACTGTGGTTGTCGAGAGATCTCGTCGAGTGTTGCGGTTCGGGGAGTGAACGAAGGCAAGGCGATCGCCAAGCACTGGTTGCAGGTAATGACCGAAGCTTGAGGGACAGTGTTTCGATATGCAGAATGCAGACCTGTGCACGCGAACTGGGTATCAGGTATTAACCAGATAGAGCCCGCTCGCTACGAGGAGAGAAACACGCAGTGGTGGTGGTGGAGAGTGAGAAATGTGCGGGTGAGGGTGAACACACGCGGCAGGGGATGATGGTGAAGAGGTAACGACGCAAACCTGTGCAGCTGGCGAAAGCGAGACCGACTCCATCAGTTCAGCAGAAGAACGAAGGGCGCAGCGCAGCTGGCTCTCGAACAGCCGCCAGGTGCGAAGGAACCGTTTGCGAACAGGCCATGGCAGCCGGGGCTGGCAGGTGGCTGGCAGGTGGCAGTGGGCAGCTGGGCGGGCAGCACCGGTTCGTTGTTCAGCAGTCCCGGGCCAGGCGTGTTTGTGAACAGCAACACGGGGCTGGCTGGGCTCTGCATTCTCGAAGGAAGAAGTTCGGGAGGAGTCCGGAGCGGGCGAGGAGAGGCGGGCACGAGGCGGGCACGATGACAAGCGAGTCGAGTTGACGGAGGGAAGGTGCAGCTGCGTTCGCTGCTCATGCCATTACTGCTGCTTCCGCTGCCGCTGCTGCCGCTGCTCATTCTCGTCCAACGATGGCAGGAGCGACCGACCTAAAGGAAGCGGGCTGTACTCTGTTGCGTCGTGCTGCCCCCTCATGTACTTGGCTGTGCTGCCTGCCTCCCCTTGATCTCTCGTTTGGCAAGCCTCGATTGCCCCTCTTTCACCAACAAAACTTGAGGGCCATCTGATACTCCCGCGTCTTCTATGCATATCGGATACGGCAAGCCATGGTCCACAATCCTTTGCTCCCGCTTTCCGGCCACGTCTCGAACATCCGTTGTGGCCCAAGCAAGTTCTGGTACATGGCCGACCTGCGGATAGCCGCCGACAGGAGGACTCATCCTCCAGTCACCCGGTGATTCAGCAGTACAACGAAACGCGTTTCACCAAACGTGATCAGATCCCGTGATTGCCTGCCAGAATACAGACCCGCGTCGGCAAGGCGGCTGCCAGCTCTAGCAAAATGCCGTCTGCTGCCTATCAACTTGATCGGGCGACGGAGTGAGTGAATCACGCACATCTCTGCCCGCCTGGGCTGAGAGATGCACGAACCCGATGAACCCGCTGGACTGCGTGGGCCACCGGTAGCCCAGTAACGACGCGAGCAGGTTTTCGCTCCAACGGAGAGCTGTCCCTTCTGGATGGCACCACGTATCACGCGGGGAAACAGGCTCGCACATGGGCGGAGCAAATTTGAGAAGCAAGCAGCATGCGGCCGGCGCGTGACTTGGTCCTTCCCGCGAAACCGAGCCCCTTTTCCGTTCAAAATTGCCATGTGTAGTCTGGATCTGCCCCAAAATCGCATTCAAACGGGCAGAAAGGCCAGTCGATGTACGGTGATGGCCACACTGCGACTGGTCAACGGCTACGCATCGTCTCCAAGCTGATGCGGTCCTTTCGATCCCTCAGCGTGCAGTATGCGGCAGACGTCACGAGGAGCCCTGCTTCGCTGGTAATTCGGTTGCTTGGTTGTCCTGCGCAGGTTGAGGCAGCACGCGACATCTTCTCTGCCCGCACTGACGTCTCCTATCAAGGCAAGTTGTACGTCTCCCGTGTACGTGAAAAAGTCGTGGCAATGCTCGAGGTGGACGTTGCTCAATTTGGTCGACGGAAGTGTTGACTGCATCGAAACGTGGACCAGACCGGATCATCACTCTCCCAGCTCATGGAATCTTGCATGGGCAGCCATTGCAAAATGCGGGATGGCATGCCCACAAGTCGGGCAATGGGGATGCACCGTACCATCCCAAGCTACATCGCCTTCATCGTCGTCATCGCCGAATGGCACTTGCTTCGTGCTGTCTTCCACGGCACCGCCAGACGGCTCATCGGTAGGCTGCGTTACCTTCCACGGACGCAACACCTCGTCCTGGTGCTTGAACATGACGCCAATGTCCCTCCCTGCCCCCAATTTGTCGTCTGCCGCCCCAGCAACCATGTTGGCCGCACAAATATTCAACAGTTGAAGGTTCCATTTTTGGTTATGCCCTTGTTCGACTTGCAGGCGCCGAAGAAGTGGGAGAAGTGCCTCGGCCACCAGGCGCTGCGCAAGACAGTCTATGTCGGTCTCAAGGTCAAACACAAAGGGAGGGAGGGGACCAGAGCGAGATACTCTGCTAAAGTTCATTGCTTGAGTGGCATGTGGCCCTTGGCGTGTCGGCCACGATCTGATGGAGAGCCGCAGCGTCTTGGGTCGCGCAATCCATTTGCGGGAACCAGGGATTTCGGCGTTCGGGTCAGCGGTAAGCAGGTCAACCCTCAGTCTTCGTATCAGGGAGCACGAGAGCTTGTGCAGCTCTTCGGTGATGTGAGGGATGGTCTCGAGGCCCTTGTACGTGTCTTCGATACTGATCTGAGAAGGAATGTCGCTCGCTTCCTTGACCTCTGTCTCATCCACTCCATGGAGCAGGCCCCAGACTCTGGCGCCCACTCCCCTCTCTGAGCCAGGGCCCTTGAGAAGAGTCTCTAGGAAGGCTGGCGACATGGAGGGATGCTGCCGCACCTGGCCAACGGTGACAAGCGAGTTGAATGAGTGCGAATCGGCGTCGATGTCCTCGCCAAGGACATGTGACTCCAACAGCATGGCTGTTTTGAACCCGAGCCCCGGGACCTTTCTCGTCTTGTGCGCATCCATAAACTCCACCACATCGTCATCTTTCCAAGCTAACAGCGTGGTCTGGTTTCGAGGCTTGTTGCAGCTGCCGACAAGCTTGCTTAGCAGCTTGTTGGTTGAGATGCCGCACGTTGACGTGTACCCAAAGTCGGTCTCGAGCTTGCTTCTCAAGTAGTGTGCCAAATGGGACCCAAGAAGTAGACGTAAATATGTGTGGTCGTCTAAACTTGCGTGGGCGGTATCTGATCCGGCAACGCAGCCAGCAATCGCATTCAGGTCGCACGGGAAGCCCTGTTCCGGGTCTTGCTCAGACAGGTGAAAGAACGATTCGCTCAGAGAGTTTCTATTCAAGCAGAGGATATTGTAGTCGACCAAGTCAGTGACGTCTGGGCTCGTAAGCTTCACGCGATCGTGGTCAGGGTAGTTGCGGCGCCTACCCATGAATACCTCATCGAAGCCGAGTCGCTCCACCTTCCCGGTCCAGGAATGAGAACGAAGGAAGTTGAACAGAGTCTTGCTTGTATCTCGAAACGGGGTCAAGTCCTCGCCATCTACCAGGACGAGACCCGGGCATATGCGCTTTGCCTCGGATATGAGCATGAGCTTGCCCACGCCGAGATTCCGCGCATTGTAGTTGCATGTCGCCAAGATGTTCTTTTGCTTGACTCCGAGGGGACGGGACCGTAGGGCCGGGTTCTTGTTCTCAAACACTTGGGCGTAGAAACAATCGTAGTCCTGGTTACATGGCTGTGAGCAGGTTCGATGAGCTGGGGCCGCCAGCGAGAGACTCACGAACTGTAGGATGACGCGGTGGTCTCTACGTCTCGGCGGCTTTCTTGGGTGCGGAATCATCTTGGGCTACAGTCTCGGTGGGTCTGGTCATCGCGAAGACACAAGGCAGAACAGGGCTTTGGGTGTGTGTCTCGTCCCCGTCGTCGCCAGCAGTCGCATGCGTCTAGACATGGGCGTAGGACGCCAAAGCCCATTCACTACCTCTCAACGACGGCTCATATGTGCGCGTCTTGCAGGGTACTCGCGCAGGGTCACTGTAAGTCGGCGCCCTTTCGTGGGAATTTGTGTGAGGGTTTCGATTGATGCAAGAGCTCCAAGTGCGTGGTTGAAGATATGTTGAGAGAGGATCCGCGAGCGTGAAAATGGATGGCAGTCGCGACTCGCGACCTCACGATCAGCCAGGCAGGCGCGCCGCTGCTGCAGGCTGACAAATGAGGGCCCAGCCCAAACCCAGAGCATCCGTGCAATTGAAGGACCCCAGCTTTTGTCTCTTTTGCCAACGTCCATCCCTCATGACTTCTTTTTTTCGAGTCGTTTGAGAGCTCTATTGCATGGGGCAAGGGGTGGCCCGGCTTCGCTGGGCTTCTAGAAATGTCGTCCGCTGCAACCGCGATCGATGTGAGGCCAGGCTAGCGGCAAGCGCTGATGGGTGCATCGGCCAACACGGAGCGACTTGACCAAGACGAGTCGGCCCAGCAAAGGCCGTTTCCTACGATGTCGCAGAAGGATCGGCCTCTGGCCTCTCAATGCCGCGGTTCGGACCTTCTGACGGCACGCGGCGTTGCACGACATGACATGAGACGGTGGCGCCAAAGGATTAGGCGCGGTCCGCGGCCATCCCGCTGGCAAGCAGCCAGATCAAGTATCTCTGCCCCGTTACGCCCGGGAGATTCGCCGCCAGAAAGCCGTGGGGTGCCATCCAGCTTCCCTTCGTGGCTGCATGTCGTCTCGGTGATTGGGACGGGGCGGCTGCGGGCATGGTCGTTGCCCCGTCCTGCCCTAACGTCGCCCAGTCTGAGAGGTTGCCGCCGGCATCAGTGGCATCGAACCGTCTCAGTCTTCTGATCTCGTTCCTTGGCAGGTGCTCAGCTTTGAAGTACTTGAACCGTTTGGTTTGTGGTCTCGCCAGCCAAGCGAGTGACTGTCACCGGGTCTGGCGGTTCTGACTGACACGACGTAGATGACATCGTGGTTAACGCCAAGTGCAACATATGAGTATTCCACGCTCATGGTGACTTGTCACTTCATTCTCTCTGCCTCCGGCATCGTCGGGCACTTCGGATCCCCGTGTCTGCGGCAAAAAGGACGCTCTTGCACGCGGTGGGTGCGCTGCGCGACGAAGGATTCAGCCTGCAATTGCGAAGCGCTGCTCAGATCATTCGCACCCGGCTCACCACCACAACCCCTCGCACTGAGAGTGACGGCAAGAGAGCTGTGCATGAAATAGACGCCGGTCTGGAGACAAGGGTGACCCCGTCATCCCATGATTGGCGTGCAACCCTCCAAGTGCGCGCCTCCAGGCTGGGGGTCTGGTAGTCTGGCGCTTACACGCTCACCTGCATAGGCCACGACGGCACAAGCCAACCACAGCCGCGTGCATGTTACCTCCGGCTTCTTCGATCCTACCAGCTCGTTCTGTCGGGCGCCCAACGTCTGCCCGAGTCAAATGGACAGACAGCCATGTTGATCGAGCGTCTGCGCGTCTAAAATCCTGGAACTATCTGCCCCATGCAGCGTTAGTGGCGCTTGCTTCTGGCCAGGGTTCCATGTCGCCCCCGGAACGATGGCGGTTTTCCCAGACAATGTTCCCGTTCTATATAGTGGTCGCCGGCCCATTCTCGCCCTGTTGGTTCTCCAGTTTTGTCCGAGCCTGCTCGTGTTGACTGCTGCTGGTCGTCGTTCCTTGGACGCAGCACTACAGTGTTAGTTGCTGGCCAGTACAGACACGGCGGCGGCATCCATCACCAACTCCTCGGTTTTCGCTGCCAACAGGTCTTTCAACTTGCTCTCGTCGATTGACGTCTGCCAATTCGCCGACATGGAGTCGCAGGGGACTCCAAATACGGCCAAGAGGCCGAGACTCTCTCTTCAGATCAGGACATCATGCCTCTCTCCTTCCAAGGGTCTGAGAGGTGGTCCAGTCAACCCCAGTGATCCAACAGCATTCAATACGCTCTCAAATGCCTATGTCACGGCCATCGAAAGATCGTCGACGGCGCAGTCGGAACCTATCACTGCCATCAACACGCTGCAAGCCTTCAGCATCGAGACGCCCGCCGAACCCAGGCCCCCTCGCGTCTTTACCCCTTACGTCGCCAACTATCCTGAGACGCCATTGACAGCACTTTCCAACTCTCCCTCACAAATGGAGATCAAGTTCCCGAGCACCATGACTGCCACTCCGCCACTATCAGCCACGGCCGACGCCAGCCCAGCACAGGTCTTTGCTTTCTCTTCTTCGTCAAGCGTCACGGCCAAGAAGACTCCTGCAACACTAGCATCGCCTGTCGATGGCCGTGCTGCTCGCAGGAGAATATACGCTGGTCTCGGCGGTGATCTTCCGTATACGCATCCACGGAGCCTCCATAGCATCCTCCGCAACTCTCCCCTTCCACCAAGAACCGCCATCCCACCACCATCGCCGAGGAGGCAATCGCTCCGGCTGCAAGAGAAAGCGGCCAAAAAGGTCGAATACAATAACCCCCTGACCCAGGACATCATCACCAACACGTATGTAAAGTCTCACATCGACCTCCTGACGGACGACGCATCCCCTAATACCCCACCCTTGCCAACGGCGGCAGACACCGTATTGGACGTCGCGTTGTCATTCACCGCAAACGAGCTCCGGGACGGCGGCCAGACGCCTGGTCCCTTTGAGGAGACTCGTCGGAGGATGGCTGGCTTGGCTGTGCCCCAACTGCCCTCTCCAGTTGAGAACGGCGGCGGACCGCGCAAGCGCAAGAGGACGGAGAAGAAGCGTCAATGGCGCTGGACGATCGGCCAGGAAGACGGCGACGAAGACGCTGCAGCTGTCATCGCGGCAGCAACGCAAACGGAGGACTCAAAGACGACGTCGTCCCAGGACATCACTCCAGGAGCAGCTCTTCCGCAGATCACGTACCTGGAAACTCCCACCCCCAGCATTGAAAGCACGAGTTCCTTGTCAGAGCTCGGGGATGTGGAAATGTCGGACACCAGCAGCGTCTTGTCCACCGACGACTATCGCGCCCGGGGTCGGCTTCGTGCCCCGAGCGAGAGGAGCGAGACGGACCTGGATCTCAAGACGCCCACCGCCCCCGGCAAGGCCAACGGCCAAGCCCCTGGGCAGCAGAACCGCGATACCCCCATTCCAGAACTGTCTGAAAAGAGGGACACCCCCGTGCCGCCGGAGTTGATCTGAGTGGCGGTTGGCGTTGGGATGAGGAGATTTGACGAGGCGCAAAATTGACATAAGGGTGTCACATCGGCGTAATGTGGTTTCACAAGGCGCATGGGGTTTACAAGCATTGCTCAAGCATAAGCATGGCGGCGACGACATATTCATGAGATACGAATGGCACGAAAGCTCCCTTGATTGAGACACACCCAGTCTCCAGGCTGCGCCGTCCTTTACGGGCAGTCACAGAACATATATTGCAATATTCACACATGACCAACATTAATCGCCTCTTGTGATTCAGTGCATATATCTTAAATTCGATTGTCTATAGCTGTATCGGAGCACGTTTAGCTCACATAGAAATACTTCCAAAAGGACGCCAAGCATTGAATGTGACCGTTCTATTTTCACCTCGCGGCGGCCTTGGCAGCCTCCTGCTGTTGCTGCTGGTGGTATAGTTCCTCGGCTGACTTGATGCACGACATATTGGCCCCCAGCTTGTTGAGGGTCTCCATCCACTCATCGTACTCGTCCGAATCGAAGACGATGCCTCCACCTACGTTCCCATGGGTTAGCAAACAAGGGAAGGTGCGTTGTTTGGGTGGTCGACGACCGAGACTTACCTGCTTGGAGATACGCCACGCCATCCTTGGTCATCATCGTGCGCAGCGCAATGCAAGTGTCCATGGCGCCTTCTACCGGGTTGCCCTTCTCGTCCTCGCTGCCGTAGCCAAAGTACCCAACCGCACCGGCGTATATTCCGCGCTTCTCCTTCTCCAGCTCGGCGATGAGCTCCATCGCCCGAACCTTGGGGGCTCCTGAGACCGTGCCGGCAGGGAAGACGGAACGGAAGGCGTCGAATCTCGTCTTGTCCGGCCGCAGGACGCCTGAGACTTGCGAGACGAGGTGCTGGACGTGGCTGAACTTCTCAACAACCATCAAGCGGTCGACACGAACTGTGAAGGGGTCGCCAACGCGGTTGATGTCGTTGCGGGCTAGGTCCACCAGCATGACGTGCTCGGCGCGGTCCTTGAGCGAACTGCTCAGCTCGTCGGCGAGCTTCTGGTCCTCCTCGGGCGTCTTGCCGCGCTTGACGGTGCCCGCAATGGGGTGGGTAATTATCCTGCCGGCCTCACTCTTGACGAGCAGCTCCGGGGAGGCGCCGACGATCTGAAAGTCCTTGCAGTCGACGTAGAACAGGTACGGGGACGGGTTGACGGTCCGCAGGTGTCTGTATATGTTGAAGGGGTGCAGGCTCGTGGGCCGGGCGAACCGCTGCGACGGGACGGCCTGGAAGATGTCGCCCCTGACGATGTGCTCCTTGAGCTTGGTGACGTGCGCCTCGTAGCCCTCGCGGCCAATGTTGGACTTGGCCTCCTGGCCGAGGACTATGGGGGCCTGCTCGGGGATCTCAATGTCCGGGGAGTTGAGCACCTCGACGAGCTCGTCGACGGTGGCGCGGGCCTTTTCGTAGGCCTCGTCGAGGGTCGTGGAGGAGCCGTGCTCGGGGACGTTGACATAGCTGATGACCTTGATGACGCCAAAGAAGCGATCAAAGGCGACAATGGTGTCGAAGAGCATGAAGAGCGACTCGGGGATCTCGAGCACGTCCTTCATGGGGCGCGCCGTCTTGGGCTCGAAGTAGCGGACGCAGTCGTAGCCGACGTAGCCGATGGCGCCGCCCGTCAGCGGCGGGAGCTGCAGGTCGGGCACATGGGCGACGACATGGCGGGCGAGCTCCTCCTCGAGAGCGGGCAGGGGGTCCGTCGCCGGGCCGTGGCCAGGTCCTGTGGTGAGGACCTTGCGCGGGCCAGCGCCGACGAAGCTGTAGCGGCCGACCTGCTCGGTGGCGGCCGACTCGAAGAGGAAGGAGAAGTCGGAAGAGGAGTGGGCCGAGATCTTGAGGTAGGCGGCGGATGGGGTGATGAGGTCGGACGAGATCTGGCGGTAGACGGGGACGAGGGTCGGCTTCTTGCCAGGCCCGGCGTGGGGGCGGTCGACGATGGAGCGGACCGTGTCGAGCGACGGGTGAAGAGCTCGCTGGGCAGCCATTGGAGTCAGCGCGCGGACGTTGCTTTGGTCGAGGAGGGAGATGGTGGAGGTTTCAGAGGTCAGCTACTTACTGCGCCCGCCATGGCCAAGGAAACGAAGTTGCGTGTCGCCTCAGTGGCAGGGGGAGGTCGTGTCGAGTTTGGCGATGGTCAGACGTGAGTGAGTCAAGGGCGGCCAGTCGGTCGGGTCGGGCCTCGAGATATAAGAAGGCAAAGGAGGAAGCTCAGGTAGATGACACGGGTATTCTGCAGGCGCGGACGAACACAGTGCTAAGAGCAGGCAAGAATTCTTTCTTATCGCCTAATCAGCAATTGAGCAGGGCATCTCGCCAGTGCCGGGTCCGGGTCTGGCGTGGAGGGGTCAGTCACTCGTTTTTGGTTGAGGGGTCCTGGCTGCGTTCACGGTACATGCAGGTCTAGCCACGTCTAGACCCGAGAGCCGGTACCCAGTACATGACCGTTCCAGGCCCTGCCGACGTCGGCCTCGCGCCCGTCCCGTTGTCGAGCAGTTATGACAACCAACGCCGCGCCCTTCACCGTCTTCCCAATTCCATACATGATCATTATCCGTACCCGCCTCGCATTACGATCTACGACAAGAGCTTCCAACATGGCTGCATTTAAGCGGCGCCCTTACCAAGTAGACAAATTGTTCATGTCTTCGTCAATGCTCGTCGCTCAGTGATGGGTAGCTTGACGCTGCCAGCCATCCTCAATTGCGGACAAATTGCGGCCGCTGACTGTATCCGACTGTATCCATGAATCATCCCGCATAATAAGAGACGGCCCACGCCGCAGTGCGCCCGCCAGTCGCACCTCGTCGAATTTGCCGTGCTGACCACGGACCTCACTGCACCTCCAGAGCTATGTTGACCGGGCCAACTCACAGCCAACGCCCGGGAAAGAGCTGTGTCCCACCTTTGACGTGCCACCCTGTAGCTACGACAAATCTGACAATGGTTTGCTGGAGCGGACCTTGCGCCGCTGGGGAGGGCGTCGGAGACGATGCGCGATCGTTGACGTCGTGCAAGTAGTGTGACTCATTTACCGAAGACGTGAGGCAGTTCATCGAGCGTTCCAGGCACGTCCTAGACGTCGTACATGATAGATCTCAACAATCGGATCAAGCTACGAATACAAAGCTCATGTCACAGGGGCTGTGTCCAAATACTAAAGAAATTGAGCAACACCGCTGGCTGGGCGGGAGTGTCTCGCAGAGAGTTCATGATAATATGCCTGCAGAACCTGGCACGCATAATGTAGACTCGAAGCCATATCTATCCCTTCCACCGAGGCAATGGTCCTATATGTCTCGCCCGATCTGCTCTTGATATAGTCGCCTCGCCGCCATCGTCCATGATTTCGCGCAGACGCGTATGCGTTTTCATCTCTCAGCTCTCCACGCCCAGCGCCTTCACGCCGACGATCCGGCCCTCCTCCCGCGTCACGACCCAGTACTCGACCCGCGTCGCATCCCTCGTCACGCGATACACCCGCACGTCGTTGCCCCGGCTCGCCTCCCGCACCGCGTCGATGACCTTCCCGTACCGCCCGGCCGAGTCCCAGTCCAGCGGGTCCATGATCTCGATCTCGGCCGCGTCCGGGTTCCAGTGGTGGATGAGCTTGGCGAACTCGGCTGTGCGACGGGAGAACTCCATTAGCAAATGTATCAAAAGAGAAGACACCTCTCAAGCTTCAAGTGCAGCCATGGCCAATGGTCGGCGCGGGCTGAGCGTCGTCGCAGTGCAAAGAGGTATCCTTAGTGGGCCAAACTTACTCTCGTCCGGCAGGTCGTCGCCCGAGTACTTGAGCGATACCGCCTCAAACGGCTCGTCCGCGTCGCTCACGTACACCTCGCTCTGGCACACATCGCTGATGGCTTTGGGCGCCTGCGCGCCAGAGTCCATGGCCTTGAACTGCGACTTGGAGCCTCCGCCCTCCTGCTGCTGCTTCTGGGCGTGCGCCTTGCCCTCGTCCAGGTCCTTGTTCGCCTTGTCGAGGAACGCCATGTAGTCCTCGTCGCTCGCCATGTTCCTGCCGCACGGGGCTGCTCGGCCGATGGTCGCGCCTCGGATTTGGCGAAGCCGGCGCTGCTGATGGGGAGAGGGAGGGGTAGCGACGATCGCAACAGCAGAGCTTCGTGGGTGCGCTGCGCTGAGGGAAGCTGAGGAGGGGTGTAGAGCCGGGCTTCTGGTTCTGGTCGCGGTCAGGAACTGCCTGGGTCCGATTCGCATATGAAGTAAAGCTACTGCGGGAATGGTGAAAGGACGATCTTGTCGATTGTGATGTCTGAGGATCTTCAGCTCAGGTTGGGCTGCCCTGGTTGGAGTTGACGGGTGTGGGGTGACGTCAAGCTACCAAGGCAGACAGACTGGGCGAGACAAACCCGTCGATACCCACCAAAAATCTTCACTGCGACGAGTTCCAAGGCCAAACCATGCACTCCTGCACCATCCTACAATTAAGCTCGATTGAGCCAGGCAAGTACGAATGTTTAAATCAAGACATCGGCAAGTAGTGGGAATCTCTTTTTATTTTGTCATTCGTCCCTCTAGCTGGATTCATTTTGTTCATCCCATTATGAAACCCAATCCAGCCCAACGCAAGGCAGAAACAACCCTGACACCGATGCAATGGCCAAGACACAAAAAGGAAACGTAGCTGCCGCTTTTACGCGGAAGCCAGGTCCTTCTTGAGGGTACCCTGGTACTGCTTCTTCTCCGCGGGCGTCTGGAAGGCGCCGTGTCCGAACTCGGACGAGGTGTCGATCCACTTGAGGTTGATCTTCTCCAGGGCGCGGCGGGAGGTGTGCGTGAACATGGACTTGCGCAGAGTCATGACGCGCTTCTTGGTACCGGGGATAGAGCCCTTGACCATGACGAAGTCGTTGTTGATCTCGCCATAGCGGACGAAGCCACCCAGACTGGACAAACACTGTTAGCAACTGCGGCAGGGTCAAGCAGGTCAGGCTGCTACTTACGGAGTGATCTTCTTCTTGGTGACATCGATCTCGGTAGAGGCGTTGTCCTCGGCATCGCCCTTGCCGATGCGGTAAACCTTGTGGTTGACCGAGGTACGGTGGTGGTAACCCATCTGACCAGCACGGGCAACGGTCCACTGGACGTGGGACGGGTGCCAGGCACCGATACAAGCGACCTTGCGGAGACCCTTGTGAGTCTTGCGGGGAAGCTTCTTGGTGCCCCAACGGGAGGTGACACCGTTGAAGCCGTGGCCCTTGGTGACGGCGATCACGTCAATCATCTCATCCTGCTCGAAGATGGTGTCGATGCTGACGGGCTTCTCGAAGAGGTCCTTGCCGAAGTCGACCTTGTCGGCGACGGAGCCACCGTTGATCTGGATCTCCATGAGGTGGGCCTTCTTCTGCTTGAGGGGCGTCTTGCGGATCTGGGTGTGGGCGAGGACGCGGACGACCGTGCAGTACTTCTTGATGCGCTCAAGCTCGCGGGTGATGGAGGCACCGCTGTTCTCGGAGTGCTTCTTGGCGTACTTGGTGAAGGCCTTCTTCTTGCTCTTGTACCAGTTCTTGTAGAAGCGGCGCTTGACCTCGTCGCTCAAGTGCTCAGCCCAGACGGTGGTGAGGGAGCGGAGACCACGGGGAGTCTCGATGTAGCCAACAAGACCAACAACGATCATCTAGGTAAAGATGTTAGCCATAGGCACAAAGCCAAGCGGGCTGCATTGTTCGTACAGGTGGCGTATCGACGACCGTGACGGCCTCAACAACTTCCTTCTTGTTCGCCTTCGCGCCGGGTCGGTCGAGGTCACGAACGATCGTGGTCATACCGGCCTTGTAGCCCATGGCGGCCGTCAGGTGGACGGGCTTCTTGGCGTCATCCTTGGGGAAGCTGGACGGGAGGCCATGCGTTAGCAAATTTGCCCACGACTCCGGCCTCAATTCTTCGCCATGCGCCCGGGACCAAAAACTTACGACTTGACCTTGCCGCGGTGGCGGGCGGCGCGCTTCCGCGGCAGGTAGGCCAGGGAGCCGTGTCGGGGAGCCTCGTACTTTCGGTGCTGTCAAAAGCATCAGCATTGTCGTAAATGAATTCGTCGTCGAGATGCACTCACACTCATCTTGGGCGGCTGAGGGTTGACGGTTAGTATGTAGAGTCCAAGCCTGCGTGCTGTGAGAGGACGAGAGGGTTTTTGAACAATTTGTGGGCGAAATTTTAAGCGAGCACAGCGGGCAGCCAGTGCGTGGGCTGGTCCGTGCGTCACACTATTCCGAATTCGGGTGGGGCCAATGGGTCAAACCAGGGCAAAAGTTTCACCGAGCCTTACCGCGAGCCACACCGCAGACGCTCGGTGAGCGGGTCATCACGTGACTGGTGTTTGCCAACATTGTGTTGCCAAGGCACGGGAGACGCTGGTACTCTGTCAATGGCATGTAATACGTATGTACATGCATGGATCTACGCAGTCACAATGCGGGACCAGTCAAGCTGAGAAAGTCCATCGAGTTGCTGAGAAGCTGCCCAGTTTAACTACCTACAGTAACGGATATCGTGCGCTGTTGGCTGTGTAGCCAAAAGAGACCTCATAAAGACCAAACCAACCACCCTGTCACCAAAGGCCGTCGGCCAAACTCCGCGTGACAAAGGGAATTACCATTTTAAGCGACGCAAGTGCAGCCGCCACAAGAAGCCAGGAACTCGTTAAAACCAGCCGTACCTTTTCATGCATCACTCGGTCTTCGTGGCCGTGGCCGAGGAGCCATTGACACCAGCGCTAGTAGGCGTCGTCGTCTTCCCATCAGCCGACCCAGGAGCCGGGGCGGAGCCATTGGTAAGCACTGCCTTCTTGTCATCTTCTCCGCTGTCGTCGTAGTCCTCGTCAACATCCATCTTTCTCGCCGCTCTCTCGGGTTCGGCTGGGGCAGGCGCTGCCGAGGCGGGAGCGGGCTGCTCAGCCGGGGGCCGCTCCTCCTTCGGGGCGGGCCCAGCGGACGGCTTCTCTTGTGAAACACCTTGCATGGGCTCCGAGGGCTGCTGCATGGGGGGCAGCTGGCTGGGGCCAACTGGCTGAGGGTGGTGCGCGGCCTCTGACGGATGGTAGCTATCGCTAGCAGCCCGGCGCTCTTCCACTTTCCTCGGCTCGTCGGCTCGGCGCTGCTCCTCGATGCGACGGGACTCAGACGAGTTACGACGGTAGGCGTCGCGAGGAGGAGTCGAGGGCCGTCGATGTCTCATGTCGTCGAGGCGAGCACGGTTCTCTTCGTTTGCCTGCTTCTTGGCCGCGCTCTCCTCCTCCCACTCGCGCATCCGCTTCGGGCCAACGGACGGCGGGCGATCATCCAGACGCTGAGCGGAAGGCTCCGGGGGGCCGGCTGTCGGGGCCGGCCCACCTTCCGCGCCAGCCTGGGACGGGGCCTCCGGGTGGTGAGGGTAGGCTGGTGGAGGAGGTTGGTGCTGCGGATACGCTGATTTGGGAGAGGGCATCCGGTTCTCATGAGCGCCACGGCCATCGGCGCGCGGGCTGTTGTTAGGCCGGAAGGGAGCCATGCCGTTGGGAGGAGGGTTGGCTCCGTTGGCGGCGTGGGATGGAGAAGCACCACTCCATAGGGGATTGACAACCCGGCGGTCACCACCGGGCGGCGGAGGCGGCCCTTGCTGCGACGGGGGAGGAGGCGGCGGGCCCTGCGAGTATTGGTGACCTGCAGGTGCCGGCGATGGGCCACGACGTGCGGGGCCGGGGCCACCACGACCGGCCTCAGGATACTGCTGCTGTCGCATTTGTTGTTCCTGCTGAGGGCTAGGCTGGCGCTGAGGGGGCGGGGGAGGTCCACGGAACTGCTCCCGGCCGTCGTAGGGGTTCGGTGGCTGAGGTGGCGGGTTGACATTCGACAAGCCCCTGGCCCAGTTCTCGCCAGCGCCGGCGGGAGGAGGCGGGGGACCCGACGACGGAGGCTGCTGGGTAGAGCCTCCCCACTGAGGTCCAACAGGGCCGGTAGGACCTGCAGCCTGATAAGCGTGCGGGTGGACGTCGGCCGGCTGGGGAGCGGGAGGCGCGCCTCCATTGCTTCCGCCGGAGCGGAGGAGCTGAAGCCGTGCCTTGATGTGAGGGTTGCCGGGGTCGAGCTCAGCAGCGCGTTGATAGGCATCAAGCGCGTCGGCAATCTGGTTGTTGCACGATTCGTACTAGGAGACAGGTCAGCAACAGTCTCCGACAGTCGAGCGCGTGATGTCGCCGAGTGGCAACTTACCAGTGTACCAAGGTCATACCACACCTCCGAGATGTACGGGTTCAGTCGAATGGCGCGCGAGTAGGCGTCGAGAGCATCGCGGTATTGGTTGATCTGATAGTACAGCACACCAATCGAGCACCAGAACGTGGGGTTCTTCCCGTCCCTGTAAACAGCCTGCTGGTACGCCTCATACGCCTTGGGATACTTTTGCTGAGACATGTAGCAGCGGCCGAGAAGGTACCAGCTTTGAGCGTCGGAATTGTCTGACGTCTGTCAGTTCACAACCCATCAGGCATGGGATGGGGGATCTTACCGGCGCTGACAGACTTTTCCAGGTACTGGATTGCCCTGTCTTGTGTCTCGTACGCGTTGCTCTGCTGGTGGTGCAGCCAGCCCAACTGCTGCAGAACCTTGGCGTGGTTGGGTGAATGATCCAACACACGCTGATAAGCAGCCTTGGCGCTCTCAAACTGGATTGAATGTAAGTCATGAGTGTGGGATGAAAATGAGCGACGTATGGCTTACATCCTTCTGCTGCTCGTGCACATGGCCAATCTGGAACCAAATGTCCTCCTGGGTCAACGGTCCAGGAGGAGAGTTGACGATGTACTTGAAGCACTGGAGGCAGTTAGTACCTGTGCGCATGTCTTTCGCCCGACGGTCCAGCTATACCTCGAGACTCTGTTGGAACTTTGACTGCTGCTTGTATATTATTCCAAGGCGGAAATAGATCTCGTTGGCCTTTTCGAAATCAGGCTGGATTTGCATGACTTGGGAGAAGGCCTCTTCGGCATAGTCGTAACTGCCATAACGGTCATAGAGAATGCCGATGCCGTACCAAAGCATGGGGTCCTGCAGGAGCGTTAGGTTTGAAAACGATCGGCTCGCAATGAGAAGGTTTACGCACCTTGGGGTCCCGGAGGTTGACAAGCGCCTGCTGATACGCATCGTATGCTTTTTGCAGGTTTTCAGTCATGAGATAGCAATGACCTGTCGCAATAGTCAGCGTGGATTCAAAGAGGGGAAGTAGAGTTTAAGAGGCAAGGGTCGTACCGAGGTTTCCCCAGGCCTCGCCATTGTTCTGCTCCAGCTGAACGATGGCGCGGAAGAATTCGAGTGCCTTGTCGAAAGCTTCGCGGCCCTTGAGGAGCATGCCGATGGCGTTCATGGCAGCGGTCGAGTTGGGGTTGGCCTGCAGGGCGCGTTCATAGGCATGCATAGCCTCGTCGGGGACGCGCAGCAGTTCTGAGAAGCTACCTGGAAGGAGGGTCAATATGTGATGAAGCCGGGGCGCGGTTTGCGCTGGCGGCGACGGCGGCACTCACCAATCTGCAGCCAGACAGCCTCGTTCATGGCGTTGATCTGGTGCGACGGCGCAAAATGGCCGGGCTGGACATTCTGGGGAGGGGCCACTTGGGCCTGATGCTGCATCTGCATCATGGTGGGCGAGGGATGGTGGTTTGCCATGGCCGGGGGTCGAAAACGGGAAGCGGCAGGTGTGGGCGAGAGACGCGGCGACGTGGATGCGTCGTAGGCGGACGGCGGGTGTCGCTAAGTGCCGATCGATGGCGGCGCCGGCAGTGACGCAGAGACGAGGATGGCGGTCGCAGGCTCGCGGGGAGAGATGCGATGAAGTTCAATGCCTTGGTGGTTGGGTTACCAGCGCGGAGGCGGTCGGCGCATGCACACACGAGAAGTGGCCCAAGAAGCGCCCGCCACCGGGATTAAGCAGGGCACAAGACAAGCCCGGCGGGTGCAAAATCGCAGAGCGGCGTGGCAGCGGAAGGAGAGGCCTGTGGAGGGCACGGCGGGGGCGGTCCAGAGGCGGGGAGCGGAGGGTGAGGGCGTCGCGGGTCAAGTCTTGTCAGCGGCGACGAAGCCGTCTCGGGGTTGACAGAAATTGGGGGTGAAGGAGGAAGAAGGAGACGGAGACGGGTCATTGGGGAGAGGCTGTCCTGGCTGGTGGAGGAAGGACCTGCGCTGCTGGCCTGGCTGGCAAACTCCCCTTACCCATGAGAATATGGGAGGGAACGGGCGCGCTACGTGCACGGAGGGCGTGGCGCGGTGAAGCGAAGCGGGGCCCGCCCACCCCTGCCACGCCCATCTGGACGGACGGAGGCTTAGGTACGTAGCCTGCCTGGATGGAGGCTGTTGACTGATGCTGCCCGGGAGGGAGTGGGGCCCGGAGACTGAGGTGCTCTGGAGCCAGGCGCTGGAGGCGCTGGAGGAGCAGTGGAGGCGCCGGAGCCGGTGCTGCCCTCCACCTCTGTTGCAGGTGCATTCGCAGGTGCAGGTGGTTGGCACCCGGCGTGCGCTCGTTGCCTTGCTGCTGCCAGTGGAGGGAGGCGTGCCTGGCCAACTTCCAAGTCGCACCCTGCCCTGGCCTGGGCTGCCGCTCGCTGTCGGGGCCCCAGCCTTTCCATCCATGGATCCTGCAGCTCACCACCACTGCTGCTGCTTGTGCTGCTGCCGTCGCCGCCGCCGCCGCCGCCGCCGCGGGCGCCTCCACACCAACAGCGCAGAGCTTCGATGGGGAGGGGGGAGCTGCCCGGCTCTGACTAGCGCGATTTCGCCGGCAGCTTTATTTGCGCGTCCGTCGTCTCTTGTTCCACGAGGTGGCAGCGGCCGTGAATTAGCGCAGAGCGTCTCCGGCTCGAACGTGCTGGAACTGGCCATATGTGGCGGGCGGGCATGACGGGGGCAAACTCGTCATCCACTTCGCAATGCAGCATGAAATGCGATAGCCGGCATCAGAGACTGCCTAGCACTGCATGCCGCTCGCTGCGTGGCGCTGGTCCCAGACACTTGCATACACACACTCGCCAATCCACCCCCGGCCGGCGGCGTGATCGTCAGAGCCTCCGAGGGCGTTTCGAACCCACCCTCGACAGCCAAACAGTCGCAGCAACTAGAAGCCCTACTGGCGAAGGATCCGGCGCCTTGTTACCACGGTATCCAGGTCAAGGCAAGGCAAGGCAAGGCAAAAAGCTCCCGCTGCGACACCAAGCACATGGTACAAGGTACACCTCCATCGCACCGCGCCTGTGCACCGCCGACGGCGTGCGACTTCAGATGGAAGACAGCAGCACGACCGCCCCACGTCTTCGACGTGCCGCGACCTGGGCGCCGGTGCGAGCGATGATGCCGCCGATGCATCGAATAGCACAAGCCGTCACCATCCCGTCGGCTGCCTCGCCCTGGTGTGTGTGTGTGTGTGTGTGTGCGCGCCCTCGTCACGTCTGCCGCAGATTGCTGCGCGGCCATCATGTCCCACAAAGCTGCGAGTGCGCGCGGTCGCGCACAAGCCAGATTTTGTGGAACGCCCTCTCTGGGTTTCTCCAAAGCGGCCGCGCGGGCACGGGCGCAGTTTGTGCTTCGGTAAAACGACGACGGGGTGGTGCCGCTCCGCAATCGAGGCT